CCCCCCCCCAGGTATTTGGTTTTAGTACAAAATCAATTGCTGGTCATTAGTGAAAAACAAACAATAGACATTTTTTGTTATAAATAAAGTAAACTTACATAGGCTCTCTACAAAAATGTATAATACATAGAACCTTACCTGTTGTGCCAAACGATGCATATTTCGATATATTCTCTACTCGTATTAATCCAATATTTATCTATTTGCTTCTGGTAAGATAAATGTTTGATGAGTTATTAACATAAATTCACTAATTTTTCTGTGTGCATAGTAGCTTCTCTTTCACCAACTGTCAAATTCTTCTGTTAAGCGTATAAACGAGAAACAAAATGTTTCTTTGTACTTTCGACTATGCTTTACAAGATGGTAGTATTAGATTTTCAAATAGAGAGTTCGAAGCACCCGCCCCTGAAGTTACACGTTACGCGAACAAGCTGATATATGGTATTCTAAACTACATATCTAGTAAAATGTCAACTTCCTTCTTAATGGAAAAGATAATCTCGCAAAATTTAATCAAAAGAAAGATAAATGTATTAATGCTTTTTAAAAGGCTCATTTATTTATTCTTGTAATATGTACGATGTTTTCGAAGAGAATCTATATATTATTAGATAATTTTTGACAAACTCTCATATATAGTTTATACAGGTCTCATGGTGATACCACTGAGGACAATAAATAACAGCTGACTCATGCGATCTTAATACTTCTACCGATTAAATAAACTATTCATTTCATCATTTTTTTTATCAAGAAATCCCTTTTGTCGCTAAAATCTTTTCATTCAAGACTTATGTCAGGTAAAACCTATAGTATGATTGATTGTTTTAAGATATAACTGAATTAGTAATTTCTGACACAGTCTATTGTGCATCAGAACGAACTTAGTGTCGCTCATTAGAGTTGAAGTTTTATCTTTCGACAAAATCTAATGATTCATATTGTATATCGAATATTTCAATGAGAATGAACGTTCACTTTCTCAGATAACGAGATTTATAAGAAAGAATACGTTCAATTCAGAGGCGTGCACAGGGTAGAACGGTCCTGTCCTATGCTGTAGAACAGGATGAGATTTAGATTTTGTCCTGTCCTACCGCCTGCCTGGACGAAGATTGCCAACAGGCGAAAACACGCACAGGTCGAAATTTAGATTTTTGTCCTGTCGTGCCGCCCGCTAGGACCAAGGTAACCAACAGCACAGGCAAGAACAGGAGAACAAATTATGTCCTGTGCACATCTCTGGTTTAATTCTTTGCTCTTATTATACGTCCTAGCTGAGGACCAGACAAGTCAAAAGTTCCAGTTCGTAATGTAGTATATTAGACTTGTCATGAATAAAATTTATGTTAAAATATGATATTTAATATTTGATAAGATATATACACTTGAATAGAAACTTATTCAAACGGTTTAAACTCAAATAGAAATTGACAAGAAAATAACCTTTGTAATTTTTATCGAATCTTAATAGTCTTTAATTAGTAACATGAATCTCATTTTAACAATTTCATTTGACATAAACTTCTTAGTTTTGTGGCAATAAATTTGTCGAAAATATGACTTTTATGCCATTCATATTTCTAATTTTGTAATAAAATATATTCCGTTAGAATATTGTTATATATTTGATGCATAAAATTTATTTCTCATCGGTTACATACATCTATACGTGTGTAACATAATTGTACTTCATTTCAAAAAGACTGTTAATAGATAAATTCGTAAATGTATTTCTATCGTTGTGTTTTCAGATTTGTATACGCGAAAATAGTTCAGTCTTTTGATGTATATAGAAATGTTTCTGTTTAGTGCAAAGTTAAGTATAAAACAATAGATATGACTGTGTCAAAAGATGATGATATTTCTTCGACAGCATGTGGATAAAAATGTTCGAATACTATCATGGACGACGCAAGCTCAAGTCTCTAGGAGAAGCAATAACTTTTTTAAACTGATCACAATAAAAAGATTTTTATTTCAGAACTCATATATAATCAACTTATTTATGCTCAAAATATATTCTTTTATTTTCCGATACGAATTTTCTTACAACAGTACCTAAATCAGTGTCAAACCTACGCTCAATATTTATTAAAGATAAACTGAATAGCCTAGTTCAATCTCTCTAGAAGAATCCCCGAGAAGTCCTCTGACAAATCCCTGGGAACTCATGACAAGGGGTCCCCAGAAGTTATCAGGAGCTTAGCGATTTCTTAGGCTTTTCTAAATTGTTTTACTTTTTATTAGCTTCCCGTGAACCGAAATCCATCTTTTCCAATCTGCCTTTGTCCAACAGGACCTTCTACCTAAGCCATTTATTATACCACGTCTCAGTGGATAACTCCTGCGATTGTTAAATCACCTGAAAATGGTGAGTTATTGCTAAGAGCGCATAGGTCGAAGTTCAAATGATATTTATCACTTGGACAAAACTTAATGTTAAAAATAAAAAGTTAGTTCTTCTTATTTTTTAGTTTCTTATATACTTCCATAAGCGCAAAAGAAAACGATAAATATATTCCTACACTCTCTGATAATCCCCCCCCCCAGAGAGCTTTAGTTATTTTACTACCGCGTAAAATTCTGTGACTCACTTCGGATTTTTTAGGGAGCCTCCAGTGAGTCCCTAGGGATTTCCCAGTTTTCCGAGGACTCTCCGATGATTTTGCGAGGGAGAGTCGATTAGGGTTAAATCTTTCTTTAATTGATAATATACTTACATCTAACACAGCATAAAATGAACTAACAAGAAAACTATCTTTAGCACATTATGTGGTTACTACAACATCACCAGCATATAAATATATATTAACGTAGTAAATAAAACTATACAAAAATCGAACAAAAAACAAAATGATGAGAGCTGATTGAAAGTTGCTCTCTGAATCCCAGAAAAGCAAAAACTGATCTTTATTTTAGTCCTATCAAGTGGTGCTAATCGACTTTGAATTTCTTGGGGAAGATAAATGTCCGACATACACGATGCAATTAGTCTCAGGAGAAAAAATAAGCTTCACAGCAGCGGAACATTTTACAAAAAAACTATCTGAATATCGGGATATCAGAGGCAGCTTTAAAAAATGTATTGCTCCTCTTCGAATACATGATGCGCCGCCTACTCTCAATAGTATGAAAGAAACGAAAAATAAGAGATTGCTCTTCGTAATAATATACAGGACTAGTGGCAGCTGTGACTCTGATTATATGTGAAAAACAAAGGCAGGCGCATCTTTGACAAATTTTCCAAGAGTAACTATACATGGAAAAAAGTTTTTTTCCTAATCGTGCTCTTTTCTGGTCATTTTTGGCCAATGTCATATATCTTATTGGTATGATTGGTTATTTTTTAATGGATGTATTTGATTATGTACATCCAAATGCCATTAATTTATCTTTATCTTCATGTATCTATGTTGTTCTTGCTGGTATATTCGTAATTGACGCTAACTTACAGACATTATCAGTTTACAATACTAGTAGAAATGCTTATCGATACTATGCTATGGTTCTATCTTCTATATTTGATCAAGTCGGAAGTCAGGCTTATTTTATTGGTGCATTATTTATGGCAACAGCTTTAACAAATTCAAATACAATCACTATATGCAATGAAGTCGGCGTTTCGGCTTTTGTAGCGGCTGCTGCAATCAATATGCTAGTTCCGGGATCGCATATTTTACATTTGTGGGCCAATAGTCTGAACTTGTTAGGGTCACTATGTTATGTCTTAGCAATAATTATAACTAATGTGGCATTAGCACGAACTATTGTTATTGTTGGTGATTGCATTTACGTTATTGATGCAATTTTATACATGATATATTGGTTTATCAATCGACGAATGACTACGTTCGAAGAAGAACAAGTTCTACCAGTGTCGAAATAGTCCAATAATTATTTCAACTTTTCAAGGCTAAATAATTGAACTAAAGATATGATCTATTTTACCCTTTCCATTTTCTTTAATGTATTTTATTTGAATTTCATGCAATTAGGGTATACGGCTAAAGATAAAAGCATTTGAAAAAATCGCTCTCGAAATATACATAGCCCGACAACTCAAGTTTGATTCTTTGAAGCAACATTCTTATCGTACATTTTCTGCCATTGAAAATGATAGTTGATATGGAAAATCTTATTTTTAGAAAATGATACAATGACATCGAGGAGCGACGATACATAAATACTGTTAGACAATTTATTATTAGTTTTCTTTGAACATGTTGATCTCGAAACGCTTCCATCAGTTTACAATCGGTATAGTACAGAAGTTTCTAGTCGATTCTCATTCATCGAAGCGAAATAAATGCTTTCTCTAAGGTTGCCTTCATACTCACACATTCATTTTCATAAATTCTTTAATGAAAACGGTTATGAGAGGAAAATATGTGTATACTGTGGTGCAGATCGATCATATTCTCTTTTCAATTTTTAATGGTATTGAAAGTCGTTTTCTCGGGCATAGGAAATTTCATATTTGTTGCAATTTCAACATTGCCGGTAATACGAGGAGCCTAAAAAGTGATTTCTAGTGCTTAGCCCTTGGACATCCAGCAGGAGAAAAAATCGAATTTAGTAGTGAGTTTACTTGAGTGACTTTGCAAGGCACAGATTAACATTGTTACATATACACACGTATTCTTAGTTAAAGAACATGTTTGAAAAAGTGACTGATAGTTATGCTGTGTTCTAGATGCTTTTTTCGCACGTTCACGTTTCTTATTGTTAAATTTCTCTTCGGTCAAGGAAAATTTCCAAGTTTTTTTTTCTTGACATCCATTTATCAATAATTGTCAATCAAAGGCTGATAAAAAGTAGTTCATATAATATATTTTAATAGAGTTCTCTTTTTTTTGGTTTATTTTTTATAAGTTAAAGCATAACACAGTATCAGCAAAAATGTCACTCGTTCGCGAAGTAATCCCTTCCATTTCAAACAAACTATCCACATGCATCTAAACTGTATCAACAATAGTAACAACAACTGAAGCAAAAAAAAATACTCAACTTAGCAATAAATAATGGAAATAGAGTAGGAAAGAAATGATTATTACATATCTATGTATACATATATGAAGCGAACGAGTGAGACTGAGAAAATAAATGATTATGGCTCATTCGCCAAGTTCGTTTGTAAATAAGTTGCATTATTATATTAATTTTTGGCAAAACCAGTTCATGTAGATATATATTTCAAGTTTAGCACATGCAATAATTTGCATCATTTGACGACATAGGTGATGATGTTATTGAAACGTTACGATGTGCATATAGTTTCGGTTGTGACATAAGAGGTTTTGAATGTTTAAGTTTATGTGCAATTAACATAAATATTGAATTGACATGATCTTGATGTTCATCTGCTTTAGCTGATGTTTCAAATAATGGCATATTGTGAGCATCCTAGAACAATAAAAATGAAAAATTATTTAACGCTTTCTTTGAAACCAATTTAAATATAAATATACAGCAAATCGTTGAGCTACACTATTGGGAACGACAACTTCCTCAGAAGGCACATCGCATTTGTTTCCGACTAAAACACGTGGCAAATCTTGATCAAGTACATGTTTGTCGCATTCACTTATCCATACAGGAAGATTTTCAAATGAAGCCAAATTGGTAACATCATAAACGTACACAACAGCATGAACATTTCGATAGTAATGATTGATCATTGATCGACGAAATCTTTCTATCAAAAAAGTTTAATTAGCGTATATGAAATTTATTAAATATTGTCGCTCTTTCCCTGAGCGACAGTCGGTTTGGAAAATTTTATTGGAATCAATTTAGATACTCTGGAGAATAGCTCAAGATCTTATCTATAATAAATGAGATTTGTTTTATTCGTTGAGCCGTTTTTTACGAGAAATTCTAACGATTTCCATCGTTATCTACTTGAACAAAAATAACCCATCTCCCGAGGGACAAAGAAATTGCTTTCTTTGAAAAGGTCACATCAAGTTGCCAGATATAAGAATTTTCCTTTTTCGAATAAACACGTGTGTGACTATTATGGAAAAGAAGACCACTTGAACAATTGAAGTACAGTCTTTTAGAGTTTTTTAAGTGATCGAATTTTTTAAAGCTTTTTACTCCATTTGAAAATGTCTACAAATAGATTGTAAAAACGTACCTTGTCCAGCTGTATCCCAAATTTGAAGCTAAAGAAAAAAATATAAATAGATGGTAATTGATGCCTATATTTTCAATTCAAGATTTACTTTAAATACTTCATCGTCGATTTCCAATGTTTTTTCTCGAAAATCCACACCTAACAAACGTAATAGTTCAGTCATTTACGCATAGCATGCGTGATGAACTATGAAATCTTACCAATAGTTGCTTCAGTTTTTTCAGGAAACTTTCCTGAACAGAATCGATATGTCAAACATGTTTTACCTGAAATGAATGAAAAACAAAATCTATGTTAAATAACCATTGTTCAAACATCGTCGATTTCCGTACCAACGTGTGAATCTCCAATGACAATAATTTTAAATATTCGTTTTGGTCGGTCATGATCTCCAAAAACAGTTGTATCTGGTGGGGCAATCGAGTCTGTCATTTTATCTACGAAAAAAAATTGTTTTCGCAGTCAAAATATTATCTAATTCATATTATCAACATTCCTGATATAAAAGTCTAACGAAGAAAAAAGAAGAAAGAAATGAACAATATTCTATAATAGCCCGTACAAGTATTTTAATAAATATACATATAGATTTTAATAAATAATATATAGAAGATAGTAATATCTAAGAAAAAAGAAAAAAGAAATAGTAAAATCAGAGCTACATCTATGGAATAGTACCAATCGACTACAAAAATGAATAGACGCTTTTAGCCAATAAAAATGTCTCATGAAAGAACAAGGCGACTTAATTGATGACAACTAGCTGATACATCTTTGTTACGTTTAGCAAATAAATTTGATGAAGATAAAGTATAAGAACTACTAGTAAGTGTAGATAATGATGAAAAAGAATGTGAAGAAGATGATGATGATGTTGGCGATGATGATTGACGAATAGAATTTGGAACATGAATAAGACAAGCACCGGCTCTCTTTGTTCCCAAAGTTGGACACTAAAAATCAATATAAATTGACATTATTTCTTAAGAAAAATCTTCTTTTTCCTTACTTTTATCCATTGATCAAGATCTGGATCATATTGTTCAACTTCATCAAGTACTTTACCATCAAATCCACCAGCAATATATAATTTATCGCTAACTGTCGTTATTGCTAAAGCTTCTTTTGGTCTATTTAACGAAGTAATTAATGTCCATTGATCACACCTTGAATCGTAACGTTCACCATCATCATGTCGAACAGTACATTTATTTGTTGCTGATGATTCATGACCACCTATCGCAAATAAAAATCCATTGCAAGCGGCAACAGCTACACCCCCACGACGTTTCTGCATTGGTGCACATGGCGACCAACGATTGGTATGTGGATCATAAGATTCTGTCTCACGAAGACCTGCAGCACCATCTCGACCTCCAACAGCATAAATTCTTCAAAACAAAGAAAAAAAATGAAGTCAAATAATATTTATCCACTGAAAAAATAATCTCAGTTGTAATTGAATACTAGTGCGATGATTCAATCGATTATTGTATTATGATCCGATTCTAACAGGAAAACAAATTTCACTGCGCAAATTAAATATTACCGATTTTCAAGTACAGCAACACCAAGTGAACATCGTACATTAGCCATAGAAGAAACATATGACCATGCACAAGTCTCTGGGTCGAAACGTTCAACTGTACTAAGAAAACTCCATCCATCGTGACCGCCAATCGCATATAATGGTCCACCAATACAACCAACACCTAAGCCATGACGATTCGTAAGCATGGGTGGTCCAACATTCCATGTTTTCTTTTGGAAATCAAATAATTCTGTACTATTTAATCTAGAGAATAGCAAAAAGATGTTGAAGATAAAGTATAGAAAACAAATTAACTGACGTTTTGAGCCCATCGCGTCCACCACATACATATAGTTTCTTATTTAAGATAACACAAGCAAACTGCCAACGACGCGTATTCAAATGACCATCGAGTTGCCAAGAACGAGTTCGAAAATCGTATCGTTCAATGGTTTGTGGACCTAATTTCAAGCGTATAATCATTTAGTGAATTAATAAGATAATCATATACGATTTCGTTTTGTGTTACCTTTAGTAGTATCCATGCCGCCAAGACAATATAGAGAGCCTAATGTTGCTTTTCTAGGTTTAGTTCTTATTGATTGCATTGCTGAACGTTTCTCTGGCGCTAAATGATAGCGCATAGTCTCAACAATGAGCATCTGACATAAAGGATCATCTTTGAATGCTTGATTTGTATCAATATGATCTGTTAGGTACTATTTAGAAAAACAAAGATGTATTATTAAAGTTCTAAAACAAAAAAACCGAAAGAAGAGTTAGAGATTACTTTTTTATTAATTAAAGGAAGTTTGATTAAGCCAAATAATTGTGCTAAACGGTCACTTCGTCGTTTTTGATCATAATCAATCCACGAGAGGAATGCTTCAAAGACTATTTCTTCACATTGTACATTGATTTCATCTGAGATAAAAAAAAAGAATATATATATATCTTTATAAGATGTTCTTTCACGTATTTTTTCCTATATGATTATAGTTAAATATTGGATACACTTCATTGATACGAAAAAGATCAAATTCAAACGAATCTCTTATATGAATATTGACACTTACTAATCAACAGTATCAAGGAAAAAAAGTAATAATATCAGATAGTGTAAATGCATAGATCGGAGAACTTAAAAAGAAGTTTGCAGCAATATAAAATCTTTTTCTTATATCTCTATACAGAGAAATCGATAAAATTTAAATCTTTCTTTTTTCTCTGAAAACATTCGTGGTTAAATTCTCTATTTAAATAGAAGTTTGTAAGACACAAAGTGAAGACTTACTTAATAGTGCAATGGCTCAATATTCAAGCAATGATTCTATTACTTCTTGTGCAGATACTACCCCATGAATAAATAATTGACTTTTTAATTCTCAATTAACGTAGTGTTCACTTTTCTGAAAAAATATAATTGAAAATTCCTAGCGATTGTTTCAGATCATTTCTTATGAGTATCAATGGTGAGTGACTTCATCGTTTGTCATTTTCCTGTAAAGTATCATCAAGAACATGCTTTCTTTTTTACTTGTATGCTTTTCCTATTTTAAGAGAAGGTAATTTCCTCACTATTGTTTTTGCAAAGATGAGTCATTTTGTTTTGTATGAAATCAGAAGTGAAAATAGATTTTGACTCACAAAGGCTTGCACAATCGAGTAATTTCCTATTATAATGTAACAATAAATGTTATTTTTTATTCTCGGAATAATTGAGACTTAGTGAATCAGAATAATATTTATTTAAGGGCTTATAGAATCACAAGCATGACTCAATAACTAAAGCAAATATATCGAGTTCCGTGATGGGAAACGACGTGTGCTGTATTTTTTTTATCAGTGAAAGTGAAACCTTCTCCATAAATTAATTCTTGGCTAGAATATTATCAGAATCTGTCAATAGACACGTTCAGTAAGATTTTGCTTAGAGGATCAGACGATGCATTGACCAAGAAAATATTCAAAATTAATTATGTTTTTTTTATATTTCTGGTATTTTACTTTCTACAGTTCATTATTTCTATTCTTCGTTACTAGTAGAAAGCAAATGTAAAGTCAAAAATGATTTTACAATCAGAAAAACTTATGCTAGACTATTTATGATGTAAATGAAAACAAAGCAGAAGAAATATGAGATAGAAAACCGACTTACCAGATATCAAAAGTTGTTTAAGTTCATCAAATGATAGCTCAAAAAATTCATGATTATTTTGAATTAAATCTGTAAAATGTTCCTATTGAAACAAAAATGAGATAATTAAAATAATCTTGACTGAAAAAAATTATTTTAATTTACAAGAACATAATTCCAAGAAGTTTTTGTTAATTCATCTAGGTCATGTTGTAACGCGAATTTATGTATACCAAGACAATTAGATGGATGAAGTTGCTTTTCAATATATTTACAGCAAGTTTCAACTATTTCAGAAATATTAAACAGATGTGCCGCGCGAAGAACATTTGTAACATTATCTTGATGAATTTCCAAACGGCCTAATGAATATTTCAAATTTTCAAATACAAAAGAATTTTATTCATTGAAATAGTTCTACCTTCATAGGCGTATAAGATAAGTTTTTCAAGTGCATCTGGATCAATATCATTGATGACGATCTCACGCTGTTTTGTTTCAAGCATATTACTTTCAAACATAGCTCGAAAATAATCAGATAAAGTTGCAACAACAAGGCGATGAGCTGCAATACGCTGTTTTATGTGTCCATGACCGCAGACAAAAACAACATCGCATAGAAAGCCTTGTCGAAAATAAGATGCAATTTTTGAAACAGTACGTGTTGCATGATCAGATATTGTCACATGTTGTTGTTGTTCATCGTATCGATCCGACATTGTTATTATCGATGAAACATAATCATCTGAATCAACAGTTGAAGTAGGAGCACCAAAAGTGAATGCCATATTTTTTTAATCGCTTATCTGAATAAATTGTTAGATATAATAAGCCTTTTTCATCAATTTTTCTTCCTTTCATACATACCGCAATGCTGGCAGACACATTTTTCTTTTTTTTTTTATTGACACGCTTTTTCTTTCTCCTATCTGACGTGTGGCAACAAATCTACAAAAAAAATTGAAATAAAAAGTACTCTGATTGTCAACCATTCTCATATGTACATACAAATAGAAGAGCAAAACTCTTTTTTTTTTCTGAAAACGTTTAATTTTTCTAGAAAAAAGCATAAAATACAATGAGCAAAATAAACACAACAGTCACACACTCACATAAAAGAGAAAAAAATATATATGCTTTTTTCACTGTACTTTTGTACCATCACCAATCATGACTAAGATCGACTTTCGTTTTCCTCATTGTCGATGCATCCGATGATAGCAAAAATAAAACTACATCGTCATCTTTTAATGTATGAATGCTCAATCGTATGATGATCATAATTACGTCAAGAAACATCAACAAAAATAAGAATTACAGTACGCATAAAGAGCAAAGAAGAAAAAAAATAAGAAACACCAGGAACAGACTCATCCTATATGAACTAATCATGTTGATGAAAAAAATCCAAAACAGTTTGCCAACTTTGTTGGCGTGTATGACACAATGTTATATTCTCTTTTCGTGCTAAATCTTCAAGATACGTTCTCGAACGTTGAATATCACGTCGCTCGCATTTCGACAGTATGTCTTCTGTGCCATCATCAATAGTTGTTTGAAGATACACAATTATCTTATGCTTGCGTTCACCGATAACAAATGCAAGTTCAGCAGCCAAATGCGATAAACGTTCGCTACCGTTAATTAAATAATATATGACACGTGACTGTTTTCGTAGATGAATGTCATAGAGAGCATCGTTTTGATCAGTATCATGGCAAAATTGTCGTTTTGTAAACGTCAGATTACCTTGTTCAAATGAGGGCAATGCAAAAGCATTCAGCCAATATTCATCATGTTCACCTGAAGCTATATATATATCGAACATATAATTTGATGGTCGATAGGCAGAAGTAGGAGAAGGTGGATCCGCAACAGTTGATTTTTGCAAGGGAAAAAATCTGTCTTGCGATGGCGAAGGCAGTGCAGGTGAAAGAAGAGTATTTTTGATAAAACGGAAAGGAAGAGTAAATAAGACCAAGAGTGATTGTGAAACAGATGAATCTGGTTTGGCTGAAGAATTCACAAATGGAATATAGGAATAAAAATTTGAGATAAAATTATTGATCATAGAAGTTGATGAATTATGACTCGATCTGCAAAATCAAAAAAATAATACTTTTCAATAACTGAATCAATTTAAATCTATAGATTATTTTACCCTGAACAATGTTCGTCACGCTGTTGATCAGTAACTGGCTCAAATAATTCAGATGCTAATGATGATGTTGATAGAGATAGAGTAGGATTACTCGACGAAAGTGAACCATAACCATCGTCGTCGCTTTCATTTGTAGAACACGATAGTTGTGTTTTTGTACAAACGGATGCCAGTTGAAACTCATTGCGTTCTGAACAATTAATAAAAAGAAACAGAAAGAAATTAGAAAATAGACTTTGCAGATTAAAATTATACTTGATTCTGGTGTGGAAGTCAGGCGTCGCTGAAAAAGTTTCGACGAAGACGCGTTTGCTATTTCTGATTGGTGCATTTGTCGATAAAAATCATCAGTTGATTTATAAGCGGTTTTGTTTGAAAGCGAACGAATAAGAACAACTGGCGTAGATTGAGAACCATTAAAATCACTCAGTGACATCGGTAATGGCGTAAGAACATCTGGAAAACATATAGAAACTTTTATATAGTTGAAATAGTGAATTAGCTCGCTCACCAGTATGATCTTTATTTTCTTCATCGAACGCACTATTTGTTATTACTGTACGTTTAGTTGTTTCAAGTATAAATGCAGCACATTCAAGGGCTAATCGAACATCATCAAAAACTGGAATATTCATACTTTGAAGTAATGCACGTAGGGTTCGTCGAGCTTCGCATACATTTTCATAATCATTTTCATTATCTTTTTCGTCTGTGCTAGGTTTTTGCTGAACAAATTTTGTCTGGTTTTTCTCTGGCATTGGATTCATAACAACAATGATACTTCGTCCACGCGCTGCTAGATAACATACTTCTACAATGGATGCTAATGCTCGAGTGTCATGATCAATAACAAAAAATAAAAGTGGAGCTAATTCTTTTGCGCGGTGTTCTACTTCAACAAGATCAGGTGTCCAATCGGCGACTTGTGGATTATAAAAAGAAACTGAACGGGATTGAAAATAAGGTATAGCTTGGTCATGTCGCCATGTCGTGGGATTACATGAGCCGCCTAAAAAGACTTCATAATTTTGCTGTCGTTCTTGCTCCTGCTGCTGCTGCTGTTCTTGTTGTTGAGAATATTTTGATTGTTTGCGTACCCCTGGACATGAAATAATATCAATGCCGTAAACACGTTGAATTAATAGCAATTGTAAAAATTGAAAAGCACGTTTAAATTTCAGATTACTACAATTTGGTTTTTTTGATATGTCATCGATTCTTAATGCATGATGAAAGAGACGACACTCACAAAGTGAAGTCATATCTACAATATTTTCGAGTGAATTGAATTAAATTTCATCACATGACAATCTAAAAGTTAAGAAATAAAAAGGGACGACAAAAAAAGATAGTTTAAATGAAACACTATAATTTATGACATGTTTTTTGCTTATCAATATTTGCACAATGCCTCGGGTACACGAAGAAAATAGTTGAAATTTATAAAGAAACATAGAATTGTAAATCGTTCGCCATCCACTAGAATATGACAGTAACCTTTTTTTTTTCTCATTGCCTTTTATTCGTGTCTCTTGATTTGTGAGTCAAGGAAGAAAACAAATTGATGCCATAATTTCTACAGAGCAAGTATTGTTCCCCTGACGACTCCTACACCTGACCAAAGATTTTTCTCGTCGTCATTTCGATAAAAAAAAACAGCGTAAAAATCGAGAAGCAAAGAAAACTTCTAAAAAACGAATAGATTCTCAGGTAAGCGTCTTAAAAAAAAGTAGCAATCATGTGACAATGATCACGTGAAAATCAATTGAAGAAAGGATTAGTAAAACAAATTGGTAGCGAGAACGAAATATCAAAAAGATTAATAAGCACAATAGTCTTTTTAATTGAGATTTAAGAGCATTTACTTAGAATCCGACATATAAATATTGTTTTTAGGCCTATATAATATTACTTGAAACACGTTAGTAGAATTTCATCAACATTATTCAGGTGCAAAAAAAAATATATATATATATAGATAGATGAAAAATGATCTGATTTTTATCCATCGAAGATTCAATTAGTTATGACTTTTGAATGTATCGAGATATCTATTTTTTGTTTTTTTTTCTTCGGATCTGTAATTGGAAGTTCGATTAACTAATAATATATATTGCGTATGACGCATTATTATTTGAGAAACATCGTCATGATGTAGATGACGCTCTACATGGAAGAATAGAAGAATCCTTCACTGATTGAAACAACTCCGAGAGTACAATTTCCAAGAAAACAAAGAAAGAACGCAATAATAATTAATAAATATATCTCAGAAGGAGTCAAAGGTCATTTACATATCAACTGCTCACGGAAGAGAAAAAACGACGACTTTAAATAATAGCGAACAAGTAGTAACTAACCGATAACATCAAAAATACGAAAATAAAATTTTGAAAAAATGTCATGCAATGCATATTATTGATGATGATAATTGCAATATCATCAAAGACTAATAATGACGGTATGCTGTAGAAAGTAGGAAATACGCAAAAAAACTAATATGCAGAACAGTCGCCTATTGCTCATTTTCATGATTCAATATTGTCTAATTTAATTGATATTAGATGCTAAACAGATACACAACATGCAAATTCTAATATTAGAATATGGAAGAAGGAGTTCTTTCAACAGATAAAAGTACACACTACTCAAGCATTGGCTTCATTTCAAAATGCGGAGTGTAGCATGTTAGGCAAGAGGTGCGCGCACACTTTCTACGAACGCAAATGAAGATTATGGTGCATCTTCAAAAATCTAGTCTAAAGATTTATACAACTTTATGGTAGATTAAAATGTAAATAGCATCTAACAATTCTAGTCGGTATTAGTCATCATTATTCATTTTCATCCGATTGCATTGCTACCAATCAGCATATTTGATTTAAAGCAAATATTGTATTTCAATGCAAAATTTCCATGAAGAAAAAATCTTGCTCGAAAAGTTTTAATCCTCTAGATAAATAGAATAAAAGTGATTTTTATAAGAGATGGATTTTTTATACCTACGGAGACAATCCTATTACAGGATAAATTTGATAGCAAAATGCTGTAATTTTAGTCACCCAGAGAAAAACAAGCTTTTAATGATTAGGTCGTAATCGCAGATGATGGCAATAAACAAAATAGCTCTTCGATCGACCTGTTGTAAAAGTTATAAAATGATTCATTTCTACAGCAAACGACAAACTGTCTCTTTGATTAGTTTACCGTAGACGATTATTTTACTTACATATCATTTACAGATATAGCCTCAAATATTTAATGTCACTGTTGAGTATCATCAAACTATTGAAATCAGTAAACTTTAAAATAATATTCATGAAACGTAATATTAATCTAAAAGTATAGTAGTTATGCATGATCGTCATATTCTTTCTCGGGGAAAATAATTTACAAATGAGATATCCTATAGATGTCTATGAAGTGTAGAACTGACGCATCCTATCTCAATTCATAAAGAGATCTTATATTATTAACACTTAACTAGTGTCATTGGTTTTGATTTACTAATAACAGCTTCGTTTTGTTTCACATTAGTATTATAATCAATGATCTTAATCTCAATAAAACAAAGCTAGCATAGAATTTTTATTGTACGAAAATTTTCTCTATAAGTTTAGGTATTCATTTGAATATTACATGTGTGTAATTTTCTCAAATAAATATTTCCTTTTTTCGAAGATATTTTTCCTCGAAACTGTTTGTATCGTATTCGTGAGATGCCTAGTTCAAATTCGAATATAAATGGACATCCACAACTGCATGGTATCAATTCGAAAATAAGTGATAGAAATAGATTTCGTTTTATATTTAGTTTAAGATGGAGTGGGTGTGGGTTGAGGGGGACTAAGGTGTAACTCTGGGTGTAGGTGAAGGGTGCCAGGAAGAGGTGCAGAGGGGTATCCGGGATACTTCAAATGTGGCTGTGGGCGATGGATACCATGGAGGAGTGCTCAAATGTGGGTGTGGATGAAGGGTATATATGTATTCATATGTCGTATATATCGAAAAGTTAAACTAAAACTAAATCTATGAATAGATTTAGTTTTAGTTTAACTTTTTATTTTCTCGATTTATATTCGAACTCGAATTAGACAGCTACTCTCATAGCTACTCTCCAAAGATGTTATCATAAACATACTATTCATAGGAGATGAAAGATATACTATAGTACGATATTTGAATGCGAGTGATAGTCTGTAAGGTCATCTATAAAGATTAATACATACGAATATTTAGGAACAAGAGCAAAGAATTCATTTTTTTTATCAAGAATGAATTAACTTATGAAACGGGCAAATCTACTCGTCTCAATTTGAAATAGCATTTATTGAAATAAAATTGATGTTAGTTTTATTAATAAGTATTTATTATCATTATTATTGAATGATCTAGTCAATTTTTTCAATTGTTTCCCGAAATAATATAGAAGCTCTGCCATTGTTCATGCATATCCATCATTCATTATATATGAAAACAAGAGAGTGATCGTATAGTTCCTATTATATAGAAGCTTCTAACTTAAACCCAATGGAATACGTCAGCTATCTATCTATTCCGTACAATACCAAAGGTATCAAGAGACTATAGTGATAGTAATAACTAACCATCATCAATTTATATATGAGAATATACATAAGAAAAACAAACTAACGTTACTTATGGCACTTGTATGTATTAGTTTCTCTAGACGATACTACCTATTGCATCAGTAGAATTGAAATCTTTACTACATTTTCTCATTGCACAACACCATAAAATTTAACGCATTCTTACTTTTCTAGAATAACAAGCTGACTAAATCAATATGCGTCATGTATATAATCTTCATAAACATGCGTGTAAATATTTCACGCAAATATGCCTGGAAATTGGGTATTCTTTTTCTAAATTCAAGCGTTCGATCAAGGTCATAAAACTGCATTCTACGATCAAAGAATCGTTTAGATGACGCCATATCATCTTTATATATCTTATATATATATATATTATTAAAAGGTAGATTCCAACATGATTATATGACATGCAAATATATATTTCAATAGCAGATAGACATTCACATGTAAAAATATGTTTTTCTTTTGTCATTTCTTTCTTAGTTTATTTGATTAATCTCATCTTTCAAATCTTGTCGTCGGTTTGATTATACATGCAGATGATGTAATTTCAAGGCAATAACAAAATATTGGTTTTATTACATAATTAATTTCTAGTATGATTGATTCTTTTTGGTTTGTGATGAAATAGTGTTTGTAGTAACTAACTAGATGTATGAAAAAACTTGTTTCTAGTTAAAGTTAGCTAAAAGAAACAGATGCACAACAGCTGCCCGCGAAGGATATGACTACAGCGACGATTTAATACTTCGTGACACGCATATTTTCTAGATTATTCATATTTCCAAAGAATTCTGTGCCATTTCCTTAGACGATTGTATATTAATAAAGATACAATTTAAAGGTATTTCTATATAGTAAACGGCATAATTGCTTTTTATGAGACCATTCTGTTAGCAAGCGCGAATTACATGTATACATTTCAACGAATAAGTACAATTTGTCAAATATTAAGCAAAATAAATAAATCAGTTTATGATGAAGCTCTTTCTCCCACAAAAATCAGATTTATTCTCTACTCTACGTTTAATTCTTGTAAAAGATTAACTAGCAAGTAATCATTATTTCAATCTCAATAAACGAACGTTTTTTCTACCTTTCTCTAAATCAATTTCATGAATATTGGAAGTTAAATTATTGTATTCATTCATACTTTTTTCTTTTCCTGTAAATGTTCACTAATTCATTCATACAGTTTGACAACAATAAAAAAAAAGAAGCCGAACAGTAGTGCTACAATACAACAACAAAACAAAAAAGAAAAGAATAAAAAGATCATAACCAATATATTAGACTAGTAGGAAAATAGACAGAAAAAAAAATACGAAATAAACTGAAATGAAATGATAAAATAAGTTTTATTTTTTGATAAATCAAAGAAAGCAAATAAAGCATTCATCTTTACCATGCACGATAGTATATGATATTCACCGGTCGAATTCAGGATCATTGGCTACTTCTATACGGCAACTGGTTCTTGCTTCTCCAAAACGATTTTTAACAAGACAATCAACATTACCAACATCTGTTCTCATACACTAAATAAACGAATAAAGATGTATTAGATGAACCATCGCTGGATTTGTCTCATATTTCAATACATACACGAGAAAGAGTAAAAATCGCATTTTCACCATTGTAATCTGTTTTTGATTGTGTTGTTGATGAAATCAACTGAAAAGAAATAGAAATCTCTATTTATATTTTTAAACGAAAGAAAAAATAAACTTTACTTTGCCATTATGAAACCAGTTAACTGAGACTTGTAATCCGAAAATACAACACGATAACTTTAAGGGACGACCTTCAACTATAGTTATATCACTGAGTGGTTGTGTAATGCAGGGTGTGGCTTCGGAGGCTGAAGCTAACAAAGAATAAAACAAAAATAAATAATTACGCTTAGTGTCCCGTATTTCGTAAAAGAATAAAATTTATTTCGAATTCTTACCGACAACAATTATTTGAGCGATTGCTTCTTCTCGACCGTATCTATTCATAATTGTACATTTTATTTGGCCATTATCACGAGCACTAACCGGTCCAACATCCAAATAATATAACTCATGAAGTTTATGTGTTTGATATTGTGCAGATGTTGAACCGCCAGCAGCCAGTATTTCAGGTATACGCGAATCATTATGAGACCAAACAATCGTTGGAAGTGGATCTCCACCAAAGCAACATTTGAATTTAGCTAGTCATATACAATACAGTTTAGTAATTGATAGTACTCAAATAAAAAGCAAATGATAAGGAGGAAGTTCGGAAAGGTTTTTTGTTTTAATGATAAGAATCAATTCTTTTTAAAAACTACGAATGAGTAAGATCAAGCTTTTTTTCTTTGTTCATATACCTATTTCATTGGGCAACAGAAGTACTGATTGTGGTCGTATTAAAAAATAGGGTCGAACAAGTTTATTTTCTTCGTTTGTATCAAACGATGATGACCGTAAAGTATTTTGTTGACGATTATAATCATTCGATGAAACTAATTCTTTTTTTCTTCTTGTAATTGCATTTTTAGAATGATAGTCAGCTGTAATTATCGATCCATTTACTAATGTATTTCTTTTTCGTACATGTGCTAGAATAATAGAAAATAATTAAGTTACACTAGTATTTGATTATTTTCGATTACAATAAAGAATGTCATGCAAAAAAAAAAACGTCGAGCTAGATAAAAACAAGACTGTTAAAGAAGAAGAAGATGAAAACTTACTTAAGCCACCATCGAGCGATCGTTTAAAATGTTGTAATCGTCTAATGATTCGATCGATAAATATCTTTATGGTTGCTAAATGAGAAATAAAAGAAAAAATAATAGTCATTATTTTTATTTCTTATCGACTGGATCAATATGTGTAATAATAATTCTTATTCAGATACACAATAATAGTCGTTTGATTAAATACCTTTGCCATTATTGTTATTACTATTGATTGATGTCTTTGTATTATTGAGCGCATCTTCATCAATAAATAACGTGGTATGTAAATCATTCACGCACAATGAAACATGATGAGCTGATTCATTTGCTGGTTGAGATAATACTTGATTGTTCGCTGGATAATCAACTTCGTTATCAAATGGTGATGAAGGGATCTGATTGTTATTAGAATAGGAAGTTGTTTCTTGATTGTTTGTGTCTACTGCTGCTGGGCTAATGGGAATGAATATGTCAGGTTGATGTCGGAAACGAATAGGATCAGATTGAAGACGTTCCCAAACGGCTTGGCGATGCATAGAAGTAGCCGGATGGCCGTTTGATGAATTAGTAAACTAGACATAACATATACATATAGATCATATCAATGTTTAAATAGAAAAAAAATGACGCTGCTTACCGATGAATCTTGTTGATATTGAATTACTTTCATTGTTGCTGGATGTCTTTCAGTGATATCTGTATCGCTGGATGAATCTCGACTGCTAATTGATGAGCTATGTTCTCGTTGTCTTGGATGTTCACGTTCAATCATTACTGGTACAGTACCATTGGTTGGTACTCGACCATGAGCTGGTTGTTTCCATTGTTCTGATGAAATATGATTCGTAATTTGTTGTTGTTGTTGTTGTTGGCGCAATGATGTCATAGATTCTGAATCCGAAATAGGATCAAGTGTAGTTGTATAAGAAAGTATATAATTAGGTTCATCAGCTTCATTAATCAATTGAGATTCATCTTCTTCTAACATTGATTTCATTAATGAATGATATGCATTATCAGTTGTATGACGTTTTCGTCGATCACGCATCCGTTCTCGAAACGCAGATGATCGAGCAACTAATTCTGTAGGCGTTTTCTCGTGGAATGGTGCTCGACGTTCATCAACGATCGAAGAATAACGACGTCTAATTTGCCGATCCGATTGATACCGTCGTTTTTGTTGTTCCTGTGCATGTTGTTCACGATAGAGAAAGTCACCATTAGCAAGTTCTTGAAAAGGTAAACGTTCAACAATAATTAAATCATGTTGATTGAGACTTCGCCTATTTAATATAGGTAAACTGAAATTTTCAGCTCTTTGATAATGTCGATATCCCGGATGTTGTTGTTGCTGCCACTGCTGTTGCTGTTGTTCTTGTGCAAGACGAACATGAATAGTATCAGGAAATATAAAGTCAGATATTCGATTAAAGTTTTTTGATACAGGTCGAGACATTGGCGGCATAAAATGATATGATCGAGGTCGTTTGCGTGATGAGAACCATTCAGATGGTAATTTTTCATGATTGTACATTTTTTTCTTTCTCTTTATATATCTAGAGTTGAAACATAGGCTTTAGGTTTCATAGTTGTCAGACAACTTTAAATGAAACTATTAAACACTTGCATTGTATGTATCACTCACGCACACGACGCGACTGGTTTCTCACGTATTGAACTATGGTTAAAAGGTATCAAATAGGCAAAAAGATTCAAATGGCTAAAGAGACCATAGATTGGGGGGAGGGGCGGAGAACAGAATGAGAGAATAAGCAGCATGTACGAGCGCATACTATGTGTGAATGTTTTACTTATAGTAAATATTAGTAGCAAATACGGTGACTGATCTAAATAGATTGAGTTTCGTTTGACCGTTGTCGTAGTAGAAATACTAGTAAATAATTACGCATTTATATATATATATATATATATATACAAGACTCAATGAGGTCAACGATAGTCAGCAACTTTTCTACATATTACAATATTATATATACGCATATGCATATCAATATATCAATATCAATATACGTATATATTCATATATTGTATGTTAGTAAATTAGAACAAGCTATTCAATACATGTCGCACCAGTAAGTGTATATAAACATATCCAGATGAAAAATACATGCGACGCTCACTTGTATATATGACGAAAGATCAGGCACACTTTTACTATAACGGACATGCTCTCGTGATAATCACAGATGCCATATAGTAGAGAATAGATAGTAAGATGCAGCATCCCACACTATGTTTCATAGCTACTGTATAAGAACATAGTCGCACGCGCACCAACATGAGAAAAAATAACACAATTGGAAATCAAGGACAAACGCTATTTATATGCTCATCAATAAATGTAGTATTCTGCAACTTAAAATAACATTATACATGCATTCATGTTTATAAATTGATGTTGTTATTCCTATTACTGTCACTATCGGTTCTTTCTCCTCACTTGTGCTTATTATGATTTTTTTTTGGTGAAAGAAATCGGTTAATTAATGTGTCAGATGTGGAATGATGCTGAAAGCAATTACATTACCTCGACACGAAGGATTATAAATAGAATATTCTGTTCTATGTAGATGCCTGGCATATATGCTAACATCGAAAGGTTATCTTGTGAAAATTAAATAGGTTGACAACAGTTGCTATCATCCAAAGTTATCTTTAAATACACCTGTCGTAGCCTGCAGAGTGTAGACAATATCAATTCGTTGTTGAAAACAAACTAATGTATACACCATATAATAGTTATTTGTGATTGTCTATTATTCTTGTCGTACATGTTGATCGATCGCTAGATGTGTTCCTGTCGACATGTGGAAATAAAAGAAGAAAAATAACTAATAAATAGACAAACGTAGAATATATCCGTAAATCGATGCCATAACACAAACGCGTACTATTTAAATCAACTATTTATTCACGTTCGATATTCACTAGAGAGAAGCTGTTATGAAACTGTCATGTATGAAAATAAATAGAAGAGTTTCTTTATTTTCTATTTTCCACTATATATATGTATATATATATATATATATGTTGTATATAAATAGATCAACTCACCAACCATTTATTTTGTGTATACACATAAGACGCAAAACGACTAACACGATGAAAGACAGTAGGCCATAAAAATTTTGTATTTATCTTTTTTCTTGTCAAATGGCATTTGAAGTGCTCGCACCAGCAAAAAAAAGCCACAAGAACAAAAACAAGGATATCTTTTTTCTTTCATTACACGCATGTGTATGCGTGTAGAAGCAATGAAAAAGCGTCGACTGGTGAAAGGAGGAATCTAGACGTTTTTCTTCTTCTACCCTCTCGCACACGCAGTAGGTTGTGGAATCTACGAGCGTCCTTCGCATATAATAAATTTTGTTCTGTTAGAGAGACGGCGAATGTGCTCATCGTGCTGTATGCACGATGTAGGAAGGCAAAAAGAAAATAGAAAGCAAGTAAAAGGTATATTTCATCAACAAATAGAAACAACTCAAGTCCTATCGGTTGTCGAACGAAATGAATGACAAAATTTTGCTCAATAGATACCTTTCTACTCTCAAGTTCTTATTCTATTTGCTTGTTGTTTGTCAAATGTAAAGAAAAAGGAGAGAAAGAAAAGAAAAGAAAAGAAAAGAAAAGAAAAGAAAAAGATTGTTACTTGTCAATAACAGAACGTTTAGAGAAATCGCAGTTTCTCTTGAACTGTGAACACGTCTCGACTTGAGCTGGTTTCATTTGCATATTGCCGATGTCATTATGTTGGATTAAATAAAAGAAAGGGTTTCGAGTAAGGTTGAAAGCAGTTAGACACCACTACTTAGTTGTCAACCTTGATTTAACTTGTACAGTACATTTTCAAACAATACTCAATTGTTAAATTTCTAAGATATAACGATAAGTATGTCAGTTCGTAACGCTTCAAAACTACAGACAGAAATAGAAATCTATTATTCTTTTTCTTTTCAAACGGAACATACACGTCGTGTTGGAAACAAATAAGAAAATAGAGAGAAAAAACGTAAAAGAAGAAATATGAATAATATTATGAGTGAAAATCTCAAGGTAAAGTAGGATTAGAAATCGGTTTTTCTACATTGATTTATTTGGTAAAAAAGACTTTTCAAATATTTTCATTTACAATGAGACTAACACTGTCAAAACTGTGTTATGATAATAAGTATATTTGCCATTGTTATTATATACTTTCATACGTCAGATTGATAATCGTAAGAATCGTAGCTGATCATGACGCAATATTCTATTACGATCGCGTTCGTCATTTTTTATATCCACAATTATCGATTGCTTATTATTATAGTATTGTTAAAGTCTGCACATGTTTATTCAATAAGCATAGCCTATTGCTGATGATTAAAGGATTTCTATTACTTTTTTCCTATTACGGAAAGCATAATGGTTGTATTAACATTCAAATTTCTTTTTGTATTTATTATCGAGTCACGCATTTTAATAAGTAGTGTTTCATGATGAGTATACCTCAAATTGATGCTTCTTATAAATAATTGTTCATATTACTTGAATGATGACTTTAAATAATCAACTAAAATTTTCCTCAAACGAGATTTTATTAGAAACGTCAATCAAATTATTGTCTATGTATAAAAAAAAATGAAATTTGAAGGGCATGACAACAATCATAGATTTATTTTTAGTTTTTTATTGAATTGTAAAATGTGAACCACTGAAATCGATATGACATCGTAAAAATTTTGTGAGTGTTGGCAGCTATCATGAAATCAGAATGTACTTAGGATAAATCAAAAGCTGAATGACTATGAATTAAAGTAATTCACATTAGATTCTTTGAATAATTAATCGTTTCAAAAGAGATTCTATGAAAAATTTTCAATTTCAAATTTGATGACATTTTCACGTAGAAGAGTTTGCCTTTAGCAAAAGAAAATTTTCACAGACTAATCAAACTAGAGCTTTTGTTATTGCAAGATCGTTGTATGTCTATTCCCTTAGAGTCTATATTTATTTTCATAATTATTGACCAATTTACAGAAAATTTCAAGGAGAAAACTCCCCTCCAGCATTTAATTGCTTGTTGACTTTTCAAAGTTTTCGATTTCAATAGCCTTGAGCACAATTGCACTTATTACCGAAAATATTTACCTGATTTCTAGTTTCTCACTTTCAGAAAGACTACAGAATATGACCAAAAATAATGTTGCAAACAATTCGTTCTACTAAAAGACTCTTCCGAATACTATTGTAACGATTTCTCTGGCTTTGGGCTTACCATCATGTTTTAGTAGCGTTAAGGTTTTGTTTGTTGAATTGTTGTTAACGTGATTTATAACGTGAGCTTGAGTGTCCTTGAGATTAGCTTTTATATGTCTTTATTTTTAATCTGAAGCCTACGACAATTCTCAAAATGCAATGTAAATAAAAACAGCGCATGATTGTTAGTTTTCTTTAGAAACTATCATGAAGTCATCAGTGTTCTGTTTAATAATCCAGTGATAAAAATTCTTTTGATAAGTGTACAGCAGCAATCAACCACAAGGGGGAACCAGCAGACTCCATTTCCTTGGAGCCAGGTGGAGTCCAGTGGAGCTACACGAAATCACATGCAGCAGCTGAAGCTACATGCAATTTCAAAGAGTCCCAGGAAATCATCAGCAAACACGAAACGTCACACGGAGTCTCTTGGACTCACATAATAAATCTCGTAAAATCCTTGCAGATCTCCAGAAAACCAATATAGAGATTCGAAACTGATATACTTTTACTTTTTTCTATTATATGTATCGTCAAAGGAAATAGTTATTAGTCTCGTTCTTTGTCAGAAATTGCCCCAAAACGATTCCCATAATAGAACAATGAGCCATACTGCCAAGATGGAAATCATGGACTTCATTTTCATGCAATCTGCTGTCTCCCCGTTGATCAACCATCTAGTAGTCAGGGTAAACTTGCCTTTTGTATTTGAAATATTTAACTATAGAGTTTTGCCACTGACATTGCAGATTCTTCGAAACTTCTACACAAATGGATACTCTTACGTGGAAGATCCGTTCTGAGACGATGGAATGTCTGATTCATACGCTAAAATCATCGAGTGTTTAAGTATTTCTGAATCTTTCAAATATCTAACACAAATTTATTTTGTACAAATGATATACATGTTTTACTATGGTTCCGATTTAGATAGTCGAGAAGAATTATGAACATCATCTTTTCTTGAATTCGAAGCGAAACAAATATGTTATAACCAAAAACAAAATATGAATAGCATAAAGAAAACATTTAAATTTTATCAGTAAGAAATATTAAATGTGTGTTCGAATGGGCTTTCTTGTCATTTTCACCTATACCCACTCAGATAAGTACATAATTACTCTCAATCAAGGTCTTCAGTATTTTTTGTTTTGTGTGACATTTAAAATTCTGTATTGACCTACTTCTACTACATTTCTCTGTTCTAATAGCTTTTTTTAATGGCCAAATATTTTATTTCCTTTTTATATTTGAAGATATTTATAGTTCAATAACGTTTCAACTTAAAAAGTTTTAGTATTCATAGAATTTCTTCGTTTCGTCGTCGTTCATAAGTAGAAACTTGTTGGTTCCTATCATAGGCGACGGAGCTATTAGGCTCGCGAAGCTCAAGCCTACCCTAGGTTGAAAGGAGGTAGGCTTAGCCTACTCTAAGCTGGAAGTGAGTAGACCTTGATAGACTGAAACTGGAACAGATAAATGTTTGGATAGATTGTTATTTGCAAAATGGTTTTATTCTTGTTTAGTTTTGGGGCTTTTCTAACAAATAACGCAATATTACAAGATCATTTCATATTTTCTCTACTAGTAACTCGTTCGCACTGAAGTATTAGTTGAACGTATTTGGCATTAAAATTGACATCTAATTCGTAATTCTTAGTTTAAGATAGCTGAACTGTTTTTGTAACTTCTGTTTAAAAGTACTTTTAAATTTTAGACACTCGAATAACATTACTTGTGCCGTGCAGAAATGCGAACTAAACAAAGTTAGAGTATGTCTTCCTTTCAAAAGCAAGACCAGAAGTAGTTTTAGTGAAAATCCGTCTTCTGTTGAAATTTAAATTAGGAATTTAAATGATACTCATAGTAAAACAAAACGTCGTTAGAATCAACAAAAACTCGACATCATCATTATTAAGTATCTATTCTGATTTTTCTACAAACAATGAAATATAGAACATTCGTTCGTACTGAATAGTTTTTCTTCTTCTTTCACGGCTCTTTTAGCGATTTTTTCCAAGCAGTCTTTCGCATTTTTTTTCATTTCTTTACTTGCTGTTGCATCTAAAAACCATACCGCATTAGATAGTTATTCCACTTATACAGAATTAAAAATTAGTAAGACAACCTAAAACGATTCCCTTTATATACAAATGAAAAAAATCAGTTCTCAATTAGCTTTCATTTATGCAAGAGCTAGAATTTATATCAAAGTAAAATCGATTAAAAACTGATTAAAAGTCGATTACAATCATATGATTCTTGTAAAGTTCCAATCATTTTTAACCAGTTTTAATCTTTAACAATTGAAAAACTAAATTTTCATTGTATATCACGATTATTTCTGCATAACTATAATCAAGGTAAGCTGCATAAAAACATCGACTTTAATTGATTCTTCTTGGTGATAGATGCAAAAGGCTTTTTTCGATCTTTACCGATTTGCATAAATTGTAATCAATTTGTCTATGAAGTTTTAATCAATCATAATCTGAATAATCGAATGAATCAATAAAAATATTTTTGTTTCCGCTATTTTATTAAAAATCAGTTAAAAAATGATTAAAAGACGATCGAAATCGTATGCTTAGAGTTGACACTTAAAGTGCTTTTAGTCGATTTTAGTTTGACGTCAACTCTATTCTTTTTCAATGGTGAGACTTGATTTATCCAAAACGTTGAGCCTACCCTGGATCGAAATCGTTCCGCCGCCTATGGTTCCTATCAAAATAAAACAAAAACATATATAGATTATGATAAAATAAAACATATAGGCTTGCTTTGATTTCACTGTCAGCGTTGAGATCTTTATTTTTCAAATAATATCTTCGATAGCAGACAATTCAATACGTGTTAGAATGTTATTTCTCGAATAGTAATAATTGAAAGTTACATTTATTTATTTTTTTCTACTACTTATAAGAAAACAAATAATAAAAAGCAAACCAAAATATAAAGCTAACAATATGTGTTGTTGCTTTTATATGAATCGGTACAAACGCAAATCGTAAATTTTATATTGTGCAATGTGACAAACGATAAGATTTGAAACAGATCTCTATTGAGTAAACGAAGGGGTCGAATTAGCCCGATAATACAGCCATGGTTGATCATAAGAAAATCCATCGGTATTCGATGTCGACGATGTTGGAGATCGGGGAGATATAATTGTGGTTCTTCGTCGTACTCCACATGCTTGCATACACGTGTGACGTCGTTCCATCATTCCTTCTGTGTTATGACGTTGTTCGACTTGAATAGCTATACCTTCGAGTGAACCATCTTGTTCACGCTTCAATTGAACATGCTGAACACTACGATATGTATCTTCATTGTCATTGCTTTTATTTTTATTATTATTATTATGAAAATTCGATGACGATGATGATGATGGCGGAGTAGGAAGATGAGGTGAGTGTGCTCGTTGAAATGCATGTGTATGACGACGATTGTTATAAAATGATCCGAACTCATTTTTTGATGCATATGAACATTTCGTTGATGGTTGTTCATGAAGTGATGATGTTGAAAAATAATGATTCTGTTGTAAATTACTTGGTGAAGATGGAGCTGTACAGTATGCACTATCAAAACGATCGCCAAGAAGCCTTGGCGAATAGAATTGTTGCTGTTGAAGTTCAATATCATTTTCAACCGACAGAGCATAACGCGATGATGGAGGTGATGTTGGATTACTATTATTTCTTTCACATTGAAAAGAAGAAGATAAAGAAGATGAATTCGTTGTTTGACATTCGATATCAAGTTCCTAAATGAATTTAATAAATCAAAACGATTTGTGTGCTTTTTTTCTTCTTCATTCTTTCGAACTAACCTGTTCATCTATCTTATTCGATTCTTTTTCGCTGTTATCATTGATATTGATTATTATATCATTTTTATTATTACTTGATGGTATATCAGTTTCAGCTGATTGAACATCATCCGTCAACGATTCATCTTCTTGAATTGAACGATCAGAAAGTGATGACGATAGTAAATCACCTCCACTTTGCCATGTTGCACTTGTACTACGTGTTGCATCACCGAAACGTGATTCAACGCGAAGGTTATCATCAATATCGAATGAAGGTAATTTAACTTGAAATAAAAATTTTCCTGTTTCATCAATATTTTTTGCGAATGCTTCTATACGTTTTCGTATAGTATCAATAGAATTTTTTGATTCTATTGTTGACGAACAAGAAGAAGGAGAAGGAGAAGAAGAAGAAGAAGGAGAGGATAAAACTGAACTGAGATTTCCTTTTCTCATACGCAATAATTCATTTTGATCGATATGGATATGTTGCATTTCTTTTTGAACAAATAATTCATATTCTTTTCCAAGTGTTTCATATTCATCATGAATTGTTTGAATAATAAGTGTATGAGCTTTATTAATTGTATTGATTGTATCAAGACGCCATTTGTGACACTGTTCAAGTGTTTCATTTTTTTGTCGTTCAAGATCATTTTTCGTATGAACGATTTTTGCCACAAGGCGATCACTTAACTCATGTAAACGCTCAAGTTCGACAGTTACGTTTTTATAATGTTTGTTACAACATCGTATACATAAACGTTGATTACAATGACAACATTGAAAGAGACCGCCGTGTGTTTGACAATCATCACATTTTAATGTTGATGCCATTAAATCAATAGATGATTGATAATGGGGCGAAGACATTTGAGAACAAGATGATGTCTGTGTTATAGATTCAGTTTGTTCACGAACTTGTTCTGATGATGGTAATTCTACGACTAATGTCGGAATAGGTGTTGAAGGTGATCGTACAGATGAAGAAGGAGAAGAAGAAACAGCCTTGTCTGTAAAAGAATTTGTGTCGTATAAGTAATGTTGCGGCTAAAATAAACAAATAAATCAATTAAATTCAAATATTAAAATAAAACAACTCGTATTCTATTGCTTTCTTACAAGTGGTCAACTACTACAATCAATAGTCCTATTTTGCATTTTTGTTTCTATATCTATAAAATGTCTAAAGTGTACAGATCGGAACAGGAGTTTACCTCGTCAATCATTTAATCGAAAAAAAGAGGGATACAGAGAGAGAGAGAGAGAGAGAGAGAGAGAGAAAAGACAGAGAGATAAACTTTACATGAGAAAAGAACATCTACAATTTCACGAGCATACCGACACGCATTCTTGCAAAAGTGCAAGGTTTCGTTTATATTACTGACGAAATAGAGATTTTCAAATACATATGTGGAATTTTATTTCAGATGGTATATATACTTTCATGTATCACTTGAATGGTGATATATAGACAGACGTACGTCGGCTTATTAGTGACTAGATGATAAAAATACATAGAAAAGGATGATAAGTGCTGTACTGAAGGTTAAAAATAGAAATCTCGAGAGAAAAAGAAAAGAAAAAGATCGAATTTTATGATATATGGCTAATGGGCAAAATGATCATAAACTAGACAAACCGATAATATTATGTACGATCAATATAATAACAACATATTAAAAATAAGATAGTCGCATGTATGATTTTTAATTCAAAATAATTCACCACTCATTACGAGCTTAATATTTAGGTTCGAATATCTTACGTACAAGTCTTCTTGATGATATTGAATATGCTCGTCTATTGTCCAATGATAATGACGTATGGTATCCACCCAAACTACGTCTTGGCCTTATTCGATTCAAATAGTTTTCGGTAGCCATTATCGTACACACATATAGCTTTAAACACTATGATGCTATTAGTCGAATGATGCACAACAATAAAAGAGCAAGAAATATATATTATCAAGCTGCTTTTATGTCGAAAAACAACAAGAACAATAGCGTATATGAATATGGAAGACGACGAGAAAAACAATAACATCAATATAAGACCTATGGTATAAGCTATCTGTTATAAATATACATTCGAACCGTAAAAAAGTTAGTTGGTCTTTGTCTAATCTGTTTCACGCTTGTAATAGCTTCTTAAACGGGCATATGGTCGTGTTTTTTTCTTTCTTATTCTTTTCTTCTTCTCTTCTTTTACTAAACGACATGTATGTCAAAGTATCACTGCAAGAATTCTGCATTTAGAATTCTATGTCTTGTATCAAGATAAATGTTTACCACGTGCCAAAAGGCCATTTAACAGACCAACTATCGTCTTTGTAAGTCAAATGAATGCCAAATTATTTTGCTGGCTATATAAACTACATGGTATTTATGATAGAGATAATTTACTTATATGACTAAATGGGCGAAGAAATATTTCCTTTTGATTATCATGAAATTGATGAAGAATATATATATATATATAGAGAGAAAAATTCATATTCTGTTAACCTCTTTTTAATGGCGCATACTAATTAATAATAACTATCTATTCGTACACTTACTTTTTCTCAAGATACTCAAATAAATCCAATAGAACGGTAACATTATAGTGAGAATGTCCTTCTTTTTCTTTTTTAATATTCTTAGATTTACATAATACAAACCTCTAGTTTTCGTATGATGACAACCATTATTTTCAAATATTGTCTTTGTCGTTGTTGCGCCTATTCGTATAACTAAAATGTTAAATAGTTAATGATATAAATTATTCTTCCTCGTCCATTTTTTTTTTCGTAAGAAGAAATAAAAAAACACATCGACATACACCTATGCATACTCTAGTTTCAGTTTCGATAAGAAAAATATTGCCGTCAGCACCAATGCTATATCGTCTCATCGTCATTAAAACCTTCTTCCTTTTCAGAGTCTATTTTTACGTATACGTGCATATGCATACATATATATATATATATATACACATAGTTGACTGATTAGAATCTTACATTTTTTTTTACTCGTCTAGGGATATTAAAATATTAAATTGCTGTATTGGGTTTTTTTCTTTTTCTTTTATTTTAGTTCGATGTTTGAGACTATGAAACAGAATGAGAAGCTTCAGCGGTTTGAGGTGTAGTACTTGAACGAATAGTCCATTTTGTTTCTTTCTTTTTTCTTGTGCTCGTATATGGAAGTTTCTTTTTCACTAGAGTCACATTAGCGTTGTTGCGATGAATGATGATAGGTAGTTTTAGTAGTATATGCAAACATGTTGGTTCGTCTTTCTCGAACAATAAGGAAATATTTTATCACAGTCAGGTGTCTTATTTTGTGAATAAATATAAATACTGACAAGGTATATATGCATACACTGAATTATGTATACTGCTATCGATTGAAGTATATGTAATAAAACAAAAGACATTTGATAATGATCTGTAATATCTCCGAACAAATCTAATTAGGAAAAACATTAGCAATCTTTTTGCGATATCTACGTGAGATGAATATCAGACTCGAAAATGTATACACCAAAATAGTTGAGCCGAAAGAAAACCTGAAACTTACGATGTAAATTTGCCTAGTTTTCATTTGATTAACTCCGTATGAAAGATAAATTGTATTACCTACGGTTGGGGGTCTGTTGAGAGGCTTTTATAAAAATAAGATTCAACAGTCTTTCAGCAGCGATAAGAAAACAATACAAAAGAAAAACCTTGATGCACAGTATATATAACTCTTCAGGCTTGATTTAGATAATAAAAATGCACTTGCCTAATATGCATAAGATAAACAGAAGATGTACTTGATTATCGAGAGGCTGAACCTGAATAATATCTAGCGGGTTTTTAAATGTGTGACTCGTTTTATTTTATTGTATGATTGAAAATAATAATAAAAAATTGTTACATTCTATATTCAAATATTCAGAAAAATTATTTCAAGATAAATTCAGTTTTGCAATAGTCGAATAATTGTTCTCATGCGTCTCATATCAAATATTTAGTTTATGACGAACCCTAAAGTTTAAAACACACACTATAATTGAGTCACTATAAAAACATGATTAGTCGTTGTCAAAAATCAAACGAATTATCAGCTATATAATCGTTTTGTGGATCGTCACACATTGATTGGTATTTAACAAGAATTTGTTGATGTGCATTAATATTTGCATTATATTGTTGAAAACTAAATCCAGGATCATTAAAAATGATTCGTTGACATTTTAACATTTGACGAATTAACAGTCTACAGTCATTGGTACCAATATCTTGGCAGAGTTCAATTTCTGGAATATGAACATCGATTATAGGTGGTTCTATGTCGAGCGGTTCAGACTGATCAGATGTAATTATTACATATGGTTTCTCACTGATCAAAATCCCAAATTGAAAAGTCAGAAGGTAAAAAGAAGACAGCATGTGTTTTTATCACATTTGGCGCCCTATCGGTGATTAAAGTCACAGTGTTCGATATTGTTCTCAAACCGATCGACATTGTTTTTCAACTCGAAGTAACAATTTTCAGACTTGCTGGTTTCTGTACATGTCAGTCGTCTGTATTAAAAATGAATATGAGAAATATTGACTAAAATTCAATCGTTTTTTAATTGATAAATGATACTTGTAGAACAACTTTGCATTCACTTCACATCTATTGATAGTTCTTTAATATGATTTATTTTCAATGGTTTTTTTTCTTTTCATCGATATTACTCTTTTGCTAACCTTGCATTGAAGGCAACGTAATCTGAATTCGTTCTATAGTAGATTATACGGATTTCAGTACAAAACAAAATGACGAAAAAATTGTGAATCCAATTTTAACATTTATATTCGAAAATCGTGATGTTCGTTGCATGATTGATGAAAATTTGATTGAAGTTGTAAAGAAATAAAAGATAATCTTTCGTATCTATGTAAAACATAGAGAACTTTATTGGTTACTGATAAATTTGTGCAAGTATGATTTACGACTAGAGTTCATTGATCTCTAAATTGATACTAACATTAACATTCAACTAGTTCTTGTCTTACGATTGGTGAAAACAATGGTACGGCTAATTGTCACTGTTTGACTTTGGTAGTTGAACATCGAATATTATATCAACAGGCTAATAGTTCATCTTCTTTTGCCGCTTCCTATATGAGCTACTTACACGGAATTACAATCCACTAACAATCGTAAAATTTTCTCATTAAAAACTTTCCAATAATCAGCTTCTTTGCTTCAATATAAATATGTAGCCCAATTTATTGAAAGATACCTGAAAATGCCCGATATTTAAAAAAAAACAATTCTGCTAGTTATGCGAAATTTTCAAAATGTCATGAAAGACAGCTCACAGGAGCATCCTTCAATGCTAATCTTTTATGTTTTGATGGCAAACGTCAGAACATCTGTAGCATATTTTCATTGAAGTTTAATATCTCTCTAATCGACAAAGAAAACAATGCTTTTAGGATTAACCAAACAAGCTTGAGAGTTCATATTCCCTACTGAAGTTTAAAAGAAAGACATGAATTAAGATCACATTTGCTCATACTACAAGTATAACCAAATTATTTTTAATCTGTTCTTTGTCAAAAATAGACTACGTTGAAATTCGCACACGTTTACATTCTCACAATGAATTTGAAATAGCAAAACAAAAGAAGAAAAAAGAAAAACACGACAAAAACTTTATATACAAAAACAAAAAACAAATGAAAAAGGCTAGAAGAAAAAAGACAAGGCTGCAAAGCGCGAGCTGATTTTTAATAATAATTATTATAATACTGTCTTTAAAAAACAAAAACAACAGTTGAAATTGAGAAAAAGGAAGTTTACATTAAAAACCTCGCTTGAAAACATTTTTGTTAAACGTTGGATGGAACTGTTCTGTTTGAGCAAGCTTTTTCTTACATATCACTGAAAGACTTACTAAAAGGAAGAATTATTTCGATGAGAACAATAGTTTTTTTTCTAAAATGATGGTTTTCGTTCGTCGTGTTCTTCATTACCCAGCAATAAACTAGTACATGCTGCTTTTTGATTTCGAATAATCGTATTCGAATCTACAATTCCTCCTCTCGATAAAGTTGCTTGACTCTTTGTGAATGGAAATCTTGTTAATGTTGACGATTGAAAACGATTAAAAACTGTTCGTTCTAAAAATTCATTGAAACTTTCTGCTGCTGATAATTGTAAATTCAGAACTTGATATTTTCTTAATTGTACCAAGTGAGTATTTCGTACCAATGTATAAGCTAAATACCAACGAAACATTGCACGTTGGCGACGTGTATATGCAAACATTTCTGTATGACGTATTTCGCGTTTATTCGATCGTGAATATTCATTTCGTCGATCAACTTTATCATTAACTAATGAACAGAAATAAACAAGTACAGGATGTGTATGTAGACATTCCATATGAATAAATGATACATAAGATATAAAGCCTGTATCCAATTTTTCTAATGTACGTCCAAATATACAATAATCTAATCGAGGCAAAAACACAATTGCAGCAATCGTCGCTTTTGTTACACGAAGGCCACATGAAATAATACCAAGAAAACAATCGAAGAAAAAATTGAAGTAAGAAAATACAAAAAATGATCGAAGATTTTTCAAGGCTATTGTTTGACCATGTCTAAATTTTATAAAAATTAAAATTAAATAAGATGTTAATTCGCATAGTTAGTCTATCGATTAGAGTTTCATCACGTGGCCCACATTTGTAATACTAACAATATAATCGAATTCATAAAGATTGAATAACTATTCTCGATAGCCTACAGACTATATTCAATCATCAATTCATGTTTTTTCTTATTCTAATTCTATGGTGATTGCAGAATATGATTTACTGTTTTCTCTAAATAAATATGTCCACTGAATGGTGACATGTTATATACATAAAACTCCTTCTCTGGTCGAAGATTAGTATTTTAATCGATGTTCAGAGAAAGCGATGTTTTTTTGCTCAAATTATTTCATAATGTATAATGCCTTGCTTATTATACTTAGAAAAATATTAAACTATACTTTTTTGAATCTTTCAATAAAAATGAATCTTTAGTTACTCATAAAATTGGTCACGGTAAAGAAGAATGATGATAAAAAAAATATCAATTCTATTCTGATATTTCTTAATTTTATAGTCTTCCTTCAAGAGCAGTATTTTTAAGGATTCCAGTAAAAACTTCATAAAGTACAATAATAGTAGAAGACCTACAAGGTGAGTCTAAAAAACTTTTTCTAGGCGAACGTAAGAATAAGTTCAGCCTCCAAATCTGATATCTACTAGTACTATTTTTTAAATAATGAATCTATTATTTCAATTTATCAGAAAGCCTCGAACGTCTCATAATACATTAAATCGTATTCTTGATGATTTTTTTTCTATTCGACCGACAAACTATGTTACATATAGATCTTGAAAATGACTTACTTCTGTAGAAAGAATGTTCTTGATAGAAACCATATTAATATACACTTTGATAAATAAATAACTAATATAGGTATAACGACTTTAGCAACTTGTTCGAAAAGAAATAAATTTTTCCATATAACACGCAAAATAATAATAGCAACAAATATTATATTTCCCATTGTTATATAACCAAAACCAAGATAAGCAAGACAATATCCAGGATAATGTGCATGTTGTGATATAAGTCGAGCACTTTTAAATGCTGATCTTGGAGGAATATCAATAAAATTTCCTATTTCAAAATAAACAAATCATTTATATTTTACTCTCTTTGAAATTAAAAATAATATTTTTGCTTTTACCTTTGTAAACATCCAACATATGTTTTTGATAATTTTTCATTCCCCACAATAATTGTCCATAATAAATAATGGCTGTTAAAATACAAGCTAATATAATTTCATATTTAAGATTCATTGGTTTAGGTAGTGGTATATCAATATTCTCAGTTAAAACGATGAGTGGTATAGAGAATATACTATAAATTTTTTCAATTATATAAAAACCTCCTTGTAGAATATTAAATGTTAAATAATAAGTTAACATAAAGGCAATCATATACATGTTCAATATTTGTTTTGAATAGTTAAAATATTTATTTGGACGATAAATTTTGTAAAACAATGATTTAAAAAATGGTATTTTTTTATTATTTTCTATTAATGTGCGTTGAGTTTTTTGAAGTAAATGTCGAACATATCGATATTCGACTGATAATTTTTGAGAAGAATGTAGATCTGGTTCATGATATATATGTTTCGATGATTGTTTATGAGAACCATTTGTTTCTTTATTACAACGCAAGAATAAATTATAAAATTTTGACATACTCAAATATGTGAGACGAAGACATATATATGTTAAACATAGATAGTATGGAGCATATTTAAGTATGCCAATTACGGATGAGTCAATGTTAAATTGATCAAACGTTGATTGAGATTCATTGCGATCAACGAAAGAATAATTCAAATATATTGATGACCAATTTAATGAATGAGAAGGATTTGTATTCAATAAATTTGGCTAAACAACAACATATATCGTTTTAGTTCTTTTAGAATAAAAAACATGAGAAAACATCGGATTCGCATCCGATTGTTACGTGTACTGCAAAAACTGAGTCGATTTATGTATGGTTTGAATAGTACTGAGAAAAAAATTTTTTTTTTGAAAAAATCCCTGTACCCCCCCTCAGGGATGGTCTAGTCAATAATGACAATTTTTTCGATAACTCAGCCATTTCTTCACAGATTGCTTTCATCTTCGAGCTCGACTGAGATATTGATGAGATCATTCTGTGTACAAAATTTCATGACAATTGGATGAGGCTTTCAAAAGTTATTGTGTTAACGGACGGACGGACGGACACACTGACCGAATCTAGAGTGTACTCATTTTTTTGGAGTACACAAAAACATGATGAATATTCCCTCAATTGATTGATTATATATGATTTATAACAATGTTTATCATGCATATATTAATATGGGAATAAGTACTTTCATTTGAGTGACTACTGTCTTACTACATACTAGTAGAGCAGTGTATAGAATGCATTTAGTTCAGACTCAAAAATCGTCTATGAGAACAAATAGAAAAACTCAACACTAAAAACAAACATTAGGAAATGAAATGTAATTTTCTGTCTTATATTTCTCATTCATTTCAAATCTTTAAATTTTCCCACCTGAAGAGTCGACGGCATCGTTGTTGATAATGGTCTAGGTCTTCCTATAGATAAACTACCTAGAGTTTTTTGAGAAAATGTTCGCAAACGGCTTGATGAATGAGAACGATCATAGTTCGAATTCGTAGTCATCGTTGTTTGCATAAACGAACTTGTTGCTAATTTCGATGCTGTTTCATTTTGTAGTTGCTGTAATTTATGCCATGTTCTAATTAACGGTCCAATATCAACACAATAGGATTGTTCAAATACTCGAAGTATTAAATCAGTCCACATGTATAAAGCACATAATGCATAATAAAGAACATTTGCATTTGTCATTTCAATAACAGTATAAACTGGATAGTAACGCATGCCAATAATAATAACAAGGCCTATTTGTCGAACAAGATCAAATAGAGGACCACTCATTGTTAATATTTTGATTTGTGTGGCTTTGAGAAATATTTCTTCAATAATTTGAAGAATTTCATGACTAACAATACCACTTAAAACCATTGTATCAAAACGATTGACTTTTGAAAATGGATTGAATGGTATTGGAGAATAAATTGAAAATTTTTCAGTCGATCTCTTTCTATTGAATCGATAATAAGCTATTCTTGTTTGATTACATATTATTATTATTATTATAACAACAGCAATAGGTAATGTTAATAAATTAACATAATAATTATTTTCATATAATGTACAAAATTGAAATAATCCTGTTGAATTACTATACGATGAATGATGAATGTGGTTTTTAACGTAACGTCTTACATAAAAAATTGTAAGACCTATTGCAATTGTTAATGCAATTGGTAAAGAAATTAATATTAAACGTTTTGGTTTAATGAATAAGCTTTGTATATGTGATGATATTTCAAATTCTTGAACACTAAGACGAAATGAATAGCGATGCTTACGTTCAAGAGGCTGTTCGATTGGTGGACGAAAAGGTGGTGGAGTTGATGATGAAGAATGTCGAGGAAGTTTTTCATTCTCTATTGACATATCAACAAAATCAGGATGATCGGGTAGACATGGATTACGAATTATTCGATCAATAGCATTAGGTGTTCGTGGCATGTAAGATGTTGGACGACTTTGACTGTAAATTGTAGCACTATAACATAGGAAAATGATGATCAATATAAAATGAATTAAATATTCTACACATACTACTAACAAGGAAATTGATCGATAGGATGAATTACATTCAAGTTCATATTTTATATTGTGAAAGATGTAATTCTGATTATGTAATATCTTAGAAGTCGTGAAGTATCTCGAGGTTTTTTTTCTCCAGGGTTATAACTATTTCATTTTAACTCTTGCCATAGGGTAAAGTACAAACAAACAAATTGACTGATGATTTCTCGAGCTGAAATTTTGCCTACAGATAGAATTATTCGTAATAACAATACTCTGAAAACTTTAATAGAAAAAAATATTTTCGTTCGTAATAATTCAAGTAGTGTCGAAAAATAAATAGAAACGGCATATACTTTGTAAATTTTTAAAAATTCAATATCTGGTGAACGAAATCTTTCCTTTTTATTCAAGATCATTTTCATTACAAATAGAACTGTTCATAAGCTAAGATTCAATTTACAATAATGTCCGTTGACTAACCAGTAAACATAATGTTATGAGCTGAAAAGTCAATCATAATTCTATAGAAAATAACTATGAGTATTCACATGCTTTCAATTTTTTCATACTTCACTAAGCTCAATCACATGGATAGATTTTGTAGTGAAAATAATTTAACACTAAACTTACGCCTGATAATGTTCAACTGTTGATTTTCGAAATGACCACTGATCTCCTGTTCGATCCAAATTAATAAAATACGAACCAACAAATGCAATTATAATGATTATGCCACCAACAATCGCTTGTAAGCCTTGACTACTCCCTACGAAAAACAAAAAATAACAATATAAATGAATACAAACATCGAATATTCAAAGATAGCCTACATCCGTCACATCGATCGCCTGAATATAAAAATCGACATCGGCATTTATATGAATTCATTAATGGTATATTAACACATGTACCATATTTTCCACATCCACCACTATTATTATAACAACGATCGATAGCTAAAATAAACATGATACGTTGTTTTTTTTCGTATGTCTTATTTTCGGCAAAAAATTGTAAAACTTACTATGTTTGCAAACATATGGCCGTAGTGCTTGTTCAGCACATGCAGCTGCTGTCAATAGACTAATATTTCGAGCAAGCCAAATAATACCGCACTCATAAGCAAGCTGTTCATTATTATCAACCCAATATCGATTAAGAGAAGTTTCTTGCAATGGTATATTATTCGACCACAGCCATGTATCTAAATTATAAGTTTTTTTGTTTCAAAAAATAAAACATCTATGTATTTTCAACTGATTTACCATTCATTTTACGTAATCCAAGATAAACTGAAACACTATCAGACCCTGATTTTCTTCCAATCAGATCACGTTCAACAAATTCATATTCAGCTATTGAATCAATTACTAATAAACGAGCATCGAGTACTTTAGGTAATGATAAACAATTATCATGCGCTTCTTCCCATGATGATGCTAACAATTTCATGTACGTATAACATGAGCCAGCAAAATATTTCGATGGTGGAAGACATTCTAAAACAAAATATTTTACTTTTCTTTTGTTAAATTATTCATTCAACATACGTGTTCCTTCTTTGACTTTTTCTTTGATGTCTTTTAATATTTGCAATACTTCATTACCACGTTTGGGTACTACAATAGAAAAAAATACCCACAATAATTAATCATATTTAAGTTAAAATATTTATTTCACTATACTTGATGCAGTTTGAACATTATTAATAGTATGAATAAATATAAAAACAATTGAAAAAATTCGGTAAATCATTGAACTGTTGTTGCTGTTGTGGCTCATATGAATAGTACATTTAAAGTAAATATGTTTTAAACATCTGAATAGAAGAAAAACATATTTTCGGAGGACATTAGACTAGACAAAAGTGAAATCCCTCGATATATATATATATATATATACGTAGACTAAGAATGTTAAGAAAGAAAAGGATGTGTATTGATAAATAGAACAAGGCCACATGTATCAAGACTAACGACAATAGGGGGAAAACGCATTCATTCATTCATTCATTTTAACGAAATTTGATCAGAGTTTCTTTATGCAATGATGTATTTATTTCTTTTTGAACTAGTCACGTTTTGAATAATACTTTTATAATTCTCATCTTCTTTTATTTCTATCGATCATGCAATCGATCCTATATTATTATTATTATGTTGTTGTTCTCGACGCGTCATGCTCTTCAAAATTGAAAAAAAAACGTGAAGAGAAAAAAATCCGAATTCTCGCATCCACTTGGCAACATACAAATCGAAAAAAATGGATTGAAGACGACGTCTATTCATATATTCATTACACAATCAACAAAAAAGAAAAAAAGAAAACAAAGCAAATCGATGTGTTAAATCAAAATTGGTCAGGCACTAACATACAACTACTAGCACCACTTCATTTAGTATTCATCGCCGTTCAACGTACACATCTCCTTACATATATATATTCTTTGCATACACTTATATGAGAAACAGCGATCAATATACCTTTATACTTATATCATAATAACAGCTAGCACATAACAGTGGGGAGTCGTATATCACAGTGTACAATAACAGAAAAAAAAGAAAAAACATGCGTAAAAATAAAACTAACATTTGTAAGTTGAAGTAAAAGAAATCTGAATCACAGTTTTTCAAAATGCAGATACACACCTAGGTGTTTGCCAGGTGTACTTTACTTAGAGATTATTAAATCAACTTAGATGATGAATGACTCAGATTTGATATACGTCGCTTTTCTCCCTCTCTCTCTCTCCCTCTTTCAATTTACATTGAAACATCTATACCTTACTCTGCAAAATTCTGTGTCAGCTTGTCAACATAATCATGCACACCTAAACGTATATAGATATATATAAGTAAACACGAACTTGCAGTAAATGCAATCAAACAGTAGGGAAGAAAAAATAATCAGTAACGTCAAAAAAAAAAAGAAAAAATGCGAAAATCTCTTGTTATGTTGAATGACTCAATAAAAACTTGAAGGATGATGGTTCAGCGAAAAGTATAAATTATGCAATTCATTCTTTAGAATTCTTCCGTTTTGATAATGTTTGTGCAAAGGACGATGCAACTTCAAATCTTTCATGTTCATTGAAGTCAAAAAAAGAAAGGGAAGAAATAAACGGTCAATTCAAAAGAAACAGTGTTGAATCAAGCGGAAGGGAAATATTTCAAGATCGAAACAGAGGTCATGCATATTTTATGTTGCAACAGTAGGATAGTTGAAGGTTCTTGCCTATCGCATATTCATATTCACTGATTTTTGAACAATGTCCATAAGTAAACATACACATCTATATATATATATATATATATAAGATATCGACGTAATAGTAGAGATTGCTGACACATGTAATCAAGCGTATTTACTCTGATTGCCTACTCGAATTGAACGACAGGTAGAACTACTACTACTACTACTACTCTAGTAACATTTTATTGTTGATTGATATCCTCAACTTGCAACTAGTAGCCGCTGAATAACAATACTATTCAATGTTGTATAACCGGAACGGAATTTATGGGTATTATTCTTCCCTATTCCTTTCACATATATAGAATAGTGTTGAGTGCGCGCGCGCGCGTGAATACTGCATGTAAAAATAATAATACAATAGCCAGTGGTCTCATTAAAGTACTAAGTCTACGCGTATACATGCATACATACATATATACGAAATACAGCCCGGAACGAATAAAGGTATTATATAAGAGAAAATAAAATAATGAATTTAAACAATCCATTAAGGGATACCGATAACAATGAATGAATGAATAACTTAAAAATATATATACGTACATATATGTACATATATATGTATGAAATAACAGGTTCATACAGAAGAACGAGCTTCTTGTAATTTGTCATACTACACAATCAAAGTAGGCTTCATATGTATTTTATTTTGATATTCTCTAATAAAACAAAAGGCAATCGAGTGAGTATCGGTAGATAAAGAAAATCAAACAACAATATATATATATATATATATATATATGCCACTTAAATATGTCTAAATTGATCAATTCTCATTCACTCATGTTTTTTCCTCATCAATCTCATAATAGATCTTGAACAAAATTTTATAATTTATATCTCATGTTTTTGCTTTAAAACTGATTCTTTATTAAGTTAATACTCGATATATAATTTAATACAAGAAAATAGATGAATATGAGAATATGAACATGACTAGACTACTACATTACCTTCTCCTCCTTCTCCTTCGGGATAGATGATAACTGTTATCAGACAAGCAACAACACGCCTGATTTCTTTTCTAGCACATGCTCGTATGTCTCATACACATACTCTTCAGTAAAAGTAGGAGTGTTCAAATAAGATGATGATGATAAATGATGGACGAAAACACGTACTGATAAGATGTCGGTAGGAATAACTATGTATATGTATGTCATCGAAGACTTTCTAATGAGAGACAGCAAAAGAAATCATTATTTATCATATCACCTGTTATAGTCAAACAACTGCTGCTTTAGTTACAAGAATGATAATAAAAATAATCATAATAATACTAATACTATTGTACACTACTCTCGAGACAACAATATTGCCTTTGATCTGCGATCCTATCATACACACGTTCACTATTTCTGTCTCTCTCTCTCTCTATATATATATATATATATGTGTGTGTGCAGATGAACGTTGCACATGCATACGCTACGCTTTAATAAAAAGAAAACAATTAACTCACTAAAGCTACTCATCAGGTCGCCTCACGCCAATGTGTTGTATGTTTGTCACATGGATATTAACAATATGATAGATCATTCAATAACATAGTGTGATCAAGAGGGGAAAAAAAAGTTTTATGATGATGAGTGGTCAATGTCGACTTATTGATATACTTTTTTTTCCTCTATAAAAGAATTTCATTCATCCTAGAAGAGATCAAACGTTTTTCATCTATTGATTTGTCTTTAAATCATCGTCTCGTCTCAAATTCACACTTTTCTCTCTCTGTCTGTTGCACTCGATCTGTATTTCGATTGCGTCTCAATATCCAACTAAAGGGCGTACTCAATAGACACACAAATAGCCTTGTGAAGCGACAGACCTTTGGCTATCCTTTATAATCGCCAACCAAACATAAATATACTCTTAAATGATTCTTCTAGTCTTTAAATACATACATTCTCTTGTTTTGGATGAATTTTTAAGTAGAAATAATGACCTTAATTTTCATTGCACATAATGATGGTTCTTTTCATTTTCTATAGAAAACAATGAAACAAAAATGTGTAGACGTGAATATCCGTTAAGTCTATCATCTTATTTAGAGAGTAAAAACAGTTCATTATCAACTATTTTGAACACATATAATGTCAACATATAATTGAATAGATAGACACGATCAAGGCTTCATAAAGGACTAATCTTTACCTTATCGTCGAACGAGATTCGAAAGTCATCCTTGGTTTTTTACTCTATTGTTTGTTGCTTTTTCTTTTATTATTATCTTCTTTTGTCTTGTCAAACGACAAAAGAATGTCACAATTATCATAGTCGTCTATTCTAATAAATTTTAAAAAAATTAGGTCGACTGATGCAATCTATCCGTCAATAGGTGTATATAGTCAAGTGTTTTTCTTTTAATGGGTCGAAAGCAATTGAAAAAAAAAGAATAAGAATTGGTCTATTTGAAAAAGATATGAGGGTCTGGTGTCGAATTGTCAAAGTCCTACGATATATACGTATACAACATGTACGAACAGATGACGTCAAGTGAAGAAAGGATGAATATATAGAGCAAGTGAGTGTAATTAATATTTGATTAAACAAACTCAAGAAGTGCCTTCAACAAATAAAACAAATAAAGTGAAAGCGAGAAAGATATATTATATTGACAAAGACAAGTGAGATTTACGTTTTTCAATCAACTCTTCATTTTCAATATCTCATTTACTTTTTAAATTATTCATTTTGCTATCGAACGATTTAAGTGAACAACTAATTTGATACGAAGATTTTCTTCTAAGTGATTAATTCTTACCTGAATAAGCAATGAAGAATCTCATGTACACATTCTCTTGTTTTTCTCTCTCTCTCTCTCTCTCTGAATAATTACTTAGATGCATACAATGGCATAATGACGGGACACAAAATTATATGTATCATTTAACATACCATCGCAGAAACATGTCATTATACACGCTCACTCCATTTTTTGTCTTCTCTGGTTAGTTTGTTCCACATAGAAACATATATGTACATACATAAAGGTATATATTCATGTGGAGCTTAGACTAAATTGAACCTTGAAAAGCGAATGTCAATTTCATGTTAAATCACTCTTTCTCTTTTTCTTCGTTTGAGTGTGAGACTCTTCGTTTTCTATTCTGACTGAACCAAGGGCTCATCTTCACTTACTTATATGACGGGTGCATAAATACAGGTATAACATATAAATTATACATGTAATGAATCTGAAGGTTAACGGAAATCTCTCGTATGTTAATGCAAAGTCTCAAGAAAAGGAAGAACGTTATTATACAATATGGTTAAATATAAATACATATATATATATATGTATGCATCTATATCTCCATTCAAAAAATAACCTTCGAAAGGTTCATATTGCACATCAATGGGAAGACGATGATGATGATAGAAGAATATTCATCTTTTGAAATAGGAATACAAGAGAAGTGCTATGCAAGAAGAAAAAGATAACAACCTTAATGAATGCTAAATGATCAAGGTGCAGTATTGTTTTATAAGATCAAGATTTTGTTTTCCAACGGCATAAAAAGAGGCCAATGGCAACAAACTTATTCTCGATAAAAGAGATTAAATTAGTGTATATACAAACGAGAAAAAAACAGAAAGAAAGAGAAGAGACAATTGAAAACGATTTTTTATTTACATAAAATTAACTTTCTAATAAATATTAATTTTCTCTTACCTGATCAATACAGCATCTAGATGATAAAAAGAAACTTCTTCTTTTTTAATTTTATAATAATAATAATGATGATATAGGATATTACTCTGCGACTGAACAGTAGAATAATCTTGTTGATATCGCAGCTATATAAGTATACACCCCCGCCTACCAACAAGAACGAAAGAGAAGAGAAGAAAAAAATTAGAGATGATGCTAGTAGTATCGATATTTTGTGAGTGCATATGCAAACATCAAGATTAGTTGATAAAACACGTTCAGTTTCTCTTACCTCTTATCCTTCACACAAAATTCAAATTGCACGTTCTTTTTTTGCCCACTCTTCTATTCTTTTAAAATGATTGAAACAAGAAAAAAAATGAAAAACTCCATTGAAAAGTATACTTTATGTGCTAATGAATTAAAAATCAACAAGGGTGTGATCGTTTGAATACGATTAAACACTTTGTCTTCTATCGCTATAAACTACAAAGAAATTCAATAAAATTCCCAGGCGACAAAACTAGATCAAATTGTCATTGTCACTACAAAAAAAACGTGAAGAATGGAACAATTCAAGAGTGAAAATTACAGATTGTCTTCGATCTTGGCTAATAATATGCGTGTATGTATATGAAAGTCAAATCGAGTGTAAATACTACAGAGCAAAGTTGTCTAATTGCATCACCAAATACATACATCGCTGTATATATATGTATATTTAATCCTGATCTGTATCAAGTGATTGGTTTTCTGTCTTTCTTTCATACAGTAAACAGATTATCAAACGGAAAGAGAAGGGAAAGGCGATATTGATAACAGATGTATAGCTATATATATATATATATATATATATATATATCTATGTATGAATTCATTTATTTGTGTTCATCAAGTGAATGTATTCGGTCTCTGTTCACCTTCGACATGGCACACTTATTAGATCGACGATTATATTCGATAAGAATCCTTCATATTCAAGGATAAATGCGATTAGATATACATTTTCTTTTTGAAACTCTCGATACATGGTCATATCTATCTATAAAGAAATATATATTTACCGCAATTTGAAACATTTAACAATGTATTGTATACATAAGTTGAAGGTAGATAAGACTAAAATGCTTTAGGATATTTATCAGACTGTCTACATATGTCTCTATCGATTGACGCGCCGCTATTCTTTTTTGTGCTTTAAACATTTTCTAATCGATCACAGTTCAAAATTGTTTTGCTCGATTAATCGTGACACACATTGTGTCGATTTGTAACTGTAATTCAAGTCACTTGAACAGTATTTTGACCACTATTTACAGACACATTCAAATATAATCAATAGACGCGTTCTTTTCTTTTCTTTTTTTTTGAAATGTTTTTGATCAATATTTTACGATGACGAATCAAGTAGACACTGATTTATAGCTATATTGATAGTATGAAAAAGATAAAGATCATTTAGCAGTCATTTTATTTTATTTTGAAATAAATATACGATAGAAGAACGAAAGAAAAGAAGAAAAAAGTCTATGCGTTTAAGCCGAATTGATTATAGTTATATTCGCCATTGAAGTATATTGGGATCACGTGTTAATGAACGAACTTTATCAAGTTGCGCAAGCTCATCTGATTGATCTACATATTCGCTTGGATTTAATGTCACTATTGGTAAACGAACAATTTCGACTTCAATTGTTGTATGCGGTTTTTTGTATTCAATAAAACGATTATGTGTTCGTTCAAATTGTTCTTTAGCATAGGCGTCATGATCAGCATGACGATAGGTGACTCGCTTTGGCGCAGGTTTATTTGGAAGCCATTGTTCAACGACAATGGGTCCTGTTCGTATGAAAGTAGAAAAAATTTCAGCAACCAATACAGATCATCAGAACTTACGAGGTTTCGGTGGCATTTCAGGATGACGATGAATAACAATCTAATAGAACACGAAAAAAAAAAGAAAAATACACATAATTGAATTATTTTTAATGATGAAGTTATTTCATACCTGTTGATGTAGAGTTTGATAATCAACTGGGACATATTTATGAAAAACAAGTGGTTCAGGTGCTACTAGTGGTGCTTGTGGTGGAGCACTTCTAATTAGAATAGGTGATGGTGTACGTTGTGCACGGCTATTTTGACTTGGTGCAACATGTACATGAATGGGTGCACGTTGTACGGGCGGTTTGACAATGACTTCGTGAACTTGAATATCAATTGGTTCTGGCGTCGGTGGTTGATATTGACGTAAATAAACTTGTTGTTTATAGACTTGTTCATCACCTTCGCGTGTTTCAACAATTGGATCTGATTCAAGGTTAAGTTCATCAGCATCAATGTCAGTCGCTTCTGATGCATGATTATCCTAGGAAATTAGAATCAAATACAATATAATTATTTATGAATGTATACGAATAATTGATGATTCATGAGACGGAACATTTAAGTATTTCTTACTAGATTTTTACGAGGAAAATTCTCTGCATTAGTTTCAATAACAATTGAATCTCGATCTACTGATTGTGGTGGTTGAATATCACTCTGGTCATTATTTGCTGTGCGTAATTCATTATCACGTTTTTCGATGAAGTTTTCAACATAACTTCTGATTGAAGCTTTTGCTGGAGTTTTAGCTTCATCTCCCATTGGAATGTTTCACTTGATAATATTTGTAGCTTGTGTTATTATTGTTGATAACGTGCCTGTGTATAATGGTTAAATTGAGGGTTGGGCGCTGCTTTTCAAACAGGCAAAAACATATAGAAAAACCGCACTGTGTGCAATCAAGTGTAAAGCAGGCTATTTCGTTTATTTTGTTTATAAAAAGAAAATTGTGAGTGTGCTCTTTTTATCGGATGCCTATCTCACAAATTATATTATTCACACAGTGAATTTATTGATGATAAAAAGCTGCAAAAAAAAACTAGAAGCAAACAATACAGTAAAAGTAGTTGATTTTTATCTGAAATCTTTTATTTATAATTAAATTAATATTTTTGGAGGGTTGTTTCTAAATTACTCATGATGTTTGCTGTAAACTTTGAGAAAAAGTTCTTTATCGATATCAAAACTTAATTTCTATTAATGAAAAATGTTAAACATAAATTTTATTCAATCTAAATTCTTAATAATTTCATTTCGTACAAATTGTTGAATTTTCAAACAGGAAAATGCATATTTAACATTTAAATAGGCATCAACATAACTGCATCATTCATTCATCAATTGAACATGAATATTCAAAAACATAACGAATCTCAATTAAGCTATAAGAATATACACTTTAGTCAAATCACAAGATGAAGCAGCGTGTTTATATTGCTTTGCTTCATTATTTTCTACTATAATTAAGTGATGCACTATTGGTTTTATGCGTCTTTTTTTGCTAATAGCTGTTTACCATAAAGTCATTAATCAAATCAGTCTCCTTGATATCATTCATTGCCATTTGCATTTTTTATTCAAAACAGTTAGGTAGCATGGAGTTAAAATACTCAATTATTGTTTGCAATCACATTTGACTTTTTTTTTTCTTGCGTAATCTAATACAAAGGAATTTTGATATACATTGTGAGCAGGTCAAGTGGTTGCAATATGAGCTGCTACTTCATCTGTTCATCTATGATGATTAGCATTGTTCTATACCACAAAAAGAAAATTCTAATTATCAATTTTTCCAATCAATTTTCAATGTGTCATTGAGCATTTGTTTATCATTCGTTTTGTTTTTATGTAATCATCATCGTATTGATCTAAAAATTTCGAAAGATATCAATCTTATCATATTGGATCGAACAGGTTTTTTTCTCGCAAAAACAATCTCTCCCGAAAACTGATTTATTGATTGCCATTTCATTTCTTTTTGCTTCTTACTTCAATCATTTCGTGCAAACATGTGACTTTTATTCGAATGTTTTCTTTTAATTTACTTCAAGTCCTACAACACAAAACTTATTTTCGTAATTCTGAGTTGACAATATAAGAACAAATGAAGGGTGTCGCTAATTTTTATATAATGCATCGAGTAATAACTTCAATTGATTGGCCCGATCGTTGCTATAGGGAGAAATGAAGCATTAAAAAGAACAAGTGGAAAAAGTATCATATTCTAGCGCATGAAAGTTCTATGTGATAAAAAATAGAAAATGCATTTGACCTTGACGTGAATTATGCATTGTTTTGTTCGTATTGCCAATCGAGTTGTGTTCTTGTTTTAGAAAAAAAACGCTTTTAGCTAGAGAATAGATTGTCATTGAAACTGCCATTTATACCATAATGATCATGTTTTCGATGAAAGAAAATATTGACAATAAACAAATATGAAAATGTAATGAAAAGAGAAAAAACAAAGAAAAGAAAAATTCTCCACCAATAGATCAAGTTTTTTTTTGTTTTCTGCTCGCGAAAAAAATTTATTTCTTTGTTTAATAAAATTCTTCTTTTAACAAAAGCGAGCAGTTCTGATTGAGTTTTTTTTTAAAGCTGTATGTTTATACTCGTGAACGAGAACTTTTTTTTTTGTTTTTATTCTTGTATTTTTTCTTTCAGTACTCTTTTAATGATGTTGTTAACAACGTAATAAAAGAAAAGATACTTCACCTCAACTGAGATCTAAAACCTAAACCGACATCATGGAGGTAGGCGAATTCAATTATTCTTTAATCTCGGTATAGTATTTTATGATTTCTTTTTTCTTTGCTAAAATTTAAAACTATCTTATGTTTTAAAGAGCCCATATGATAGTTTTATGCGAAAACATCTCCAACACTATGGTTACTTTTCGGGTTAGTTTAATTTCAGTGTTGGATAACCTTGAAACATCATCATTTTATTATACAGGACGAGGAGAAGTTATAAAGAAATATGGTTTTTTCCCATCAAAATCTCAACTTATCTCGTCATCCAGTGATTCGGATTCAAGTAGCAGTGACGAAGAAAATGAAAGTATGTTACCTATTTCAATCTATTTTAACATACACCATGAGAAACTTGCATTTAACAACAAAGACAAACAGAAAAAGTTCAATTTTGTTTTCTTCTTACAGTAAATTATAAGTCACCATGTGCACTTGAAAGAACATCTGGTGGGTTTTTACATATTGCTTATAATGAATTTAGATATTTCTTTTTATGCTTCATGTTTATCTTTTTTTCTTCTAATCAGTGTATACTCGTATAAAGTATAATTTGTCTATTGATCATCTTAATATAACTTTTCCGACCGGTAAATTAGAAGCTTGTGAATAGTTGCATGATAGAATTAGAAGAAAGAAAAAAAGCTTAGAATAGGCTTCACGTATTTATATTCATATTTTATAACATAATTTAGAATACAAAGGTAAATCAAGTATTTCCGACACAAAACAAGTAAGATTTAAAAAAGATTAAACAAAGATATTATTATTTTTCCTTGTTTTATTGTATTAGCCTATAAGACAAGCTCGTATACCGTATGGTTTCAATTCTCGAGGTGGTATTAATGATGATGGCTCATTTGAACCTCGATGGCCTATTGAAGTCGAAGTATTGAATGAGCCACGTATAAAACATATTAGTACTTCACCGGCACAACCAGAAATTTTCTTTAAACCAAGTTTGTTATAATGTTTTCGTTTGTCAAATATATATATATGTATATATATGTATGTATATATCTGATAAATTATAGTGACTAATACTGGTCCCGCTGTACGTAGTAATGATGAAAATATCAGGCGAATTGTTTACGACTATAGTCCGGAAGGATGCGGTTATGTAAGTCAACTATTGAATAAGATTAAAAAAAAAAAGAAAACTATTGTTTAAAAATAGTTTATTCGATCTCGAATTGGTGGTAATAGAGAAGGTTGTCGTCAAGCAGCAGTTTCACTTCGAAACAGTGAAGATACAACGGTTTTATTCGAGTCACGTTTTGAAAGTGGAAATTTAATGAAAGCTATTCAAGTGTAAAGATCAAAATTTACTTTTAGTAAAAATAATGGTTTCATTTATTTATTTCGATAGAGGTGAATTTGATTATGAGCTTTATCTTCGGTATGATCTCTATACAAAACGTAATACACAATGGTTTTACTTTCGTTTACAAAATATTCGTGCTGGCAAAAGATATCGCTTTACTATTGTAAACTTTTTTAAAGTAATAATTTTTCTATTGAATTCGAGCTCTCTATAACTTAAATACTTTTAAGCCGACAAGTCTTTATAGTTATGGAATGAAACCTTTGATATATAGTGTTCTTGATGCAGAAGATAAAGGTATCGGTTGGCAACGATGTGGTGAAGATATTGTCTATTATAAGAATAATCTACCGTAAGGAAAAGCTTTTCTCTTGATTTTAATAACTGTATCTGTATTTATTCAGTGCACCTGATGATTCATCAAGTAGCCTATATTCTCTTAGTTGGACATGTAAATTCCCGAATAATAATGATACATATTACTTTGCTCATTGTTACCCATATACATACTCTGATTTACAAGTAAAATATCGATGAGTTATTTGTACTTTAAACTTTATATCTTTCTTAGGATTATCTGAATGAGATTCAAAATGATCGTTTTAAGAGTCAATATTGTAAACAAAAAATTCTCTGTCGAACATTAGCTGGAAATTTCATTTATTTACTTACGATCACAAATCCAACGACTGCACGAACAAATAATACAACTACACTACCTGAAAATCAAGTTAAAAAAGGTATCGTTCTAACAGCACGTGTTCATCCCGGTGAGACAAATGCGTCATGGATGATGAAAGGTTTATTAGACTTTTTACTTGGTGATTCAAATGATGCAAAAGTATGAAAAGTCTTTTTTTTTTTTTTGAAAATAAAACTTCATCGGCAAGTTTTTTATTATTTGTCATAGCTACTGCGAGAAAATTTCATTTTTAAAATAATTCCGATGCTTAATCCCGATGGTGTTATTGTTGGAAATTATCGTTGTTCATTATCTGGCCGAGATTTGAATCGAAATTATAAAACAATACTTAAAGATGCTTATCCATCGATATGGCATACTAGAGAAATGATTAAAAGGTGAAAAATATTTCTCTGTTATTTTGTTTTTATTTATTTTATTTCAAAATAAAAAATGTAGATTTATGAATGAAACAGAACTTGTTCTTTATTGTGATTTTCATGGTCATTCAAGAAAACAAAATGTTTTTGTTTATGGTTGTGAAAATAAACATTTGCCCAATGAAAGACTTAAAGAAAGAATATTTCCTGCAATGCTATCAAAAAATGATCCTGCTAAAGTTTGTAGATTACATTTCTCTTTTTGTTTTTGTGTCCTTTCGATATTTTATTTTCTCCTACGATGATTTTTGACTTAAATAAATAAACCATCGTAACTCTCAATATATGCATTTTTATTTAGTTTTCCTATAACTCGTCGAAATTCAAAGTTCAAAAACATAAGGAAGGCACTGGACGAATCGTTATGTGGTCTTTGGGTATTAAAAATAGTTATACACTAGAGGTTCGATTGCGTTTGTTTTCGTTTTTGCATAAACATAGGTATCTGTTTGTTTGTTTATTTATTAGGCAACATTCTGTGGATCAACTCAAAAAGATCGAGCTGGTCATCATTTCACTATCAAAGATCTTGAATCCATTGGTTATCATTTTCTTGATTCTTTGCTTGACTATTGTGATCCAGATCATACAAAAGTAAGTGTCAAACTATTGATTCTATGATATTAAATGATATTGTTTGTTACAACAAATTTACAGCAATTTTTTTGTTTCGAATTCACTTGTAATAAATAGGAACAATATCGTCAAACAGTCTATGATGAATTATTAAATGGAAACCTAATAACACATGAAGACTTAAAAGATTTCGATGCACCATATGATTATACAATAAGTAAAAGTAAAACGCGACTTGATGTAGAACAAGCTTTAACCATATCAATTAATAATAAACGTTCAAGAGTTCGAACAACGAATAAATTAAATATATCTCGTAATATAAAAAGTGCTCCGAATATACTCCGAGCAAAGTCACAATTAGTCATAACAACCAAACGAAAAGGCACTACTGTAAATTCTTCTCGTCCAGAACCTGGAGTAATTTCACAACGTATATAAATATGCATACTTTCTTGCTTTTCTCATATCCTTTTCGTATCCCTTTTTTTTATGATATTGTTTTGTCGGTAGTTTTGCATCATGAGAAATCATTGAAATAATTCGTTTGTTTTGTTTTTTCTTTTCACAGCAAAATCGAATATTGCATGAACTTCAAGACGGTCTACGACGTACTATACAAATCAAACTTTTATCACGTGGTGTTAATCCAGCTTCACTTACCGATCTTGATCTTAATCAATTTTCATCCTCCGATGAAGATAGGTATAGAACGAGAAATTTATTTTTGCAAACTTTTATTTTCACTTTTATTCTCAACACATTTTAGTGATGAAGTAGGATCAGATTCGTCAGCTGATGATGGTTTACCAAAGCATTTAGAAGCAATTGCAGCAGCTAAAGTAATTGTATTCGTATTCGTATTTATTTTTTTAATGATAAATTTCATTTCGTCTTCGTTTCATAAGGTTCAATTACAAAAAAAAACAAGAAAGAAACCGGTACCAGTCAAAAATGCTAGAGATACTAAGAAAAATGATTTAGATAAAGAAAATCTTGAAAAGGTAAAATCAACTATAGTAATTATGAATAATATGATTTAATAATTTGATTATGATCAGCATAAAACTGTTGGTTTACCCTTATCAAAACTTCGTACTTCTCAATTTCCAAATATTGTAAGTACTTATGTTCGTGTGTGAACTTAATTCTTTCTAGAAATATTATTTTATCTTCATTGTCCATTGCTTTTTAAGAAAATAAAATCTATCTTAGAAAAATTTATTTTATGCGTCCTATTTTTTTTTCAAGGCTTTATTAGAAAGTCCGGACCTAACATTGAATAATAATAATAATAATAGTGACACGATTCTATCGGAGGTAAGTGTAGTAAAGTAGATTCTTCTTTTAATTTCCTTAACAAAAAGAATAATGAGTAACTATAAAAAGTAGAACTTGATATAAAAACTAATTAATCGAACTAATGCCAAACATGATTAATAAATATTCTAGAATGACTATGAAAATATGCAGAAAAAAAGAAAACAACGCGCTCATGTGGCTTATCATGTTTGCAAATGTTTAGCCTGTTTAAAGGCGCAAATTTCCGTAATCGAAGTGCCATTGGTACAGAATTTTTGAATAACATTTACACTAAAACAAAATATAAGTTTTGATTAGATCCTCTTTTTGCTTCTTCTTTTTGATATTGTCTACCTTCATCGATTCAACATATGCATGGAATACTTCTTCAGCAGTAGGCATTAATATTGACTAGAATGGTTGCTTCATAGTTTTATTTTATTAGAATTCAACTTAATACTTTGCTGTTATTTTTCTTCTTTTTCTTATCAGTTTTCAACTTATTTATTTCATTTTAATCAATTAATTAATACCAATTTCATTTTTTTTAATAAACCCCTATAGACTAGTGACGCGACGAAACCATTCTCATCGATGTCAGCACGTCGATTAAAAGATGCCAACAACGAGCAAGCACGATACGAAAGTACAAATAATATAAACGGTAGACCAAATCGATGGCCAACATTAACAACAGCACAGGCTTCAAGTAGTCGTCTAACAACAGCTGAAGAAAAAGCACGACGATCTCAGGTATTTATAAATTTTAATAGTAATTATATTGTTTCGATATGTTCTGATCATGATTCCTCACAGATACTCAGAACTCTTTATGGACCTGGTGGGTTAAAATCTCACATTTCGAATTGTTTATCTCTTCTATTTTAACTCATTTTGTGTGCATTGTGTCTTCTTCTTCTTCTTCTTCTTCTAGGTTGAATATTATAAAAATGTAATTCTTGATGCTGCATGTGATGATCGAGAAAAACAACATCCACAACAAACTTTAGATGATGATGTCGTACTAACATCTAACTTTTTCCCAGCACAGCCAGCATCATTAGAAAGGACAAACGAAGAAGGTATTTCGAAGTATATTCTACAATATTGAACTTGCAATCTTTTCTTCGACGCTTATCACTATAAAAGTTTTCAATGAGGCCGTTAGATTCCAGAAGAGAATGCATGTAAATAGCGAAGTATGTGGCGCCTCTTTACTTTGACATACAAGTTATTTATTTTGGCATTCTAATGATCTAGTTTCATAAATAATCAAACCAAAAACAAAAAGATTAACATATAAAAATAGAGTTTTTCTTTTCTTTTTGTTATTGATCTTAATTCGATGATCATGACTTTTCAGAGTATCCAGTTGGCTATCCTTCTGGTCCATCGTGCCAAGCAAGTGAACTTAATGAACCTGCGTTGACTAATGACTCCCGAGATGTGTTCACAGCTACGTATTTAATTCGACGGCTTAGTAGTAAGTATTTAATGACTAAAACTTTTTGATTTTTTTGACAATTCATATATTTCAGCATTATTTCCAACACAACATACAGGGGGTGTGCACATAAATATATCTTTAGTTTGTTTATAAACTGATATCTACTACTACCATTCATGCGATGCATATATATATTTTTGCTGTTCATTGATTTGCAATCAATCAGTTTTTTTTTGGAATAAGACATAATCTAATAGCTTTTTGAATTTGCAAATAGGAAAATAAAAAAGACTAAAAGAAATTGTTTTGTTTTCATTTTAGCTCTTGAACGTGAAGCATCAAATTATCCATTTTTGAGATCGAATGCACGTATTGATGATGTAAAAATTAATATTATCGACATTATTTAAAAAGAAAAAGATTTCATTTCTTTTAATCTAGGATACAAATGTGCAAATAACTGATAATGACACTGATTATGAATTGAGTCGTACGAACATATCAAATCAGCATGAAGATGGACGGCACTCATCAAATGCATTTGTTACGAGTCGAGTTTCTGCCCATCGTTAGTTTTTATTGAAAACAAAACAAAACGAAATAAAAATAGAAATATTTCATTTAAATTTTTCTAGTAAACGATCGTATACTTGGTGCACCTCGACCAGCAACTCGGCCAAAGTCAACGGCCATGAGTACACTTCAAAACCGAACTGTTCTTGATATCCGATCTATTCAACCACCTATTCAACCTCCAGTAAGAAACAAAGTTCTTTTTGTTTTTTCTTTCTGAACTGTTTTTCTAATCAATAGCATCTACGACGTATTGCTGAACAACAGCAACATCAAAGGCAACGTGTTATGATGGTATTCGGCAAACAAACTACTTCTGACACTATCGAGAAAACACAGTCAATATCAACACGTACATTTCATTTATCGATGAATGAACGACGACCAGATGATTCATCGCTTAATTATGATAGTTCATCGTCAATTATTTCTAAAGTTTATCCTATTCAACAAGATAATCTTCCAACAAATTCCAATTCTCGTTTTGAGTCAGGATCGTTCAATAGATCACAGGCAATCGTATGATAAATATCTTAATATGAATATAGTAAAGAAATCATATTTCATTTTTTCTTTGTTTTTTCTTTTAGAGAGTATCAAGTGTGAAAAAATCTTCTAAATAGAATTTTTAATTCGGTTTTTACTTGGTTTCAGCTGCACTTGGACAATCATTATAAATGCAAACTAGTCGATTATATTATTTTTGATCCGTCCTTCAATTGATAATTGCATGTGTATTTTTTATTCATTTTATTTTCTTCACTTTTGCTTGTGTCTTGAAAATTATACTATCGGTTTTATTTTATTTTTCATAAGTCACACTAGATAAAAATTCTTGTGATGCTTATGTAATATTCCTATTTCTTTTCTTTTTCATATGCAACGAAGAATGAATCGAAATCGTATTTATATTTTAGAGTAAAAATTATCTACTTCTTCGGATATGAGTTCATCAACACCAAAACCTATTACACTTGAAGGTAGCTGCCATTGTCAGCGTGTTAAATTTTCAGTCGATTCATGTGTGTATATTTGTTATAGTAGGATTTTATCGAGTTAAATTTTGTTTGCTCTTAGATACACCTTATCCATATATGATATGTCATTGTCTGGCTGATACGAAAACAGCCGGCGTATTTAATTGTAATGTTATGGGTGAATATTCAACATTTAAAATAAAGCAAGGTCAAGAATTTGTTAAGATTTATCAAGTGAAATTATTTGCAACTGAAAGTGGTAAAGCTGAAGAATCAACTACAAAATTAAGTCCTCATAAACGACATTTTTGTTCTGAATGTGCTTCATACCTTTGGGCTTATCATGATACTTATCCACAATGGATTTATCCATTTGCATCATGTATCGACACACCATTACCAAAACCCAATGAATATTATCATATTATGACTGATTTCAAACTTAATCATATAGAAATTCCAATCGGAAACAATATTCATACTTATACTCGTTATCCAGAAGGAAGCATTGAAGAGTGGCATAAAAAGCGCGGTCTTTATGGAACTTATACGATAGAGAAATAGAACAGAACAAACTCTAAGGTTTCATTTCAGTTATTAATTTCGTCATGCGTACAAAAACCGCCTGGTCCTCCCGTCGTATAATTGTAGCCGTGTAGATCATATTTGTTTGAAACATGACTTCGTAGAAAAGATTGTGGATTTTCAATTATTTGCAACTGTAGAACATTTTGACCGAATATAGCATCCACAAAAGAAGTAATTAATGTCGCTTCGTCAGTTTTATATTGAAGAAGATCACAGATAGTTCCCTTGCATGCTGCACACATCAGTTTACTCGCCTCATGAAATGGTTCATCGAGATTATCGGCATGACCATAATCTGTCATATTAATATGAAATGTAGGTCCATATAATGAATAATACCATCGGTCATTGCTAATATTATTTGGTGCGCATGGCGGAGTCAGTTTACTAACCGGAATATTATCTAAAATAATATGAAATCTAGAAAGTGTAAGAGAATTGAAGCTCAGTTTTTACCTAGACCATTACTGATAATCAGTGTTGGTGTTCGAAATGGAAGAGGATTTGGAGGATCTTAATTTAAAATAAGAGACAGTTATTAGAGTGATATCGACTGATGTTTGTTTTTTCTATCATACGTGTGATGTAATCTTGGACGATACCAAATGGATCAATTCCATCAACAGGATTCATCATAATAGCTAATTTTACCGGACCACATGTCGTATTGAGATATTGACCGAGTGGATGAGCTCCTGATGAATGTGATACAAAACCAAGATTGTCTATATTTGGTGTAACACCATGGACATCTTTATGCTCAGCAAAAAGACGAGCAGCACCATCATCTGGTTTTACTACCCACTCGAAAAATTTAGCCACATGATAAGCTACTTTTTCTGGTTTTATATTTTCAATTTTTGAAATTCCAATAAGAATAACGTTCTGTTCAGCAATTGCTGTTGCCATTGTATGATAGAACGTTGTAGGTACTAAACCTGCTAGACCAGTTAAAAAAATAAGAACCGGATAAGAACCAGGTGTTATTGGAGAATACATATCAAGTCGAAATTGTGTTGTTGGATCAGAAATAATCAGATTGCCCACAGACCAGTGGGTCATTTTACCAGCCGATGAGAACATCGTAGCTATGAATAGAATTGCTAGTTTGAGAAACATACTTTTACGTAATATTTGCATATTGGTTAAACCGATTAAAAGAGTTAGTTTTTTTTATCCTATAAATGCAAATAGAATCGTTGGGAATTCGTACACCTGTATTAGTTTTTGTTATCTTGTCTTTTTCAGATGTTTGCTGTCTTAGATAATATACGGGTCTCGGCCTCAACAAGACAAGATTTACTACAATCTCTATTACGTGAATGTCAACAACCTAATCAGCCATTACTCAATCAATTAATTGAATACTATTTTCACACAGAATCACCCAATGCTCTTCTATTAATTAAACAATACAATGACACAGGAAAAGAACAATCAAAAGTTAATACCTTTCTATGATAAAGCAATTGTTTTTTGTTTTTACAAAACTTTCTCATTTTTCTTCTTTAGATTTTAATCGAGCATTTAAATACACAAGGTTTAAAACCAAGTAATCGTCATTCGAGTAGTAGTTTTAATAGTGAATCGTATTCAAATGAAGAACAAGAAAGAGTGACTCATATTATGAAAGTCTTTCGTATGTTATGCTTAATTATTCATAGTCAAGTGCCTGGATTGCCAACACTGATTAAAGACAGTTTAGTACTGCCGAATTGTCTTAATGCAATAACAAAGGTGGAGAGTAAAAAATACCAATACGATTAAATTTATATTGATAAATTTGTTTCACATTTAGTGTAAAGATGATCCAAATATTTTAGCACAAGCTTGCTATTTTTTTGCTGCTTTGACAGCTATTTTACCTGGTGAAATTGTTCAACAAACAGAATCGATTATTAATGTATTTAAAGCCACGTGCAAATATCTTTATAAAAATAAAGCATTACTTCGACAACTTTCAATTCAAACAAATTCTCGTAAGGAATTCTCGACAGAAAATCTTAGCATTTTTCGATTCATTTTGTTGTTTTACTTCTTATTTTTAAGATTCTCTTGAAAATGTTCAATTATGGATTGTAAATCAATCGGCACATGCACTGTTTTACACTCTCTATACAGTATATCCATGTAATTTTCTGTATCATATTCAACGTGAATTTCAACGGAATGAAAATCTTGATGTATTTGAACATATTTTCATACCAATGTTCCAACGTGTTCGTTTTAATGCACGTCTTATTGATAGTGATCGTAAACGTGAATTAGATAAAGTGAAACGTTTGAGACCAAATTCATCTAATACTATTTATGATGCAAGAAAGCTTTCACTTGATCCCTTATTTGGACGAGAATCACCAACCAATCATAATTGGATGCATCAAGAAATGAAAAAAATTTTACCATTTTCACATTTTAAACGTAAGAATATTGAGAGAGAAAAAAACATGCTAGTTAAAAATTATATATATATATATATTGGATGTTGTGTTTCTTTTTTACAGGACAATCTCCAACGAATTCAAGTGATCAACTGTCTGATGGACTGCGAAATTCAAAAGACATTACTAGTCCATGTAAGATGGTTTTTTTGTCTATTGGATAGCTTTAAACAATTTTATATGTTTTCATTTAGCGGATAATACGTCAAAACGATCGAACAGTTCACCACTTCAAAAATTTAAAGTTTGTTAATATTTTAATACTACAAAAGAAGTTCTCCTTTTGATTAATCACTTGAACGATAGTATTAGATGCTATGTGTAGATTCTAATGAATTGTGAATAAATTTCCTTCTAAGCAATATTTTGAATGAAAATTTTAAAGAAATAATCTTTTTAAAGTGTTCTCAACGCGAATCAAAATATGCAACGTTTCATTTCACAGCGATTAATTAGTTAGGGAACTTTGCTCAGTAGATATATCTGTATTGCATAACATTATTAAGGAAAAAATCAAAACTTATTTTCGTCCTGCGCCATCACCATCATCAACTGCAGCAACTACATATTCAACAACAGATACCAATACAACAACTAATAAAAATAATAATACGTTATCTATTCCAAATGTTTCTTCTTCTCTTGTATCATCTCCAGCGTCGCCAGCTACCGCATCAGACATGCGTGCTGTTAAAACAATGCCAGAATTACAAAGTAATAATGATCTATCATCATCGTCTTCTTCAACTCCAACTATTCGACGTTCTGATGAAAAAGATCAAATATTTGTTAGATCAGTTATTAATACTATTTCAACAAATTATGATCAAAGTAAATTTAAAACCATTTCCATGGATGTCACACTGCTTTTAAATTTATTTCATAGACTTACCATCTCATTGGAGAAAAATTCTTGGTCGTTATGATTCAAATCTTCTTGAAGCTTCAACTCCACAACGTCCAGCAATCTTTTATGTTTCACCATCTGAACATAGTCTTGATAATCAACCACAGCAGCAAAAACAGTCCCAACAGCAGCAACAACAACAAGTAGATGATAGTTCGCCAACATCAACAAACGAAAAACGGCAACGATGTGTATCTGCCTCTTGTGCTAGCAGTAGTAGTCAACAAGTTCATTCGCCTGTTCTTGCTGCACCAACAACATCAACTGATGATATTTTGCCTCGTACACAATCGCTGTCAACAAAACAACGTACTCGACATTCGGCAACACTGTCAACAACAGATTCATTTCATCAAAGACATTTAATAGTAAATCAAATTCAATATGAAGAAGATGATGATGATGATAATTTATTCATGGATCAAACATCATCCATTGATTCATGGACGTACCAAATTCCATTGGAATTATATATTTGTCCGGAAACGAAAATGTCTATTATTGATGAATTAACATGGAATGATCATGAGTTTATTAGTATACCACATTTTGATTTTAACGATATCGTTTCAAATAGTAAATTAAATTAAATTTTTTCGACATAAAAACTGTTTCATTTTGTTCATTAAGATTGTTCATCAAATGAACTTAAACAATTTGATCGTTTGTATAAATGTCATTCCTGTTATGAAGTATTTTTAACAGAACAATATAAAGATATATGGGAACGTTTATGGTCAAAACAAAAGTCATTTCAAAAGCATACCTATGAAATTCAAACTACAGTAAGATTGAAAAATTCAGTTTTGTTGGATTTCAAACATTTGCTATTCTATTATGTTTAGCATGCTTTTTTAAATACACTTCATTTTGAAATTCAAGGTCATTTAAATGATGAAACAAATATATACGAAAACGATTCAAAATGTCTATCGGATGAAAATAGTTTATTAGGTGGAAAAGTTGTTGAACTGGGAAAGTGAGTTGAGAAGAAAAGGAAATCATAAAATTCCATTTTGTCATTGCTTGTTATGTATAGAGTTACATCGCGACGAAAGCAAACTTCTACAAATGCAGAAAGAGATACAGAACTAGAAGAACTTGAGAAATCGCATGGCCAACTTCGCAAAGTAAGTGAAGAGAAAAGTTTCTTTCTATATAACCATGAGAAATTTGGGCAAAATATTTTTTTGTAATGAACTTTGTCAAGTTCGATTAAAAATTAAAGTATGGAGGCATTAATATTGGTGCATACTTTCATCTTGATTTCGCGCTCGTCAAATTGTTACGAGCTTCTACTTTCGTGATTCGATCATTACTATTTTAGTTCTACAAGAAACGAATATCTTATCTTATTCAAAATGAACACACAAATGCGAATTGAATAGTATTCAAAAACATAATTTCCACCAAACTTCGATTCTTCAACATTGTTCGCTGTTATTTTTTTAGGAAATAAGTTTTCATTGTATCACTGAATTGAGATTTCTAGGGATGATACCAAATCTTCAATATTATCCAAAACCTCATATAAATATTGCAGTAGTAAAAAACTGACGAATCAGATAGGGTACAGTTATGAGCCTTCTTTCGATTCCCATTCTCACGCACTCCGGTAATAAAACCATCTAGAAGCAATTCTCACTCTCGTAACCACATTGAAATCACTAGGATAGAATTACTTTTACTATTTAGATTGTCAATAATGAAACATTAAAATTAAACAATCTTCTTACTGAATTGGATGATAATGACAAAGAAGCAGAGTTAGCTGCAGAACGATCAGAACAATTGAGACTTGTTACACAAAATATAACACATCTTAATGAACTTAATCAACAGCTTGAATGTCAATATTTACGCTTTACAGATGATATGCTAATGGGTACACATAACAATTTGTTACCTTCTCATCTTACTAGAGATGAGGATGATGAACTGAATCAATTTAAATCGGCATCGTCAACAACAACAACCAACGGACGTGATGAAACCAGTGAACTGGATTCAATTTCTTTTAGTGAGGAGCATCGACAAGATATCGAAGATTTCAATCCACAACAGGATGATGATCAACCTGAAAAATATGATCAATTACTTGCTGATATAATCGAAATTTTAAACAATCAAAGTACGTGACAAAAATTAAAGGCATTATTCATTTCCATGAATTGTATCATATTTAGATAAAGACAATGATATCACTCAGATAGATATAGAAAATAAGGCGTATGAAATTCTTCTTGAATATATGGAATCTAAAGAGAATATGCAGGTATGAAACATAGAATAACTTGAATATTTATCGTCATTATAATGAAAATTATTTTAGGATTATCTCGTCGAGCACAATACACGTTATATTGATCTTTATTTGGAAGCCCAAGCTGATTATATGGTACAAGTCGAAAACGAACTCTCACTGAATAAGTCGATATTAGAGCAGATGCCAAATGTAGCAATGTAATTTTTTTCTTGCATACATCTAACATTATTCTTGCAATTAAAATAGACAAAAATAATACTCTATCATACAATCATAAATGTATATAGTTTAATTCCAACATCATTATCTTATTCCAGATAATTGATTGTAAAATAGTTGTGTGTGAAATTACAATGCCATATTTACAAAAAAAAGACATTTTTGCATGGATATATCAACTAATCTACTACAGTTAGCATACTTGCGTTTGTTCATTCAAAGTTAATCGAATTGACCATTTTCAAATCAATATATTGTCAGCGAATCTTGAACTATATTTAAATTTTAGAGCACTTAAGTTATTCGGACTATTCTTTTATTTACGAGATGAAATTATGTGGAATACTCGAGGTTTACAAACTTGCAGTATATTTCAAACAGCACATTGCATCAAATTTTGAAAGATTTCCCTTTACAATGTTTTATCTTTTGAATGGAATCATATACTAATGGATAGAGCGCAAATTTCTCTACTTGAGAAAGTGTCATTAACTGTTTCTCTACAGGTATATGATACAAAATGCTAGTAGCTTATTAACGATTCAGTAATGAAGCATCAAAATAAAATAATGTTTGAAACAAGAAATAAAAATATTATGTTCGTGCTCTTCTGTTTAACGGCAATCAAGTAGCAAACCACATCGGGTAGCCTTCTCAAAATTCCTAGCATGTAATAAAAATCGACGAGATGTTATCAGCACCTTTTTTCACTAGAATAGATTCATTGATCGTGCTCTGACGAAATTTGTGGTTAACGTGTGCACATCAGAGGTGTCCACAGGGCAGGGCGATAGCTGCGTGCCCTGCAAATTTCGCATTTTTACTTTAGTTTGGAAATAACGGCGATTTCATTTTTCTCGAAAAGTTAAAACAATCCATGAGAAATTCAGATAGCAATATCACATTTAAATAGGATATTTTGTTATACGATAGTCTTTAAGTTGCACGATACTATATAAGTATAAGTCCAATCAAAATAGCAACAAAGAAAAGAACATTAGTTTAGCAGCCCTCATTGAAATAATATTGTACCAGCGCGATCACCTTCTAATTGTTCACGCGTTAATTTTCTTATGATCTCTTCTATTGGTAAAAATGAGATATCCATTTTATCTGAGGCAAATATCTCTGTTAGTTGTGAAGCTTCATCATTTAACTATGGCTATTCATTTAAAGCCCCTTGTAAAAAGAGAAAGACAACCTCTGTATTTTAAAAATTGAATCAACATAAACTTCAGCCTTGTAAAAGAGATCATTTGCTCACTCAGCTTTTCTAAATACAAAAAATATTAATTTGAACGAATCCCATATCTTATCAGCTGCTTCAAATGTTATCATAAATTAGCTTATAGAGTCACGAGTGAAACTAAGCGTTTTCTTTCATACGCAGATTAATGATTTCTTCTAGTGTCAGCATGTCCTCCTGTTGTTGGCATAGATGATTCTCGGTTGATTCAAATAAAAAGTGTAAAATCTGAGCAGGTGGATGAGGTTCTGTTCATTAGATTAGCTGAAAACTAATTAAAAGGAAATATTTACAATTTCTTTTTCATTTTTGTATATACTATTATTTGTAAATCAAAATCTTTTTGTGAGCTACTTATCAATAAAAGTCAGTAATGTAGTTTAAATATTAACTTGAAAATTCTTCTTTTTTTTGCAGGGCAGGGCAGGGCAAAAAAATTTGAAATCATTTTTGTCCTGCCAGGACGAGACGAAGTACGATAGAAAATCAGACAGGGCAGGGCAACAAAATTGGCCCTGTGGACACCTCTGATGCACATACATGATTATTAAAAAAGCTCACTCACACAGTAGAATGATTTTACCTCACTCTTTTTCTCGTCTACATTCGGTAAGAGAAAAGAACAAACGTTCACATAGCTTTTTTTTAATAGCAATTGCAATTGGTGTACATACAGTGTACACAGATGAATGTTGTCTGTTTTTCAATAAATGAATAATAGTTAAATATGAAAATGGTATAAAAAACGAATAGTTCTATTGATAGTTTTCGATTCAAAAATAAAGATTTCCATAAAATTTAAATAAAAATAATATTTTATGTAAACATAACTCAACTAGCGCTCCACGAAACATATGCAATAGGATTGGCTTAGATGTCATGTGTGACGTTCGACACAAGGTAAACTATGGATGATGCCCATTGCTAGATAGGCTCCTGTCTATTTTTGGTTGGCTCACAGTAGTGGTTTTCTATCTATAGATCAGTATTGATTTAAATTCAAAGACGTTATGTCTCAACCAACAACCTCGGACAATGTGACTGACACATCGGCAGCATCTACGAATCCATCGGCAAAAGTTGTACCCCCATTAAAACTTGATGGTACGATAATGTTTTTTTTTCATCAAGATTTTCATAATACAACCTATCTTTTCTCAGTTCTTCGGATTATTCGCCTTTGTCAACAACAGCATGGTCTCCGTCATGGTGATTATCAACGATATCGGTAAATTAATATTTGAATAAAGAAAATGTTCTAATCTGAACTTCATTATTCACATTTAAGGTCGTTCTGTTCTCGCCGTCTTCGTCGCATACGCAAATCTCTTGAATTAACATATGGTAATCATAAGAAATTTCAAAAACCTGTAATTACAGATGAACTCGTTGCAAAAGATTCACGGTAATTGTAAAACATTGTTCTTTGTATTCAATTTCAATCATATTTTCCTTCACAGATATCTTCTATTACCACTTATTTGCAGTGAACGCGCATGGGCTTTTGCTATGCAACTTAAAAGTATATTAATTAATTAATTAAAAAAAACTCAAATCTTTACATGTGTTTAATTATAGCCGAAGCCAATACAGAACCTCGAAAAAAGTTTCATCTTTTAAGTCGTCTTCGTAAATCAGTTAGACATGCTGAACAATTAGAAACGCTGTGCAATCAACAAAAAACATGCGATGCTCGTACAAAACTCGAAGTTCAAGTCAGAATTTGACATTAAAAACGAATGTCCTTATTAAATTCCATAGTTTTTTTAGGCTTACACAGCTGTTATGAATGGCCATTTAAAGTTTGAAATGCAAGTATGGTCTGATGCATTACAATTTTATATTCGTGCTCAGTAAGTTGATTAGAAAATAGTTTAAATTGATCTACTTCTGTCTTGATGATTAGAGCAATTTATGATAACCTGAAAACGGGCGTTCGTAGTGAAGATGATAAACAGATGATTGATCAACGTATTGATGAAATAACAACAAATGTTCGCTTTTGTCAATATAAGACTGGTGACAAGAGTGCGGCTAGAGAATTACGAACTATTCGAAATAAAGCAGCACTTGATGATCCTGAAATGACACGTATTCTTGATGTAAGTTCAGATATTTTTTTTTCTCTGACTCATTGTCTCTTTTTCTCTGTAGGCATTTCTTAATGAAACACACGAACAGCAAACATCATCAATATCAGAAATAACATGGCGACAACGTAAAATACAAGTAACAAATGAAAAAGTTCGTTTGTTTTTTCTCAATTTACAAGAATTTGAAAATGAACTTAAAGTAAAAATAATATTTGAACAACATTATAAAGTTTTGTTTTCTTCGCTCGTGCTTCTAGAAACAAGATGTTTCATTCGATACGAAAATGAGTCTTTACGAAAGTTTCGTTAAAGAAGCAGTTGAAACATTACAAATCGCTAAAGATGAACTTAAAAATGATCCTGTAAATATACCCTGAATAAAAACCGAGTTTTATTTTCATACAAATTCTTTTTTGTTTGTTTGTTTCGTAAAGACATTCAAACCTGTCCCAGCATCGTCAACAGCTGCAGCTAGTACAACACGTGAAAATAGTGAAAAACTATCTGATAATGTTTGGCTTTATAGTTACATTGCGTGGATTCGTCTTTCGAAAATGATTGAACGTAATTTAGCGATGATTGATAATGGTAAACAACAAATATTTAAAACAGCGACAGCAGATAGTGAAAAAACTGATGCTGCATCAGCTAAAAAGGTACCGAAACCTGCTGATATTATTAGAATGTATGATTTATTATTGCAAGTAAGTTATTATTTATTTTCTTTTAGAATAATTTAACGTGTAAATTTCTAGTTTTTAAATGATATTCTGGCAATACCAGCTTTACAAAATGATAAAACAATTCAATCGGATGTCGCTTTTCAAACAATTGTTTATAAGGCTTGCAGGTTTGATTAGTTCTAATAATGATGCTAACATCTCCATTAAGACAAAATATCTGATTTAACTATTAAACAAGATACAGAGGAGTTCTACAACTCAAGCAGAACGTTTCATGTCATAAATAGAGCTGCATCGGTCGATAGCTGAACTTAGAAAAAAATAAATGAGGAAACATCGGATTGGCATCCGATTGTTACGTGTACTGCAAAAACTGAGTCGATTTATATATGTTTTGAATAATTCTGAGATAAAAAGTTTTTTTTGAAAAAATCCCTGTACCTTCCGCCCCCTCAGGGATGGTCTGGTCGAACTCGACTGAGATATTGATGAGATTATTCTGTGCACAATATTTCAAGACAATTGGATGAGTCTTTCAAGAGCTATCGTGTTAACTGCCGGACACACTGACCGAATCTAGAGTGTACTCAGTTTTTGAGTACACAACAATCACTTTTTTTGTAGTATCAGTCATTGCAGTTCGACTCATATTTTTTCACCATTCATCACCCACAGATGTCGATTTTCCGTATGTAATCTCTTCAATCCAATACTTTTATTAGCTTTTCTCCTATAAGCTCTCTAATCTATACGGTACTTGCATGAATGCCATACTTGCATACTATAACAAAAATAAAAAGTGAATCATATAATAATACATCTTACCATCTCTATCTGATTTTTGCTTCAACTGGCCGTTATTGAATTTTATTTATGAATCAAAATTTACTCAGAAGAAAAATGTTTAATTAAATATCTTTTTGATTGATTTACTCATGAAATATTTTGTTCGAATTTTTTCAATAAATTTATTCAATAGAATAAACATATTTTTGTTTTGTTTGAAGGTCATTTTATATAACAATATCATTTATACAACTAAAACGATTTAAAGAATCAGCTGCATTCGTTGTGAAAACTGAAACATACATGGAACAGGCAAAGACAATCGTCAACTCTGGACAACAACTAAAATCAAGCGAAATTAACTATCAAGTATAGAAACGATCATTATTTGATTTCAATTTACAGAAGTGTTTTCCGCTTTTTTTAGTCACTATTAAATGAATTTATTTTTATTCAATCAAAACTCGATGAAGTTAAATATGAAATTCAAACATCAGCTACATCAACACCACTTGGTAATGCTTCACCTAAAGTTGGTGCAACACAACAAACAGCTGATCAGACTATTTCACCTGAAGAGCAAAAGGAATTAGAAAAAAAAGTAATATTCATACACTTTCGCTCAAATCTTGTGTCTTATTCGTTATTGTCTTTTATTTTCCAGCCATTAATCGATCGTTTAGATACTTATTTTGAAGATTCATCATTAACTAATAAAAGTCGTCTTAATATTGTTTCATTACCGCCACCATTTAAACCTATTCCGTGCAAACCTGTTCTCTTCGATTTAGCCCTCAATCATCTAACACTTCCATCGTTAGATGATAAAGTTCAAACAAAACGTCAAGCAACAACGGCACTCACCGATAAAGGACAACAACAACAACAAGCGGGCCTTACTAGTTATGTCAAAGGATTTTTTTCGGGGTGGAAAAAACAATAGATTATAAATAATTTTTCTTTTTAAAGACAAGAAAAACGAAATAAAAGACTGATTTTATTGTTGAAACAAATAAGCGTTATATTATTTAACCATTTTAGATGGGAGGTATATTTGGTAGAAAACCGCAGAGATCTTCAAAGCAACCGGCGATCACAGAACAAGATCGTGCAGTACTTGTAAGAACGAGTTTATTTTTCTCGTTACAATTAGATTTAAGAATCATTTTTTATTTAGCAATTAAAACAACAACGAGATCTATTGAATCAAAATCGAAGACGCATTGAAAATCAAATTGAGCGAGGACGTGAAGTTGCTAAACAATTATTAAAAAATGGACAACAGGAGTAATGAGACATATATATACATGTGATTTTTTGAATATTTACAACATTTTCTATATGAAAAAATTTTAGTCGTGCTTTACTGTTGCTTCGAAAGAAAAAAATGCTTGAAATGCAACTTTATAAAACTGAAGGAATATTGGAAAATGTTGAACAAATGGTAATATAGTTTTTATTCTTCAATAATTATTCATTGCTTTTTATTCATATAATGTTTAGACACATGAATTAGAATTCGCTCAAGTACAAGCTACTGTTGTTAGTAGTTTGCGGCAAGGAACAGATGCATTGAAAAAAATGAACGAACTGTTAAAAATTGATGATATTGAAAAATTAATGGAAGATTCACGAGAAGCTATTGAATATCAAAATGTTTGTTTCTACTTGTTGTACTTTGTAATTAGATTGATTTCGATTCTTTTCTCTAGGAAGTATCAAATCTTTTAGCAGGCGGTTTAAATCGTGTTGATGAAGAAAATATTGAAGCTGAATTAGAAGAACTCATTCATGCTGAAGAAGCTCGAGAAATTAATCGTTTACCAGATGTACCTGAAAATCGTCAACGTAAATTATTTGGATGATAATTATGAATGTAATTGTATTGTATTTTATGATTTAGGTGAACACGCTCGTAGACCTGTTGTATCGCCAACAAGAGCACATCAGCGTGTGCTTACCGAAGCTGATTAAAGAAAAAAGCTTTATTATTATGTTATTATTTTCATTGTGTAAATATCTCAGAATCGCTTTGTCTCTATGTTTAAAAGACATATAAACATTTGAGTTCCTATTTGTTTGTTTTTACTATTGAATAGCTATTTAAATAGTTCTGTTCTGGAATTTGAATATTGATACGAGATTAGGTTAATCTGATATTTGTAACCAACTGATGAGACGTGTCAGAGTTTCAGTTTTTGATATAAAACTAATAATCACGAGAGTGAATCAGTGCCTATTAAGAGGGTTGGGGGTAAATATGAAGTTTTTTTTTAAATATTTTTTTGTGAGTATATTTGAAAGTTTCGTATTATTAAATCTTTTATAACATATAATTTATTGTTGACTTCTTTTTCTTCGTTTTCCTGCAAATAAAAATTCCATAGAAATATATTTAGTATTACAATGAATGACGAAGTCTAATTTCAGAATAAATAAATAGAAATAGTGAATTGTAAGTCGTTGACATAGAATTCATTTCAACAGTAATTGCGTTGGTATGCCTGTTCGGTACAACACTGAGACATTCGATGTATCCAGAATACATTCATTTGAAAGCAGTCAGCAAACGGAGACTCTCAAACTCAGTAAATAAAGATTCAAAATTTTCTTTATATTTTATGTTTCACCAGTCGATCGTGATCATTATAAATTGAACGTTACAACACAATAAATTAAACTCGTTTGACCAACTAGTACGTTTCCAGTATAATATTTTTGTTGCTATTTCTGCATTCGCCTTAGTTACTTTGTAGCCTATGAGATCTAGCTATCCAATCTCCGTAGATAATCATAATCTCTGACCAGAAATTGCTTTTCTTTATAAATGTGTCACTTGCTAATTTTTAGTTTCACAGTTGACAATTTAGAATGTAACTAACAGAAAATTTCAGATTTATTGTATTTATTACTAATCCATACTTTTTTTTAAATCATATATGTTTGACAGTCTTATTTGAAAATATCCGAACGCTAAGAACGTTGGTAATCTAGTAGTTTCATATTTGTATAATATATTTTAAAACAAAATAATTCATGAACTATTTGAATTTTTTTTCCATTCTATGTAATAAATAAGATTTTTGTTACCCTACATTTTTCAGATGTAAATACAAGAAACGATTTATGATGAATGCTAGATTATGTTTTATTTTTCTGACAATATTTCTTCCACAAATATCATCGTTATTTTCAAATAAAAATATTCTCTGTAGTCAATCAATTTCAAATTCATTCATTGATTTATCGATAACCACGAATCAAAATGTATCAATAGATCTGTGTAATAAAAGATTTAATATCAGTATACGTTCAAATGAAAATTTTTTCTCGAAAAATATTTCTCTTGATGAATCCCTTGAAACTCAAACAAATCCGTATTTTGCCTATGTTGGCCACATTATTGATGATGATCATTCAACTGTCAGTTTAATTACCTATCCACAATTACAGATCTATATCTATTTAAATGGTACATATTATTATTATATTTCATTATCAAATAGTTTAACCGTAACATTGCAGTTTTCTCAACGAAAATTACTAAAATATTATCCGCAATTACTTGATGATAGTTTATGGAAAATTTTACAACAAGAAGAAGATTTTTATCAACAAAATTCTTTAATTTTACATGATTTACATTTTATATATGAGCTATTAACATTACCATGCGAATCTGATAAGTTGCAATACAAAACCACATCCTATTGTGCATTTGCTTTATTTATTGATGAAATTTTGTATGAAAAAACATTCGATTCGAATATCTATTCTATATACGCATTCATAGAACATTTTAATTTTTTATTACGTACATTAACCCATAATGAATATGGAGGTTTTTCATTAACAAAATTAAAATTAATCACGCATATTGACATCAATTCAAATAATTCATTTGACATATTGCATAAACTATCTCATGATCAAAGCTTACTATCGAAAGATTATTGCCTTGTTCATCAAATGTTAACATCTAATACTGAAAAAGATAATTATGTTCTTGGTTACCAATCATCAATTCATACATATGATATTGGTGGAATATGTTCATTACCATTTGACATGAATAATAATAGTTCAGAAGAAATAAATCTTAATACAGGTTTATCAATATTAAATGACAACATAACGAAAAATCTGTCAGTATTTTTTAATGGTTTAATGAAAACAAGCTATTTATTTCTTCGTCAAATGGGTTTAAATTTAACTTTATGTTCAATAAATACAACTCGAAAAGGTTTTTTTCAATTTAATACAGAATTATCACCTATTTTTCAAAATTGTATGGATCTAATACCAATAACGTTAGGCACAGCACTTAAACGACGTGCACATTTTTGCTTTACTCATGTCAATTCATATAATATAACAAATCAAACAATGAAACAAGACACAACATGTAAACAATCTACTGATTTTCAATCATCGATAACAGTCGATGGGAAAAAACGTAAAAGTCCGTATGTTGAAAATGCATTGAATGATAATCGACCTGGTGAATGGTTTGAAGGAAATATTGTTGGAATGATTTTAACATTTTCATTATTAATATGGATACCTGTTAGTTGTTTTGTACATTTTTGTGTTGATGAAATAAATAAAAAATCATTTATCGAGAAACAACAAGATATGGAAACACAAGCAATGCCACCATCGATGAATGAACAAATTGAATTAACAAAACAAACGCAAACTGACTAAAATGTTGTCTTGTTCTTATCATTTTTTTTTGTGTCAGATTCTTTTTGTATTTGGTTTGGAGATATATTTACTTTTATTATAATAGACAGAAAATAAAATATACGTATAGATTTTTTTTCTAATAAAATTCTAGAGTTTATTTGGAGATGTCAACGCTTTATGGTCATGGTGATTTAGCGGCGGAAGAGACAGAAACAATTGATAGCGATGAAGAAGACCAACAACGATCAAGTCGAGATCCAAATAAGTAAGTTTATTTTGATTTTAGTTTACACTATTGAATCGATAGAGGTGCATATGGACTTTTCTTGATAAATATTTATCGATCACAAATATGTTGAAAAGAAAGTCTCCATTGATCCACATTTCCAAGTTTATAATATTCTCCAACGCTTATAGATATTGATTGATATCAATAACATTCAATAAATTCTATCGAGGCTTTTAAAAAGTCATACATTTTGTTCAAAAATGTCTTCTTTGCAAGGGACTATTTCAATTAGAGTTACAAGAATTTTAGATCAATTTTTGCGAAGCAATCTACAAACACTAGTCAGAAGACAACATCTTTCTTATATGTTTGATATTGTCCCTGCCAAAATAAGAAGTTCTTAGAAACTAAAGGTTTGAGTAGTATTTGATTGATCTAAATATGAGGAATCTATTTGCTCTAAATTCTATGTAGAATGTATATGAATACTAAAATTACATTTAGATTACCATTTTCAATCATTTGGCGCGATGATTTAAAAAATGATGATATCAAAATCCCATGTTCATCATTATTAATCGCTTTAGGTGCAACTGCTTCTGGTAAAAATTATTTATTTGATTTATAAAACAAAATAAACTAAACAGAAATTTATCTTATTTTTTTTACAGCTTTTGCTTTTACGCATGTTTTGTGTAACTATGATCTAGAATTAATTGGCTATGGTACAGATGAAAAAATCAGTGATGATGGAAATACAGAAACAAAGTCATTTGATCAAATCAAAGCGCAACACTATTCAACACAAAGTGTTGATCGTATTTATCGATTACCATCAAGTTCATTTGTACTTATTCAATTGAATTCTTCCATTAAATCTGATAGAATATGGCCTTTAAGTGAACAGGTACTTGTAAAATTTCGATAGTTTTCTTAATTGATTTGTTTTTTTAAATAAAATAGATTTTGAATAAATTTAATTTTTCAAATCTGACGAATTCGAATCCGATTTACGTTATTCAATCACGTTTATCGATGGATTACGTTACAATTGCAGGCGAATTTGAAAGCAAAGCAAATTTATTTATTCGTTACATTAAATCATCATTAGTTCCAATAGACGACAAAATTACGCAAACTATTAAACCAATTGAACCTCCGAATGCAATTCGGGGCCTATCAGCTGCTTGTAAGTCGTTTTATCGTTTCTTTCTTCTTATACTTATCTAAAAGAATTTTTTCTATTAGTGTTCACTAAACTGCATCAAGCTAATATTCCGGTTATTGTTCTTGTTGTTTATCAACGTCATTCATCTGTTAATGCTGATGCATTAAAATTATTACAACGCATATTAGATCGAACATCACCAACACTCAAACAATACGTTCTATCAACTGAAAAAACTAATAAACAATTGATTCGATTAGCATCAATTCAAGCAAGTAATATGTACTCTTAAATACTTCCAACTGATAATCAAGAACAAGACAATTATTAGTATTCTTTTTTTGTCTTCCTTTTTTACAAAACCTGTATGAAACATTTCTAAAAAAAACAAAAACAAAGACAAAAACATATCAGGAAATAAATTTGACGTTTTTCTTAAAACGGGAGCATAAATCCAAATAATAAAACATGCATAACGATAACACTAATTGCAATAAAAATGAGAATCATGGCAATTGTATAATTTCGATAGCCAGGCTCGCCTTTATATTCAGGTGTAATTAACCAAAGTAAATGTTGAATATAATTATCGGCTGAAGTTAAATCTGCTTTTGTTGCAGTTGGCAAATTAAAAAAGAGACTAAAAATATTTCAAAAAAAAAGTGATGGATTAGAACTCCGTTATCCTATTTTTAATAATTTACTCTGTAACATCAACAAAAGCTGATCGAAATGAAACAGCATATCGTTGTGTTGTTGTACCATCGCAATTTGTGGCGGAACAATCAAATTCCCAATTTGAATAAGTATAACTTTATATGAAACATGCTCATAATTATTGATAATAAATAAAATGAAAAGAATAACTTACTTATATTGAACGGAAACGATTTGTTCAAACCAATCTTCTGGACCGATTTGTACACGAACATAATCGAATTCTATATAAACACCTGATGGAACACCAAAGCAAATCGAAAGAGTTTGTGCAGCATCATAAATTGTATAAGAAGTTATTAGACTTCTTGTTTGAATAATATAATCAGTAGTTAATCGATTAATACTACGTGTTTCATCAATTTTACCAAGTTCAATCTGTTCGTTAGCGTCATTTCTAAACATTTTTTTTGTGTAACTAGTCATACTTATTTATTACACAAGACAGCACAAAAAAAGGTTTAACAATACCGTATTCTTTACTGTTTTTGTCTGCTATGCTACATAATTAGCTCAAAACTGGATAGTGATTTTTATAGGTGACGGAATTTTCCAACTAATGCATGAAACACTAAGACTTCATAAATCAACTATACGGGTAAGTTTTGTAAAACAAATAAATACAATAGTTTTCACGTATGAGAAGAATTTTTTGAAGATATTTATTGAGGAAACGTACCATCATAGTTTATCTAAAAATCTTTTTATAAAATGCATTCGATAAAAAAGACCTCTATTGGCTATTAAAATTGATAATGTGACTTGAGCTAGGTGCTTAAAATAGCAGAAAATGAATACAACATTGTTAAAATGTTTTCTACCATCGTATTTAAAAGAAAAATATATCTATACCTTATTTTAGTTGAATTTGAATTCGGAAACATATAAACGTCCGATGCTGGAGCGTAAAATGTATTTAAATAGACATACATGTTGAGTCTATAAAAAATAAAATAAAATTTGTGAAAATTTTTATTTCTTCAATGATTCTATACTCTCTATTGGCTGCTCTTATGTCTAAAACGAACAGATCCCAATAATTTCAATGAAAAATATCATTAGGATGAAGTTAACGTTGAGTACATTAGTACAATTTAGTTTTCGGATTCAATGACGATGAACTTACCATTGAAGATCTACTTGTAAATATATGCCCATATTCTTATCTTAAATAACTTCTCAAATTATGGATAATGTGACTTCGAAGTAATTTTTCTAGTATGAAAAAGATCAGAAACTACATATATTGAATTCCCAACGATATTCTAGTGAAGACAGTTACTCTTGATTTCTCAGGAAATCCTCTACCTGAAGTTATCTTTTACTATACTAATTTAGATAGTAACGACTATAGCAATATTTAAATCAGAAATTGAAACAAATCCATTGAATAAATCATATAAAATATACAGATAAAAATGCCTTTATTTAAAACAAAGAGAAGAAACTAACTTGAGATTATGACATTGTCGTACCGTAGCTTGTTTTAATTGAACAAAGCAACTCGATGAAGTGCTTCGTTTATAATGAAGAATTTGCCGTTGGGCATTGACACATAAACCGTCAACAGCTTGAGAAAAAAATAAAATAGCTTTAGCAATCAATGATCAAGACAAATTTACTTGGAACTAAAGTTGATACATCTGACGAGACACTATTACGTCGGAACTGAAGAGCTTCTCCATCCAGATAACCACCTAAGTTAAAGGATAATTATTAATAAATAGAATAAATTTAATTTATACGAGGAACAGTTGTAGATGATGCCAAATTAACTGCTTGGTCATTCCATTGAATTGTAATTCGGAAATTTGATACAGTTGTACTGGCAGCTGCAAATAAGACGAAGATTTCGACACTTGAAATGGTATTATCAACGGATGAATAATTGAATCGATAGAACACACGTTGGATAGTGCTGGTTGAGCATGGTAATGCTAGAAAAATAGTGAAAAACAAAAGTAAACAATACAAACATACATGAAACACTATAGACATACATACCGGTTGTCAATACGTTGTAACCATTGAAATCAGAAAAACTAGTGGAATCATCTGTTGATGCAGATGTCCCAACGAAAAAATTATCTGTAATGTTACTATATGCTAAACTATCTCCTATTAGACATCCACTCCATATTTGATATTGATTGTTACTACATCGACTAGTATCAGGTGATGGAGTACAAGCAGAATTATAACGTTGAATTCGCGTCGTTGGATGTCTACCAGGACAGTAATCATTAATAGTGCCAGTCGCAGATACTATAGTACTGATACTTGGAGTGGCTGCAGTGGTAAAATAGTATTCAGTTGTTGGATCTATTGTAATTGTTGTAGATGTAGCTGTTACGGTGGAAACTGTAGCATTTACCGAAGAACTTGCATCACCACCTTTCAGAAATGATGTCGCAGCATTGACATTAGTACAAAAGCTCTGATAAGAAAAAGAAACCAAGACACATGATGTTTAATTTAGAAAGCAAAAAATATTAATCATACAGTAAATGAACTAGATGGACATGAAAAATCCTGATTGATTCCAAATAATACATTTACATTGTTTTGACAAGTCATACCGGCTAAAGATCCGGGCAGACTGAATAAGGTACTTGCCGATTGTTTAACAGGAGCACCTGTCGAATAATTTATGAAACTTGAAGATATTGATAATGTTGTTGGTTCAAATAAATTTGGATATGTACTAACAAATGAGGAACGTAAAAATGCTGCATCGTCAGCTGTGTTAATAAATGTTGCATTCGTTGTTGGATAGAATGATCCAAATATTTCATTTTGCTCAAACTATATCAAATGTTTATAATATTTCAGCGGGTTTTCTTTTCTATTTAAATTATAATCACATACTTGTACACAAACAAATGGAAAATAATCATATAGAGCTGCAGATGCATTATTTGTGCAATTCCATGTTTCACTGCTTGGATCCGTTACGTAAGCATACGAAGTGGTAGTTCTTATTGAATTACATATAGGTGATGCTGTGAGATCACTGGCTGTACAATCCTAGATGGATATAAAAGAAATTCAAAGAAAATTTACTACAAATTATTGACGAACAGGATCACAGCAACAGTTTGGATCACAAATATTGATTCGAAGATCACATGAACATGGTGCTGGATCCGTAACGGCTGGATTGGCAAATTTGCGTTGACTCAAAACAATATCTATGAATAACACGGATCAAACGATTGCTTCAATTAAAAGATAATTACTTGAATTGAGTTGTAAAACGATGAAAATGCAGCTAAGAAGATATTTTTGATTCATCCTGCTGTCTGATTATGACTTCATAATCCTTTTTTAATAGAATATGTACATTGCCATTATTGATTTGGTTACTATTGACTAACCTACGGTAGACGTCTCGGTTATAAAAATTTACTTCGCAAAAATAAGCAAACTCATACATGAGAATAATATTTCAGTTTTTAATAAATATTCAAGATGAAATGAAAACTGCATAACTAAATTGATAAAATTTGATTGGTCTTTTATCAGCCAGTAAGAATGATAAAAGGAAATCGTTCTTTCTCTCTCACCATCCACATAATCCATTATTTCCCTTGTCCTCGTGTTTTGATATTCTTGACATCGTTTACAATAGAATTTTATTGTAGATAATTTTTTCCTCGAAATAAAACGAGATAATATGCTAGCTCATCTAGCTGTTGGTGGTCGATGTGCTACTCTTAGTGCACTTCCTCGTGCCAATACATTAGCTATCATTCGAAAGGCATCATCATCGGGTGGAAGTAAAAAGCATGAAGAACCAGTAGCCGTTTCAACACCAACTGGTTCAGATCCAAATAGTTCACCTATGAGCCAACGTGCTTTACCTCCAGATGATGGCAAAGTTCGTAAGTGAACATCTATTTATTTCAATCTAATCTCTTATTTCTTCGAAGGTTTTCCTAATCCGTGGGATGTCATTCTTAACAAGCGTCGTTTTGAATATGCTATGGTTTGTAATAAGAAGAAACATCAATGAATATCTTATTTTATTTTATTGTATAGAAATTCAAAGGATACGATGATCCATTCGATATGATGCCTGTCAAACGTATTGAAAATAGTTCAGCCGAAAATCCAAATTTACTACCAAGTTGCAATGACAAACGGCTAATGGCTTGCATCTGTAAGTGTATTATTGTCGTCGTATAGATATGAGCTTCTAGTTTTTTTCTTTCAAAATGAATATTCATATGTTTTTGTAGGTAATGAGGATGTTTATCACTTGAAATGGATGCATCTTCATCGCGGTGAACCAAAGCGATGTTATTGTGGTATGAAATAGTTAATCAATTAATTTTGATTTGATCCAAAATATTTTCTTTAGGTCATTGGTTTAAATTAACTGAACGACAATTTGTTGATTTAAGTGATTTTGGTATAACTGAAGATATGCAAAAACCAGCCGCCCATTAAGACTACTCCCTTCTCTTTCATTAGACTATTGTAATCCTTCTTTAACTCTCAAATGCTTTCGCTGCTCTAGTTTGGTCGTTTTTTTTCATCGTGATCAAATTCAAATAAAAGAAAATCAAACAGCAGTTTCTTTTTCTCTATCGCTCTCGCTCTCTCTCTCTCTCTTTCTTACTTATCACTCAAATCTAATTAACGAAGGATATGGCGACTATTCTAGTGCTTTTTCTTCTAATATTTATTAGCAAAACAATCTTTGCTGATCTATATCCAATCGTTTTATTCAATGATGATACAAATATTCTACAAAAGAATACTTGCTACATGGCAAATGTAGAAAATACAAATAATCATTGGTGTGAATTAGTTACACCAGGATTTATCTTACCAACGAATAGAATATGCGTGTCAAGAAATAAAAGTTTACCAAATCTTGATGATCGAACAATAGTTAGCGACTGGATTGATGAAATAATAACTACAACTAATTGCTCGTATTTTCTTTCATCATCAATGACAACATCTCAAAAACGTATTTTAACAATTATTGAATTAATTTTATTAGTTATTCTTTTTTTACCATTTCTTATTGAGTTATGTTTAACTATGATTCAATATTTTATTTATTAATTTATCAATAACAAAAAACAAAAACATAATAATTTATAATTATTTTATTTCTTTTGCTTTCAGATATGACCGATTATCAATTGAGTAATGATGATCATGAAGCTTTGGAAAAATTTACAAAATTCTTCTTAGTAAAAGCAGCACAAATCATTGTACAATCACGTTTAGGTGAAAAGAAAACAACCAAATCTAAACAGGTTCATTCAGGAAATGAATGGGTAAACTCTGTTACGATTATTAATATTGATATTTCTAATAACAGAATATCGAATCTTTTTAGTTTTATCTATCGATTAAGGACATTCCAGAAGTTACTGTCAATGCAAAGAAATGCTTAGGAGATGCAGAACATCTTCTAATTGATCCTCCTCACAGTCCATTTTGTGTTGAAATATCATTGCGTACACCAGATTGTGATACAATTACATTGGAAACATGGTGTATATCATTTGATGATTCCGTATCTGATCCGACACAGCGTGTTCGATTTAGTGTATATAATCGTATGAGTATTGTACTTCGATCGCTACTAGCATGTACACGTGCAACACCAACATATCAATTATCACGAAAACAATCAGCAGATAAATATATTATTTGCTATAAAATGTATAGTGGTGAACCTATTGTAAGTCATCTTGGTGAACACTATTCGAAGAAAACAATCGGACATATAGTTACACCTATTGGGCGTTTTGTAATAAATGTTGCTTATCGTACATGTTTAACAATGTCATCACCACAAGTTGATAGTGGAACAAGTAGTGGAATGACACAATTTGGTATGGATATCAAAGATGATCATTTTTCACTGTATAGAAACCAAAATTGTGAAGAGTAAGATTCTTTAAGAAAATTATATTTTATACATATAGGTTGAGCGTAGAGAAAAATCTATCATATTTTCTTTTACAATCAAATCTTCAAAGTTTTCTTCTTTTGATTCTTGAATAGATATGTATACATTCAGATTTCTATGAATACTTCATTTAAGAGTCTGTGTTGGTCCATACTCAAAGTATGTTCAGTTAGCATCGTGATCTTATTTTAGTATTTTGTTTTTACTCACAATACGGGGAAATGCTACCTAGTGTTTTCTACAGCATATTCAGATCAATAAACATAACCTGCAATTTTTTACTTTTATTTCGAAAGAGAATAAGCTATGAATTTCTACGTTTTGAGTGCCAGAAGATTTCTCTAGTTTTTGTTTTCAGAGATGCCAGTCAAAATGAAATAAAAATAATAATCGCAATTGAAATTCGAGAACTTTTACTTTGTTCTTCATTGTACGACAGAGCACTATAATACACGTATTTAGTCTTAGTATTTCAAAAGTAGCTATAAATATTTGGTTGTTTGGTTCGAATAGAGCATGAAAAAGTGTACGTAAAGTACAAGGCTTTTAATCATACTATGTTTTGTTTTGTTTTGTTTTGTCTTGATAGTGGTAGGTATATGATCGAGAGTGAAATCTATCGTTAATCTATTTATTTTTAGTGATAGTGAAGCTCATTTACCATCAGAACATAATTCCAGTGTACCGAAAAGTTCACCTATTGAGGTAACGAAACGAAGACATACAAGCTATGATTCGGTTTCTCCCAGTCATGGGTAAATATAATCGTTACATATTTTATTCTTTAATTTTGATTTCCTTTTCTTAGAACTCCTGATAAAGCATATTATAGTAAATTACGTGCAGCATTTACAACGCCAGGCACTACAGCACATCCTGCCCATGCGGGTTCATATAATCGTACGAATGATAATGATTTACCATTTTTACTGATGATGCAACAGCAAGAAAATGCTCATCATCAACAACATCATTCAATGGAACAAGAGCAAAATTCAAAAAATAATTACTTCATCGGTGGTGATCTAGAAAATGACGCAGCTCCAGATGATTTTATTCTTGTTGAAGTGGTAAGACTTTATTAAATAAATATTATTCGAATAATACAGAACAGTTTTCTTTTTCATCGTTCAATAGAAACCCTTTTTTGGTAAAAGTGATTCGACAGACGATTTAGCTTTGTTTATTCGTTCGTGTCAACAGCCACCAATCCTTGAGTCATTTACTCTCGAACCATCACTTGGTGAAACAATCAGTCAATTAAACGAAGAATTACGTGTATTTGAATCAAAAGTGGAAGAATTTGATCAACTTGTTAATACTTTGAATGCGGATCATACACGACAGAATGATTGACAGACTACGCTCTCGTATCTGCTACATCGAGCAATGCAACAGTGCCTTCGGGTTAATTTCCCAGTTTCTTATTTGTTATTTTTGTCAGCAATACAATTTTGATTCTTGATCTTTTTTTGTACAGTTGAATAGAAAGAAAGAAAGATATATAATATTTATGTAATTCTGTTCATTTTCAAAGCTAGCTGACGAGCAAAATATATCTAATGTAATTTAAAATAAAGATATATATATATATATATTTGTGTTGGAAAGGGAAAATATGCTTGAACTTCAACGACAAATCGATTAAGAAAAGACCTAAATTTAAGAAGAACCATAGATAAATCACTATTCAGGATTTATTGATTACAGTAACAGTGTATTCGTTTGGATGATTATAATACAAGTAATAAAATAGTTGACAGTATCGTCGATCTTTTTCATATATCAAACATAGGAGTGTTTAAAGGTTACAAGGATCATAGGATGACAAGTCGTACACTAGAGAGATTTATAAGAAGACTTGCAGCGTCTTAGATAATTTGCATCCAATGATAGTTATATGATTAACATTTACTTGTACTTTATATTTCAATTTTAAAAACTCGTGACAATCAAATAATAAGCGAGGCGAATCTTTAAAAGGTTACCATAAATAGATCATTGGCTTGTCATAATTGCTAAGTGCAATTTCTTCCAGAAGGTTGTTAAGGCTTATTTTATCTTAATTCAACTTTAAGTGATGAAGAGCAAATTAAAGTTTCAAATTCTTTAAAAACAATGAATTTTTCAAACGGAACCGATGCAAATCAAATACTTTCAAGTGTTTATATAATATTAACAAAGAAATTCGTTCTTTTTATTTTATTTCAAAGCCTACATTAACAAGTAATTCGCTCAAGAGCGATATCTATCGGATTAGATCTAATGTTTCGTTCGTTTTATTTTTCATCGCCAGACAGAAAAAGAAACTTGCAATGATTCATCGTTAACACATCCCACCTTTACGCCACAAAATCATTTTTATTCATTAGAGATAATGTTGTAAGGTTCCTCATGGGTAATTTATTTTCTCGGCACAAAGAACATCTGATAATTGATGAAGATGATGATGATCAATTTTTTGATTGTCTAAATGATGACGAACCACATGAGCACAATGAACAAATCAGCGAAATTCCCATTCAAACGATTTCACATTATTATGCCGTATGGATTCCATCCAATGTTGAAATCACAGGTAAACAAATTTTTATTAGAATCTTTTCTTTCATTTAATTGTGAAATTTGAATTAGAAAATCAATTTATTTTTGACGATATGAAAAGTGCTTTTACACTTTGTAAAAAATATAGTAAATATAATAGCCGAGTGAAAATTTTTGCTAATCGCCATGATGCTGAGAATTTTATTCAAGAAAGACGAAATAATCTAATAAATAATGATGATATCAATATGTCCATTGAACAAGTAGCAAAACCGATCAATAGTGATGCAGAAAAATTACCGTATAGTGATGTGCCAACGTCTGAACTAACAAAATTATATAATCTTGTTGAAAAAGGTGCTGAAATTGAATTTGAACGATTAATTTGGTCGAATCCTCGTTATTTAATAAGCAGTGGAGATTCACCAACCATTGTCAAAGTAAATTTTTGTTATTTTATTTTTGTATGTGAAAGAAATTTTGAATTTAACCTTCCAGATTTCAGTTCGATATAATAGTATGCATGTTGCAGCATTGTCTGGTCAATCAGCAATAATTCGTACATTGATTAAAACAATAAAAAGCGTTCATTTTATTCGTCGTCTCTACATTAATGATACTGAAGAACAAACGCAAAAACGTATAAGATTTATTCTTGATATGTATTTAAATACACCAGATAAAATGGTAAGATAGAATCCATTTTTTTCTCGTTTCTTTTAAAGATTTCTTTGTTTTCAAAAATAGCAAAATGAAACTCCACTACATCTTGCATCAAAATTCGGACATTATGATGCAGTATGTACTCTATTGGATGAGCCCATTTGTAGTCGAGATGCTGTGAATAAAGCTGGTTTAACACCACGTGATGTAGATGTTAATAATTGCGTTAACGGAAGAATTGAATTCAGTTGTTAATTTAGATTATTTGCAGTCGAGCAAAAGATAAATCCAAAGAAAAGAAGATAGTTCAATTATTTGAATGTAAGTTGTTTCTTTTGTCATGTACTATTTTTCTAACGAAAAATTGATTTTCTTTTAGCTACTTATTATATTCCGATTTACAGTCGAAAGATAACAATGGAAAAAATTGTTTCAAAACCAGTTGATGAAAAAACATTCAAACCACTTTTAAATATAATTCAGCAATCTGCATCAAATCTACCAGTTGAATGTGATAATGAGATGATATTGATTGCATTTGCTGGTCCAACTACTTATGACTTGGTTAGTATAATTTCGTGTTAAAAAATCCATAATTTCCATGGATTTTGTACTTCATGAAGTGCTACTATTTCTTTTATGATATTCAGTATGATCGTGACAATAAGATTCAATTGCAAGTGAATGTCTCTTTTTTTCTTAATCGGTTCAGATGTACTACACTCGTATTTCGCTTATCGTGCCATTATGTGTAGTTTACCATGGGGAGAAAGCTGGCGAGTATTTTGTCTAGGACTCGAAAACGTTATCAAGTTTATTTTTCTATTCTGTTGTTGACATCTGAGACTTATATAATATATTTTTGATTTATTGATCTAGTGTGAATTTTAACTATTAGTCGATATATTGATAATTTAAAGAGATTTCTTTTGTATTTAAAAGGCCATGAAATTCTACACATCAGTGTCATCGTCGACACGTGGTCAAGCGCGTCGTGCACAAAGTCTTTTATCTTCACCAAAAAGTCCAATTTATATTGTTCGTAGTGATGCTGAAAAAGGTTGGGAACGTGTAGCTCGAAGTTATGCATTAGAAACATATTCAATAAATTGGTCGGAATATTGGCCATTTCTTGATACCTATATAAATTTATCATCAAATGATGGTCTTCGATTATTAGAATATTATCTTCAACAACGTATTTTACACAGCCAAATATTAAAAGCAATTGATCAATTAGAAAAATTTTCCAGCCATTATTTATCAATTGAAAAAGATAAAACCTCTAATGAAAATGATTTAATACTTAATTCTATATCACAATTGATACAGCTATTTTATTCATTTATTGATCTATTTAATTTAAATGATTTTGTATTAAATCGTACGTATCGTCAACATCTTGAATCGGGTGGATTTGAAAATCAACAAAACAATGAATTAAACATAATTAAAACAAATCTAATTAATCAATTACAATGGTTATCAACAGAAAATAAAAGCATTTTATTTCTATTCACACGTCCATTACTTAATTGTTTAACTATGGTATTTACACTAATTATAAGTCCATCTGGTTGTGCATTAATTGATCAAATACAACATAATCAATATGAACTGCATTGCCATCAACAGAAAATTCGTCCAGCATCACGACTCAGTCTGATTGGACTTGTTTGTCCAAAACGAAGACAATCTCGACAATCAATTAAATCTCAAAAACCACAAAAAATCATACGATCCAATTCTTGGCCTATCCTATCATCATTAGTAGACTCCTCTAGTTTTCGCCGATGTCATTCTCAAAGTACGCTTAATCAAAATAATAATAACTCATCATCATCATCATCAAGTTTATTAAATGAAACAACAAGAAAATCAATTAGTGATTTAACGCAACAATCACTTTCTATTTCACATACATCGTCAATGTTTTCGTCACAAACCAGTGTTGACATGTTAAGAGAAGATGATAAAACAAAAATCAACAAGTGGCATTATTTCTTAGCTGGGTAAAAATAGTAAAGTTTTTCTCTCTGTTTTTATTACCATTTACTTAGTTTTAAGGAGAATTGTTTCATAGCAAGAAATAGTAAATTTATTATAAAGTACTTTCTGAAGACGCATTGCAGATAGTAGCCACTTATGGTTAATGGCTGCTAAGAAAAGAATATGACTGTTTTGAATTTAATCAATTACTGAAAATTTTTATTTACTGTGTCGTCCAGTAGCGTGAGAAAGTTTAATAAAATATGCAAATAAGACTAACCTTCTTAGTAAATGACAGGTTTCTATAGGCATTCCGAGGGATATTTTTTTTACGATACCCTATAGTAGAAGCTAATAAGAAAATCTCGTCAAGTTCCCACAACAATTTATTACCATAGTATGTTGAAATTAAAATCTAATACTCACATATTTATTTTAGTTCTCAGCCAACTAAACTTGATGCTCATGTTGTACGTGCAATGGAGCTCAATAATTCAATAAATATGGCTGTTCGGCAACAATATCGTCTTTGGTCTAAATGGCATCAAGCTGTTCAAATACGTCCAATTGAAGAACAAAATCTATGGACAACACCAATGAGAAATTTATCACCCTCAAGTCGAAAGGTGAGAATCGAGCATGTTAGCTATCATCGCTCTTTCGTCATCAGTTCTCCTTAACCGAACTAATGCAATCTCGGTGCTTGTGATTATTTATATATATATCTATCTATATGATTTCGCTTTTTCATGTGCTATTTTTCTTTTTGTATATAAAATATAAATACCAATGAAATCAGATAAGAATAAAAGTCCCTTTTCATCACGCAGGTATTACGTCCTGGCGAAAATCAATCGTCTTTAATAAAAATGGTAACACGGCAAGCTTTAAAAAGAAAATCAGATAGTCGAGAACGATCACCGGTGTTAATACAAGACAAAATTATAGAAAAAAAACGATCCAAAAAGTGATTTATTTGTTTGATCTTGTTTCGTCAATAGTAGTCTGTCATTGCGTATTGTTTTTCATTATTATTTTCAGTCATTTTTGACAATGAATTTTTCCAAGCCTAACACAAATTAATTTATTCTAGCCATATGAACGCTTTTCAAAAATAATTGAAAGTAAATTAAATATTAGTTAGTTCTATTTTTTCGCATTTTCATATTTGCATCATGAAATGGAGTTTGTTTTTCAAGCATCTTGTCCGTGAAGATATTCGATGCATATCATGTCTCATACATGATCAGTTGATTTATGTTATTTAATGCTAATGAGAATTTTCTGATGCATTCAATGTCAAGCTTTTCTATTTGCATGGTTGCCTGTGTCAAGCGATTTGCTTAATAGTTCTTATTATCTTTATGGCTGATCATTGACAACTAATTACATATACGTGATAGAGGTTTCTAAAGTTATAAATTGGAGTTTATTATTTAGTGTAAAATTCTTTGCTGGTTCTAAATATGATGTGCAGTTGAAGAACGTTTTCATGAAAGAAATCCGAAGATATAGATCTTCATGTATTATATTGTGATATCATATAAAAATATCTCAATTTTTTTCAAGTTTTCAACAATATCTTTCAAAAGATATAAGTGGAGATTTTTCTAAACGTATCACGAATTAATGGTAAACTTAGTAAGACTTACCATTTCAAGTGTAATCGTATTTGTATCAGCTTGTTTGAATATTTTGTCGCGTAATTTTATCTATCAAAAGCAATATTGTGTAGGAGCTACCTAACGATTACGATCAAAATAAAACTGTTAAACAAATCATTTTTCTTGAATTTTAAATTATTCACACTCGAAGTATAAAAAAAAGCTTTTACATCTGTGCCAGTCAAATGTATATTGTTCAAAGATTATTTGTATTGTAATTGGTTTAGAATTATTTTTAATATCCAACATGCTTCATTCTTCTTTAATAATAAAATAAATAGTCGCAGTCGTCGAAATAATATTTCGATGATGTTCAACATAAAAATTTTAAATTTTGTCTTGTCTATCCAGAAAGAGACTTCTCGATTTATAGAAAGCGAAGACAAAGTTCATACTTATGCATAAGTAAATATAATAATAACTAAAACATTATCCATTTCGCTTCAATATTGGTTCTCGTACAAAGAAAATAACTGATGCAGCGAGCATACTAATAAGATAAAATATAAAACAAATTCGATCAACAATAATAGCTAGAATTTTCCATTCTTCATATATATCATATAATAATTGTGATTGAACATTTTGTCTTCGAGCATGTATTGTTAAAAGTAAACGTTGGCATTCAAGAATTTCACGTAATATAGAAAGTTTTAATTCTTCATCATCAATACTATTTGGATCAAATTGTGTTTGCATCGTAAGTAATATTTGTTCAATATTATGGGTTAGTGAATGTTGTTGAGTAGATTTCTGAGTTGTTTCTTCTGTGCCATTGTCATCATCATTATTATTAGCAGTTGTTTTACTTGAATTTGTTGTTGTTTTTGTTGCTGTTGTTATTGGAAGGAGTGGTAATTTTGTTTTGGTATTTTTCTCACCTCGACGAATTTCACCATTTGAATTATCTCGACGAGTACTACGTCTCACATTAGTTTTAGTCGAATTTGATTGAGAAAGTAATTGTTCATCACTGATAAAATGAAAACCAAGCCAACAACCGATTTTACCCATTACTATGCGACGACACCAACGTGGTACACGTGACTTCTTTGGTCCACGATAATGAAAATTAAGTACGACCACCGTAAGGACAACAGAAATAAGCACCAATATTAAATTGACATTAAAATATATACCTAAAATACAAATCCGAATTGTTAATTTAATGTCACTCCAACAAAAATTATGTCTCATGTATTTTAGAAACTTGATCATGTCATCGTTAATAAAGAATCTTAAAATTTTGTAAAAACGTTTTTCGATAAGCTCTGCTCTTGACAAACTCTAGAATAAATGTGACTGCAATGTATATAAAATGTCAGTAGATATTGATAAGTGAATGCAGAGAACTCAGTTACTCTCACCGATCCACTCACACGCGCACACATCCGCCCACTGTCAAGATGCTCTTTCTTTTTGATTATTTTTTTTCTTAGTTATAAATTAGTGGGTTGAAATGTACATGTATGAACATGATTTGCAAGAAAATAAAAATAATTGGATACATATGTATTGTTAGAAAAGCAATGTCTCTTGAGAATTCGAATGAATCGTACGCAAATAAATGCTAGAATTTCTCGATAGTAGATTCTATCAAAATCTATTCACGATATAACTGAATATAATTGATGATGAACAAAAAATAAAAATTATGGCTGAAATATCGATTCAAATATGCTACGACAGTCGCGAAGATCTTCTCTTGTGCGACATATGACGCGAGCATTTCTTAAGTTGGTTTTTTTATGAAATAAATCAAGTGTATCTTTTAAAACATTTTTCTTACCAATAATAGGAAGATTAGAAGAAGCTTTTGGTGTATAATCGGATATGAGTTGAAGAAAAACTGTTAAGGCAAGAAGAATTGTAATCGTTAATGTAATTTTTTCACCTGAATCAGGTGGAAGCCAAAATACAAATAATGTTAAACAAGATAAGATTGAGAATGGAAATATCATATGATTAACATAAAATTGATAGTTACGTTTCATTTTTATTTGAAATACGAGCCATAAATAACGATTCATAGTAGCATTTTGTACAACTATTTCATAAACTTGCCATTCAGTACGTATATATTGACTTTGTTGGCGAACATTTTGCGGTTGATGTCGAACTAATAATTCATCAGAGGGACGTGACCATGATTGAATCTCAAGTGTACAATTTTGTTTGTCTAAAAAGTTAAAGAACAAAGTAAAAACGAAACCATTGAATGTGAAACACTTGATTTACCAAATGGAAAATATGTTATAACAACATCACAGTAAGATCGAAACACATCAGGATAGACCCATTCGACAGTACCATTCCAATGAACAGTTAATAAATAGTATTCACGTCGTTGAGAATAAGCAACATCAGCTGAATTGAATAGAACAATATCAGGAGTCCAAATTTCAAGTGCAGAAAAAACAGTTCGATTTTGATCATTATAGTCACTGGGTAACCATCGTAAATGTTCATCTTGCCATTTCAATGTAACTTGAACATTAGTTGTCATAACTTGATTTTGTTCATCCTAAATTTTTATGAATAAACAACGAAGAAGAAAACATAACAGTATCTTACTAAATTCATCACTTGAATGATATTAAGACCAACATCAACCACAGTGACCGTTGTTGTATTCATAACTGGCCGAGCTTCAGGTACGTAACTTTCAAGTAACGTGGCACGCAGTCGAGATTCATCCGAATTGAATTGAAGTGCTAAATATTGAAAAAAGTTACAGATATCTGTCAACTAATAAATTATTTTTGAGTCGACATAATGTGCACTTGGATTGTCTATGAGTATTCATTCTTGTCGATGTCTTTGTTCTACTCACAAATATTATTGTAGATTGATGTTATTTTCTTAACGTGAGTTCAGTCCTTTATTAGCATAAGAACACAACCAGAACGCATAGAGAGAAAGACGAACTACTACCATAGAAATATATATATATATATATGTTAACGTCCAAACTGAGATTACGTCCAATGCCGGATTGAACGGAAATTTAACATTAAAACCTGAATTAGTCTGTACATCAGTGTAGGATTCAACTTCTTATTGATGAATTATGATCAGAGTAACCCATATCCTCACACCGTCACCCTCAAGATTGAAAAGTGTTCATAACTCCTTGAGCCTTTAATTTATTCGTTTATTGATGATTACGTTGCCTGATATGACGATACTTCATTGAAGTTCATAAGTAGAAAATCGAATCCTACACCGATATACAGACTAATTCACGTTTTAATGTTAAATTTCCGCTCAATACGACGAATAGATTAAGGTCGCTATCCATACGATTTGGCCTTGAGAGAGAAATAGAAACGAATGTAGAATAGATAGAATAAAGAAAGTGAAAGAACGAAAGAAAAAACGAAACACAAAACACAAAGAAAGAAAAACAACTCACGAGCAAATATATAATGCTAAGGAAAAGCCCACCACCTACAATTACAAATTTTGATTTTCGAAATTGAACATCAGGTCTTTTCCACATCTCAGAAATTTTTTTAATAAAAAATCTAAAAAAACATATTTTAACATAATTGTATCTTAGAGTAGGAACATCATTCATATCTGAAATTTCCATAATGAATTATTCGTGGCATGCACTGATGCAGTGGAAAGTTTCAAGACAGAAGTCTTTTTATTTAGTATTCCTCAGAACGGGATTGCTAATCATTGAGAAAAGTACACAGAAGCACAGCAAAAAGCTAGGAAAATAATTATTTTTCGAGTGTTCACTGTTCAAATAGAAGATTTCCGTTACAATATTAGTAATATTTTGATTATGGAGGAAAAAAATTATAAATAATCAAATCATGATCTTTTTACTTGAGGAAAGATCTTCTGATTTCCATACCCAGGTCGACTAATCCGACGGGAGAATTTTAAAAAATTATCAAAATTCTATTTAGTGCAAAAAAGCTTTTTAGTGGTTGATTATAGCAGACGTTTTTGGCGTATCGGATCCCAATCTCGGTCCAAAACCCGGAATCCGTCGATTCTCGTGGGTTTTCATGTAAAATCCGAGGTAACCCGTTTTCCGATCCGATTGGATCCAGTTGTAGGAATGAACGACCTGGATATTTAACAAAAACAAATAATATTCTTCGACAGTTTCTTGAAACTCTACTAAGAAATAGTTGGACTTTTGATTCAATTACTATCAAAACTTATTGATTAAGCGATGAAATCTATGATATTTATATATTGTTCGATCAACTTACTGGTATCATCATCTATATCGATGCCATTTGTAGTTGAAACTTTATGTTTTCGAGAATTCAGTCCGCTATCACTTTTACGATTCATTAATTTAACTGAACTTGCAAAAGCAGATGAACTAGATGCTGAATACACATAATAAGTCCAATGACAAAGAATAAGATATAAAACCAATTGAATTGAAATATTGAAATTCATTGTTTTCATAATTTAAACGTTGAATTGGCTGCTGTATTATAAGTATCACCGTAAAAGATTGATGAGATATAATGCCAACTTTCTTCTCAATATTTTTCGAATTTCTTGGTTGTTGCTTAATCACTGACAAAGATAGGCGGTTGTAGAATGTCTTAGAGTTCTCAGTTAACAAAAAAAGGATAGAGAGAAAAGAAAATAGAAGAGCCAATTGGGTCTCTGATTTAGCTTTCATCGTTGCTTTGTTTATCTTCGTTCCATTGTTGTCTCCACTCCCGATATTCTAATACTCGTTCACGAGAAGGACAAAAAGAAGAAGATGATGATGATAATAATGATGAGATGAGCAGTGAATAGTAGTGACTTTCTTCATTACTATAGTTTGCTGAAATCTGAGAATAGATTGTAGAGAACAATAGAAATATAGCACATACGAAAGGACTTATCAAGTTAACCGACGTTTTTTTCCCGACTAATTCATGTGATGAACAAAACATATAATTCATAGCTGCACATAAATGATCAAACATATAAATTTTTTTCTTAAAGTAAATTTTTATATTATACTCAAACTTCTAATTAAAATGTTTTTCTATCACTTGTAAAAAGAACAATATGAAATCATTTTTTTCAATCAATGTCAGAAACGACAAGAGTATGTATTCATTAGGCAGATTTTATGTGTGATTATATTAACTATATGTCTGACACGATGAATCAGATTATTTTGATAATTATTAATGACATCCTCTTCAATGGAACAAAAGAACAATAAGTTTAGAATAATACTGATATTTTTTATCGCTGTATATGCGTATATATTTATTTTAACAAAAAAGATTGGCATATCTAATTTTTTCCCAATCGTATATCTCTCTTTCATTCTTTTTTTTTCGTGTTAGATACACATCGTTGACAAAGTTGCTCACTATCAACTTTGCAAGTGTTAATTTAATAATTAATAAATATGGTTTATGCGCGTACGGATTATTGAAATAAATATTTGATATTTTTCTTACTAAATGTTTTTCTTTCTGCTTTTGTTCTTTGATCGGATTAAAGTTTGAAGAAATCGTAGTGGTTTTCTGGATTTAGTCTGCACTTTTGCGTTCTTTGTCTTGTAATCTTTTCAAATAGAAGGTGTTTCAATAATCTGTAAGAATTGATTTTCAATCGAATATAGTGATAAACTCTAGGTAACATTCGTCGAATTACGATAAGAACGACGCATCGAAACTTCTCTAATGAATTTAATTACAGCAAAAAGAATGAAATAGTTCGATATTTGTGAGTCACACAATGTCTTAAAGTTGTTTGTACGATTTGTTTAAAATAAAACAAATGATATAAATTTTGTTGCTTATGCAAACAAAACTTTAATGAGAGAACATTCTAAATGAGCGTCAAATGGCGAATGAACTGATAGTTTTTTCACAGACAGCATATGAAAAGAGTACTCAAAAAGTAAAATGAATTTTTGAATTAATATATTTGTCAGTAGAACTATCTACGGGCAGAATTTCAGATCGGAATACCCTCATTCGATTTGTTAGTATATATATAAAAAACTGACGAAAATGAAGCAAGGAAAATTTTGATTTCAATGGGACTTGTCACTGGGAGCATATTTTGAACTTTTTCAGCGAATATTCATCCTAATTAGACAGCAAAATCTTTGTGGATAACTAGCCAACAATGTACTCATATAGTGTACATGCGGTTAAACTACAACAGACGATAGATATAAACAAAGAAGGACAAAGGTAATATAAAAATCCATTTCGGCCTTTTTTTAATTTCCAGATGATTTGATCATAACTGTAAATTTATCGAATAATAGTAAATAAGGATTCAATCTATTGACGAATGTGTTTAACAGAAAATAAATATAGGTGAAGAGTAATTCTAAGTTTTCCTAATAGTCAACTGTTCAATGAAGTTACGGGTTTCAAATGAAGTTTAGAATCTACTAGACAGTACAGAAAATTTTCATTATTTGAATTTTTACTAAGAAGTCAGAAGAAAATTAAGAATATTGTTATTAGAAGCGAAAAACTATTAATTTTGTTCCCTTAAATGATTAACATTTTCTGTAACTAAGCTGGTGACAGATAAATTTTTTCTATATGTTAAATAAAATAATACAGCTGAGATAATCCCACGCGCTCGATAGTAATTACTAGTTATTTCACAGCTATTTATAAAACAAACAAATAAAATAGAACGTAAAGTTTTACATTAAAAAACAAATACGGCTTGTTGAAGTAACTATATAAATTTTGAATTCGCTTTTAATGTAGCACTCTCAGTAACTGTCTTCGGCCATGGCTTATGACCTTTCTCTAATGGATATTTATCAAGACAAATATTCTAAACATTCTTTATTGTTGAACCTGTAGTGCGCAATTTTCTGACATAGAATAACTTTATACAAGTCACAAAAAGTTATTTTACACATATGAACAAAAATAAAAGATTTTTTTATTAGTTGTTACATTCATCAAAAAGCGTACTACTTCTCCTTCCTTCGTTTGCCTTGTCTGAGTGATTTAAAATGTCACTAAAATCCAAGGTGAAGAAACTTAGGGTATGATGTGCAGCCAAGAAGGAACCCTACAAATCAAATCATAAATCCAACAGACTTTTTAACCAGAATTCTTGTAGCTAAATTAGAAAATTTCTCAGTGCGTCTCTGAAATGTTTTTGTGTACTTCATCTGTTATCAACTTATTGTATCAATAAAACTGATATTGTACAAAAGTTTGTAACAATAATACCGGGTATCAATGTTTCGAAGTTTTTTCTATGAATTACTTTTTATGATTAAATTTTATATTTACATATCGTGAGGTACCTATGCAAATATGAATTTAATTAATACAACTATATATGTTTTACTTTCCTGTCTTTTTATCGTCAAATAATATTTTTTAAGCTCAAAACTTGCTTTCTATGTGTGTCATGACTTCATCATTAAATTTGTATTATTAAATATTCCTACGAGGTTCCGAAGCTGAGAATTTAATCCGAGAAGCGGCAGAAAACATTTGAAACATGCCTGATTTAAGTTCCTTTTGTGGGAAAATTTCAGATGCTGTACATTTTGAAAGTAGTAGCGGTATTATTGTAATTCAAACAAGTCGGAAACAAATTGAAGGAGGAATAGAATTGTAGTAACAATCAAACTGATTTAAACTGTAAACGATAGTTCGTTCTAGGGTTCCGTGCAAATCGTATCAATTCATACTGATAGTTTCAATATGAAAGTATAGCTTTAAAACAAAGTGCTATTACAATCGTTTTGAATCGATCAATCCATACTTCAATCTATTTCATGTTCAACGATAACTTCTATTTAGTGTGTTAAGAAGAAAGACTTTGTTTTAAATTTAATTTTGAATTGAAATTCGTTAATTTTATCATCAAAATGATCAAGAACTCATCATATTTCGTGCTATATAATGCTTAGTTTGTGATTATACCTTGAATACTTAACGTAGGTCATATGTCTTCTTGATTTAATTTCGTCTTTTGGAAGTATTTATTCTAGTGTTAGAAAGACAGAATGTTTTCTCATTTTATGAATCATTTGATCTATCATCCTATTAATTGAATGTGTGTTTTATTGTTGAGAAAGTTTATAGTGTGAATAGTATTACTTCGATTCTTTTTTTTTATGGTTAGAGCGCAATATCTAATTGATTGAATATGAATTTCGATGAGTAAAATAGCTTTTACGAAGTTTATTTTTCTTGTCTATTACTGTTTTTATTTACATTTTCTGTAGAAAATGGTCGAAACAGAAAAAGAAACAGAAGTTTGTGTTGATGATCATTAATGAGAACAATGAAAATGAAAGAACAAGTAAAATAGACAGAATACAGAATAAGGCTGCAAAGTACACGGCAAATAAGAAAAATGAATGTAATAAAACATAAAAGTAACATAAGAATTCTCTATCTATAGTGTTTATTATTATTTAATATTAGTTATGTTGATGTTGATTGTTCTGTTGATGCTGATATTGAAGAGGAGACATTTGCTTGCGGCAGACTTGAAGATGAATTTTCAATAGTTTCTTGTATGCTTTTATTTTTAGTATTGCTGAGTGACTCACTAATAGAAGTAGTTGCTGTTTCCATAGGATTACTATTTTGTTCCGCAACAGGAGTTTGTGGAACTTTCGATTCAAGTTGACCAATTACTTTTTCTACATTGCGTATCATTTCTTTTCGTTTTTCTTTTATATCAGCACTAACATCGACTAGTTCATCGCAACGTATCATTATTTTCAATGCTTGTTCATCAAGTAATTTATAGGCACGCTCATTACGAGTTGAGCCAGTGAACTTGTCAACTTGATTTTCAAGATCGTCCAAACTTTGTTTAATTTGTTGAAGCTTTTCTAAAGCTAATGCATTAAGATCACGTACAGGTTGTTGTGATGTTGATGGTGGTGGTGGTGGTGGTGGTGATGGAACATGCGCTGATGCTGAATTATCACCTGATGGAACTTGTTGATCAGAAGATTGGGTTGTAGATGCTGAAGCGGAAGAAGAAGCCGGTGCTGGCATTGGAATTGGACCATCTGTATCTTTAGCCATTTTAAGTTCAGGCTCATCTTGCTGCTTGTGTTGCTGTTGCTGTTGTTGCTGCTGCTGCTGCTGTTGTTGTTGTTGTTGCTGTTGTTGTGACTGTTGCTGTGATGTAGTAAATGGAGGTTTAGCTGGTGATCTACCTCGTTGAGTAGCCGGTGAACGAGCACGATCATTTGCTATTTAAAATAAATAAAGTTGATTTATAACTATGTCTACTTTTTGTTTTCTCAAAAAACTATTTGATATGCCTATCCTATTCAATACATTTTTCTTTTATAAATTTATCAACATTGAAAACAATCAAACGAAAGTATTTTCAAGGCTCTTTTTAGAGAATCGAATAATGTGATAAATTTATAAGAATATTATCGATTTGGTTTCTTTTCATTCTTCTGTATAGATATACGCCGAATTTTTTTTCTTCTTCTATCATTTGTTTTTCTTTCTTTTCTATGGTTTCTATTGCATGGAGGTTGATAGATGAGGACAAAAATAGTGTACCGCTCGTTCCTCATCACATACACATGCGCACGTCTATGTAAATATATTGGATTTGGTCTTTTGTAACCACTATCAATATCATCAATCTGGCTATCGATGTTAAGATATATACTAATGATGGAACTGATCGGCAAAAAGATAATAATATCCGCATAGCGTTGGTTGTTTTTCGAAACTCGTACATTGAAATCTCAGTTTTTTTTTGTCATCTGTCGAGAATAATCAATGTAACTGTCGATGAATACTTGAGTTGATACAATGAAAATGACTGAGAGAAAGAAGAAAAAAAACTCGATGTACATTTTCTTATGTCGATTTTTACTATTCTTAGCAGGTATAAATGATTACTCCTCATCTGATAGGTTAACTCATTTAAAAGTAAAATTTACATGCATTTATATTTTGTTTGCGAACACATATAAGTAAAAAAAACATTTTGAATAGAATCAATAAAAATGTCTTACTGTGAAAACGAAGAAATGAATTCTTTGTCGTTTTTCAAACAATGTGATACGATAAATCACACAATTGACATTTTCTGTCTTAGAGCAAAATTTTACTTACAGCTATTGTTTCCATTTCCTTGGGACGTATTCGATTGATAATGATCCATTGGTGTACCGTATTCATTTGTATAAATAATATTTGGATTAATATAAGCTTGGTTAGCATAAGTTGGCTGCTGTGGCTGTTGAGGTTGTGGTTGGTATTGTGTTTGAAATGTTGATCGATAATAGGGTTGTTGTTGTTGTTGTTGTTGCTGAGGTTGGAGCTGGGGTTGGAGTTGGGGTTGAGATTGGGGTTGAGGTTGGGGTTGAGATTGTTGTTGTTCGAATGGATATTGTTGACTCATCGGAAAACTTTGATGCATATCTGCAAAATCATTAAGAGCATCGAATGATCGACGAAAATTATTTGAAAATTTGTTTGGTTGAACGAAATCTGAATCAGTTCGAAAAGCACTACCAAATGTAGATGGTATAAATGAAGTATATTGTGGTAGAGTAGTAAAACGATTTGAATCAAACGGTGATGACAACAGATCTTCGCTAGAACGACGAAAATGTGATGAACCTGGTTCGTATATTCGTTGTTGTGGTTGTTGATAAAATTGAGGTTCTTGATGTGTTTGATATGAATTGAAATCATTGAATGGTTGATTAAATTGTGAACTTGGCATTGGGCGATCAAATGTTGTTGGATTTAAGCCTGGTCGTGTTTGAAACCGGCTAGGTGAATTCGAACCCCAAGAATGAGGATCTGAAAATCCAGTATATACATTGTCATTGTAAAGTGTTCGAAATGGAGAATTATGCCTTGAATGTGAATCTGAGCCAGCCGGCTTCGGTTCACGAATGATTTCAACAGGAATTGAGACAAACTGAAAATAAGAGAATGTTTGAAAAAACAAAAATTATTCATTATAAATTTTCTGACTAACCCCAGATGGTGGACGATTAGAACCGTTTGTTGAAGACATTAGTATTTATGAAGTAATAAAATTATGCAATTTAAGTTTTTATTTTGTTTATCAATGACTATGATTTAATTGAACATTTAAAAACAATCTAAAATAATATATATATATATATATATAACCATATTAGGTAAGAAATCGATAATGTATATAAATACTGTTTACGATATAGAAACCAATGTATAGTAACGATAGCTCAAAGTGATATGCTGTCGTACGAACGAATGTGCACTCAGTTATTATAAGGCATGCGTATAGTAAAAGGCAAAAAATAACGCAGCTCGCGTTCTCCTACTGCTTTTTCTCTTTTTCTCTATCACCACCCACTTATTTCTCATTGATTATCAAAAAAGTGGATTTTTCTTCTCTCTCCTTCTCGTTTCTTTCTGGGTCTCAACTACATTCCCATCGGATGCGTCAGCGTACGAAAAAAAGGAAAAAAAGAGAAACGCCTTGATACTTGATGAACGAAAAAATCGATGCGTCATGATCGAGAATGACGTCGCCAAGTACAGAAATAACAACAGTCATTTTTGCCTTGTTTTTCTTGATTTCGTTTTTTATGCATCATAAACATACATTCGTCTCTTATTTATAACGTTTTTTTTCTTTATAAATAGAAAAACACAAAATTGTCTTCATATGCATCAGAGTTTTGTGCTAAAGACATATGCTCATAATTAGTGTAGAAATGTAATTAAAAGTGTGCATATTTCAATGTTGATATGATCAAAACTGAACTGATTGATCTGATACTCAAATAGATATTGTTTTTAACAAGAACTTTTCCTTTTCTCTTATTGACACCCACATTTGTTAGTTATGTTATCTTATCGATAACATTATAAGTGCCCTTTACGATATATAACACTCATTTCATAAGGAAGAATCCGAATGCTCAGCGTTCCTAACCGATTATATCTATTATCTCATGTATGAATGCATATAGAAAAGTAGCTGTTAACCGTTTATAATATAGATCTCATCAATCCCAAGCGTATATATATATATATATATGAAGAAACAAAAGTTAACTCATACCTTCTGGTTGCGTATAAATGTAATGCAACGGTGACGCATATAAACAAAAACGATTCGACTGGTTAACTGTATTTTTGTAGTCAATGTCGTAAACATGTATTTTCTGTCACCTTTTTATAAATATTTGATGATATATTCTCACTTTTTTAATGCTTTTGGAATAGTAATCATCATCGAGTTTCGATTTTTTTCCCTTAGACTACCCAACAATTATTTACTGACAAGTATAGGACCTTCAGGTGAGATTTTTCAAACGTTAGTATTCATTCGATGTCATATTTATTCTCATATTTATGTATCGTTTGTGTTTTTCTCTTTTCTTTTCTCTTTTCTTTTCTTTTCTTCTTGTTATTTGCAAGGACAATTATTTTTTCTCTCGATATATACCTCATTTGGTAGCTGTCGTAGCTGTTGTTGTTATTGTTGTTATTGTTGTTGTTGTTATTATTATTATTATTATTTTCGTCGTATCTCAAGCGACTCTCGTAGGAACAGGAAAATAGAAGGAGAAAGCGAGAAAAAACTGTCTTGGTGCAAATTGTTTTTGAAAGATAAATTCGATATCTTCTGAAATATCAAATTTAGTTCTTTTGCTTTTTGTCTCTCATAACAGTCGATGGTAAATCTTCTGAATTCAATATACGATCACTGAAGACATGTGAAAATATTGACTTAATTTTCAATGAATAAAAAATAGTCGTGACCAAAGCTGTTTATGTAAAAACTAAGCATGACAAAACAGTAACAACAAGAAAATATACGGCATGTAAAATATATAGATATCAGTCGGTCATTGACAGAAATCGTGTTGCTTGATATGAGAAAAATCTACTGGTTCTATCGATGACGATGATAATGACAAAAACAGAAAATAAATTGCGAAAAACAGCCGATTTGTTGATATACAACAACAGCATTAAGATTGCTGCTTTTTTTTCTTGTTTTCTCAGTGAGAAAGATGAATATTTCGTTACTATTTATTATAAATAAATGAGTATCAAATTTATTTCTTTACTCATTCATATAACGAGCCAATAACAAAGTAATTTTTAGACAACAGACATTTCATATTGTTTGGTTGATTTTCTTCTTTCTTCGGCACATATTAAATCATCGTTTCCTACAGAAAAACATTCGAGTATATATAAATGGCATACAAAGGTGGAAGTTAAGAAGAGAATCTTGTTTTAATATTGCCTAAATACAATAGTGAACAAAAGTATCAATAAAAGGTAATGAATTAAAGAGAACAAACAAAACAAAATCACTGCATATATGTATTTTGTTTCACGGATTTATTGTTTGACCTTCAACTAAAGCCTTGACATCGGCAGCTGATAATGTTTCGAAGTGAAGAAGAGCTTCGGCAAGTATTTTAAGTTCACGTGCGTGTTGTTTAAGTAAAATTTTAGCGCGTTCATAAGATTCCTAACACAATGAAAACAAAAATAAGAGAATATGAGATTAAATTTGCAATGATAAATAAATCGAATAAGGCCTACATGCATCAATTGTTTTATTTCTAAATCGATTGTTTCTTGCATGGCTGGACTTATATTATTAACACGAACAAATCCTACACCACCATCTTGTTCATCGTCTTGAAATGTTCTTGTGCCAACTTTATCCGACATACCAAATTGTTTTACCTATTTAAATAAGTTAAAATCGATATTGAATCAGAAAAAAATCTTAATTACCATATTTGTTGCAAGTTTAGTTGCTTGACTGAAGTCACTTGCTGCACCAGTAGTTACTTTCTCAATACCAAATATTTGTTCTTCAGCAACACGTCCTGCCATCATGACATCCATTTCAGCTAATAATTGTGATTTTGTTCGACCGTATACTTCTTTTGCTGGTATGTGTGCAGTAAAACCAAGTGCTTGACCGCGAGGAACAATCGTTACCTTATGCAATGGGTCAGCATCTTTCGTAAAATATCGCACAATAGTATGGCCAGCTTCATGATAAGCTGTAATATTGTTTGTTTCCGAATCAGGTATCTTAAATTTTTTTGCTGGCCCCATAAGAACTTTATCACGTGCCCATTCTAAATGTTTCATATCCACCAATGTTGCATTAGATTGAGCAGCATAGAGAGCAGCCTAATAAAACAAAAGAAAAAGGAAGGACATGCTTCGAATCAATAATATTTGCATAGATTATTACTTGATTAACCATATTTTCAATATCAGCACCAGTAAAACCTGTTGTTCCTTTTGCTAAATATTCTGTATCAATTGTTTTATCATGTATTGTTTTACTAAGATAAAGTTCAAAAATTTCTTTTCGACCGCGAACATCAGGTGGTGCTATATGAATTTCACAATCGAAACGGCCAGGTCGTAAAAGAGCTGAATCTAAATAATCACGACGATTTGTTGCTGCTAATATAATAATGCCTTCGTTTTTATCAAATCTAAATCGTATTATTCGAAATAAAAGCGTTCCCATTTTCATTTACAATATAAATTACCCATCCATTTCTGCAAGAAGTTGATTGATAGTTTGATTTGCATATGGATGCATTTGCGAACTTGATCGTTTTGCACCGACAGAATCAATTTCATCAATAAAAATTACACATGGTACACGAGCTTTAGCGGCAGCTTAAAATTAATTAATTTTGATTACTAATGGATTATGAATGGGAAATAACGAAAACCTACTGAACAATTGACGTACACGGCGAGCTCCTGAACCGACAAACATTTCATCGAATTCTGATCCGGATGTATGAAAAAATGGAACACCAGCTTCACCAGCAACAGCTCGAGCCAAAAGTGTCTTGCCTAAAGACAAATATGCTTGTTAGTAATAGAACATCAATGCTGAAAAGCTATAAATACCGATGCCGGGCGCACCAACAAGAAGTACACCTTTAGGTAATCGAGCACCTAATTTTGTGTATTTTTCAGAATCTTTTAGAAATGATACGATATCCATTAGTTCATCTTTTGCTTCTTCAGCCTAATAACAAAAAGCAGTCACATGAATTGATCATTTAAAATTAAAAAAATTTTATTACGCCGCGAACATCGGAGAAATTAACTTTAACATCTTCTGGATGAACTTCATGTTTACTAGCTGAGGAAAAAGCAGTCGTTATTCCACCGCCATCTTAAACAAAAATTAATTCATATAAATACTATTAGATATATCAATACATCAAGACATGTACTTACCGGTACCACTGATTGCAGAAATAATATTTAATGTAAGTATTAACAAAATACTGTAAAATATCACTATTCGTATACCTTTGAATAATGATGCACGATTTTTTGGTTTAGGATCCCCAGCACCTGCGATATAACCTATACCAACAAATGATTGACTTAATGAATACTGAACAATGAATCAAACTCAAACCTTTCGCAAAAGCAAGTGCAGCTTTTTCTGTTTCGTTCATATTAGTTGTACCACTAGTATATTGCGATGAAAAATTACCGAGTGTAACCTGTATAGATTATATTTAAAAAATAAAATTGTTTTTTCAATACATACAGTATGAACAAACACTACTAACTCGATTTGTCATCGTTGCTGATGAGGATTGATGTTCATCAAAAGAATTTAATACACGGGTTGAGTTCATTGTACTTGGGTCTACATTTTTGCCAATACCATTTGAAGCTGAATGCTTAGTTTTAAAGCCACGCACTTGATTGAATACTGAACAAAAGATTTTCAGAAAAAAAAAGAAACTAGAAGATGAGTAAATAAAATATATGTACCAATATTTTTTATTTTTAATAAATCTGTATGTTTAATATGTTGAGTAATACCAATTTGACAAGAAAGACAAGATGTTGATGAGATTGGTACTAATGATAATTTTTGAAGCTCTGAAAATAACGATGAAGAATTCTATTCGAATCGAGAATATCAATATTACCTTCTTTTGATAATCTATTAAATAATGATTCAATATTTATATTAAACGCTTGCTTAACAGTTGTAGCTACTTTCCTATCAATTTCTCGCTGTAGGAGAAAAAAGACAAATACATACTAGACACTATCCTCATGGGTAAAATATTTTATTACTCTCGTATTTCGCACTGGTTTCGTATTTAAATGTGTTGAGAATTTTTTCAAAGCTTCATCGGTTATGGCTTGTAAACTTTGTGGTAAATAACGTATAGATTGAACAAAAAATGAAGTACATTGTGAGCATAACTGTAAAAAGAAATGAATGACGATAATGAAAAGATGTGATATGTCGTCTATTTTCTTGTTTTCTCACATTCGTTGGCGTCACAAAGGAATTCATCTACAAAGACACATATACGCCTGGAGCGATACATAATTGAATTACTGTATATAGATATTTCAATGATCTATATTTCGTTTTTGTAAACATATAAACAAGAAAAAGAAAGAAGAAAAAAAAATATATAAATAATGTAAGGAGATAAACAAACTCATACATAGAAAGCAGAGAAATTACAAGGTTTTATTTTATTTTACAAAGAATAGTTTAGAATAGTTCAAGAAGGTTATCAGTTTCAAGTAATGCTTCGTCAATGAATGCAAATGTATCAACAACATCACTAGATTCGTTCAGTTTTAGTAATTGATTTTCATCATCTTGATTGGATGTTTGAGGTTCTGTCGTTCGTTTTGTAGTTGAAGTCTTATTTTCAGCGATATTGATTGGAATTTGTTCAATTGCCTTTGTCAATGTTTGAGAAGAAGTCATCATTGGAGTTAAAGGTCGTTTGATAGCAACTGATGGAGGCTGTCGAATCCGTGATGTTTTTATGATTGTTGTTGTTGATGTTAATGATGATTGCTGCAGAGCAGGAGAAGAAATTGCATGGTGATGTGTTCCATTTGTAGTTGTTGCAGAGTTTTTGCTTTGAGTAGATTTTTTCTCATGGCTCGATAATGATAAAGTTGACTGGATAGCTGAATTGAGAGACGTAGCTGGTTGACGCGGAGAACTTTTATTGTGTGATAATGAAGACGAAATACGCTTTGGTGGAGGCTCATCCGCAATTGTTGTTTCTGGTATTGTACGTTTGCGGTCATTGGTAGTTGATGTAATAACATTGCGATTAGTAGAAGAATGAATAGTCATATTGTTCACTGTGGTTATTGATGTAGAACATACAATTGATCGAGGTGGAGAATTTGGTTTTTTCTGGAAACGTCTACGAATAAAGATAATAATTTCATTGAAATATAAGAACAGCAGTCTAACGAAAGAGTGAATAGAAGTTTTTGATTCAATCAGTATTAATACTTACTCGATACGCATTGTTCGACGTTCATTATCTTGTAACAACACTGTTCCTAGAATATTTCGAATTATTATAATCCTACGAATACATTCAACTCGTGCATTTAAAAAAAAACATCGAATTGATATATGACGATGAACATTAACATATAATCGTCATTAATCTAATGCATCTCATGTCAAAAGAAATAAACATTAACAATAGTTGCAAGATATGTTTTCTTTTTGAATCCCTATCTAGATCTCACTCAACTCCTTGGTAAAATAAAATAAACGATCAAGAGCCAATATAACAAGGGGATAAGACTGGAATCTTCGTAACTGTCGTTGCGCATGATTGAACATTTATACAGGCAGTTTGATGATTGGTAAGAAGAGAAAATAGTGTAGGAAGGAATATAAATATATTGGAATGATGACAAGTGGGATTAATAAATGTAATGCCAACGAACGTACCCGCAGATGACTAAAACAAAAGAAAAAGAAATTTGTTTGAAACGTTTTTTCTTTTTCATAATCTATTGACCTTTTCTTCATGTGATGATGTAGCAACAGAAACAGGTGAGTTTCCGTTCGATATTTTTGTTGCGGGCAAACGATCACGATTTAATCGAATTGGTTTTGCATCATTCGTTGACGTTGTTTCTTTTGATGAATTGAATGATAAACGGTTTGTAATCGACGGTGTTGAATAAGGAAATGGAATATTAACAGCTAAAATCATGACATTGTCTTTTGTATTCATCTTCACTGTTTCTTGATAATAGAAAAATTTCTTACTTGACGATGAATCTTTTTTAAATTTTTTACTATCATTTTTTTGTTCGACAAAACCAACATCAGTCCTTTTATCTTTTGCAGTTGAACCAGCACCACTTGATGAAACAACAACACGATTTGATGGTGCCGATGATGATGATGATGTTTTTGTTGTTGTAGTTGTAGTTTGAACAATTTTTCGATTTGGAATACCAGTTGATTCACTGAGAACAACATTTCTATTGACAACTAATCGTGATTGTGTTGTTGTTGTTGTCTCATCTTGACTTATTTTTGGAGTGTCGGTAATAACACAACGACTAGAAGATTTCTGCAATTTTGGACTAGTACTGTTATTGTCTGATATAGTTTTGGATTCATTTGATTGATCAACATCATCTGATGATAATGCAATACGACGTACTGTTGTTTCAGTTTTTGTTATCGGTGATGATATTTCAGAATTTGATAATGATTCAATTTTAATAATAGGTATGACTATTTGTGGTTCACCTAGATAAAAAAAAACACATTTAAAAAACAAAAGATATTCTAATAGAAGAAAAAACGAACTCGGCGTTGATTCAAGAGGATTAATACTAGAATTAGACGTAGGTGTTGTTTGTGGTATGACAGTAGGTAGAACACTCGATACAATTGGTTTCGTTGCATCTTTGTTAATAAGATTAGTTGAAGAAGCTAAAGAAAATAAACTTTATGACTATATTCATAAAATAAATCTTCTTACGTCGTATTGTTGCTGCAGTTCTTGAAGTCATTCGTGGTCGCGAATGAACAAATGTGCAATCAACTTTCAGACAACCTGTTGGTGTATTTTCATAAAAGCATAAGATACCATTACTAATCATTGCACGCTAATAGAACAAAGTCTACGATGAAAAATATCTTCGGTTAAACTTGATTACGTACTTGAGCTGTAGTGTGTCGAAATGGGCATGCAGGATCAAGGCAATTACCACGTAGCCAAGCTGGACAAATAACGTTACATGTTAACGCTAATGGACTGTGTCGATATGTACATGAAGAACCCTGCAAATACATTGTGAGATACAGTTGAAATTAATGAAACCCCAAAAAAAAGAATAACAGTCATAACATACTTTAGCACATAATGATGTAAGAAAGTAAAAACAATCTTCGTTCGATTTATGCATGATGCTTTTTTTGTCAATCTAAAATATTTCAACATTCATAACTTATTTGATCGAATACACCAAATAGGGATGATGATCGTAAGTCTTTTATTGGAACAAATGGAATTGCAAGTATATGTTTACGCTTATATTTATTTATGAACGATTATTCATTTGTAGCATTCTATATACCAATCATAAAATTAATCTATGAAAAAGTGGCTCCATCTTGTTGTTTGTTTTTTTCTTCATTTATTTTCTTATCAAAAATTTCTTTTTTGCTTATCTACAGAACAGAATATAGGTAAACAACGCATTCTAAAATCTTTTTTTTTGCATTGGAATTCAATCATTAAAATCAAATTTTCTTTGCTTGTTTACCTAGTTGTCTGTTCGACACTTGTTTTTTGGTCTATAATTTTTCTTTGTACATCACTTGTATAAGGTAAAACTAGTTTCTCATTGTTGTGCTCTATTTTTCATATAAAATATAAAATTTCATCGAACTAATTATAATCCTTCATTTTCTAGATTATTGGTGGTGTTGTTTTTTATTTTTTTTCTGTTTTTTTTTCTATCGATTTTATTGCCCTGAACATCATATCATATACATAGATCTTACTGTGATTATCCTTTTCTTCTGTCATTGATATTTATTTCCTCAGACTTATATACGGCTTTCAAATGGATTATATATTCGGGCAACCTAACGATTTTCCACTACGGTAAATGTATTTTCTCCTTTTTCAAGCACTCATTGTTGAACGTAATTTTTCTCATAGGATTCTTGTTCCTAGTGATGCTGTTGGAGCTATAATTGGTAAACAGGGTTCAACGGTTAAACAAATCAAACAAAAAACTCATGCAAAGTCAATATTTTTTTATTGAGAAAAAAAATTAGTTTACTATCTGACTATTTCTAGAATTGATGTCAATAAAAATGAAGCATCAAATATACAAGAGCGGGTGATTGCATTTCGGGGTCAACAGGAGAATTGTGTTCAGGCATGTCGAGAAGTACTTGGGATTATGCATGAAGATGCTACAAGCAAAAATAAAACTAAGTAAAAGAAAATTATTTTCCAAGTTCTCGGAATCGAATATTGGAATATCAAATTTTAGTGATATTATCTTAAAAGTGCTTGCACATAATAATTTTATCGGACGAATTATTGGCAAAGGTGGTAATATAATAAACACCATAAAGAAAGAAACTGATACAAAGTTTGTTAAAAAAAAACTGAATTCTCATTTTTTTTTCATAGCAATTCTTTATTTCCTCACCAAATAGCATAACTGTATCCAGTATAAATGAATTAAATTCATATAATGTTGAAAGAATAATATCAATCAAAGGTGAAATTGATCAACAAATACGTGCACTTGAAACAATCTATACAAAATTATGTTTGGCCTATGAAAATGATAATGCTCGCGCATGGAACAATCCAGCATCTCAATATCAACAGCAACAACAACAACAACAACAATTGATGCAACATTTTACTCAACAAGCAGTAATGATGGCTGGGGGTGCTAATGGTACTACACCCCTGTTTCCTACACATTACACTCAACAACAACAACAACAACAACAACAACAACAACAACAATCGATAGTTCAACAGACACCGACAAATAATAGTAATAATTCATCGAGTAAATATATTGAACAATCACCTCATCCAACAACAATGTATCATCCATCTTATTACGTAAGTTAAATATAATTCAAAACAAAAAAACAAAACGTTTCTTTAAAATTTATTCGTTCAATATTAGCCACCAATATTTCCGGTTCCGGGCCCTTATTATATGTCTTATCCACCAGCAACGGGTCACATGGTTCCTCCCTATCCTAATCAATATGGAACTTTAGGAGCTAGCGCAAATGGAAATCTTAATCTTCTTCAACAACAGCAACATTCTCAATCGATCGCACATTTATCTCAAAGCGCACCAGCTGCTAATGAAACTGTTCATTTATATGTACCGAATACGGTGATTGGAGCTATTATTGGTACTAAAGGTGTTTTTATTAAAAGTATTATTAACAATTCAAATGCATCAGTTAAAGTAATATGATTATTTATGAATAATTTATTTTGAATTAAACACAATATTCATATTGCAGATTAGTCCGCTGAGTCCACATGAAGATCAAAATAAAATAATCGAGCGACAAGTAACTATCTCTGGTACACCTGAAGCTCAATGGAAAAGTCAATATTATATCTATGATAAAATACGACAGGAAGGTTGTATCTTTTATAATTTTCTTTATTTTTGAAAAATTAAATATTTTTGTTTTTAGGTTATGCCGGTGATGATGAAGTTCGACTTCGAGCCGAAATCTATGTACCTACAGCATTAATTGGACGTTTAGTTGGCAAAGGTGGACAAAATGTAAATCATGATTTCCAGTTTTAATAGAAAGAAAAACAAATATATTTTTGTTTTAGGTTCGTCAACTACAACAGTCAACAGGTGCAATTATTAAATTACCAGAAGATTCACAACAAACATCAGCAAGTGAAGTACCCGTTAAAATCTTTGGTCCTTTCCCAGCTAGTCAAGTAAGCTCATAATTTACCTTTCTGTAATTTTTTTAAAATTTACTAATGCATTTTTTGTTTTGTTTTTTCTTGTCTAGTTCGCTCAACGACGTATTCAATCGATTATTCAAATGAGTCGTGATTCAATAAATACATCAAATGAAGATAGTAATAATAATAATAATAATAATGCTCATAGCAACGGCGAACAAACAAATAATATCATCTTGAATAAGAGATCATCGGATAATCTCAAGGATATTTCGACTATTGTAAATGGAAGTACAACTAGTGATGATGCTGTTGTTGCTTCTAGTACAACACGAAATTCTGATGATAGTATAACGGTAGTGGATGAGAAAAAATCTAGTGATGAATGATGAGATTATTTTATCAATGAGAGCTTGAACAAATAAAGTGCAATTGAAGAAGAGAGAGAGAAAAAAATTCAATTTTTAACAGCATTTACGTATGTTGTACCCAAGAAACTCGGTGATAAAAAAATATCTCCCTTCTTCTTGATGTCTTTTTTTTCTTTCCTTAACTTCTGTGAGATTCTAGATTAGACTAAGAAACTCATAGAAATCGCTTTTCATTTCTTTTTATCTCGACAAAAGTCGATCCGCTGATGTGCGCGCGTGTTTCGTTCATTTGTTTTACTTTTTTCTTCAGCTTGTTTTATCGTGTTGTGTGTTTGCTGTGTGTGTGTGCGTGTGCGTGCTGCCTTGTTTGTTTTCTTTTCTTTTAAGGGCGCCCGTCGAGTTTTCTTTTATTTTGAACGGCGGAATTCAGCGATGCATATGCGCTTTATTTAGGCTTTTTTTTTTTATACCGCGAGTGGAGAGCGCGATCTGAGAAACAAAAAAAAACATGAAAATAACAACAAAAGCGAGATGATGATGTATTGTTTTTTTTTTATAAATGAAATTTTTGTTATTCGGTAAACATATTAAGGATTAAAAAAAAGGCGTTCAATTCAATTGGTTGGACTAATTTAAAAGAAAATAATTCTAAATAGGAAAACGATGGTTTTATTTATAACTTTCACTTAGATTTTTATATGGCTGCATCGTGGCTTCGTATTAATGAACTTTTCAGTTCTAATGCTGATTTAGTTTGTATTGTGGGTCGTACGCAATCAATCAATTCTATACAAGGGACTATCGTCTTACATGATGATGCTACTGATGATGATTGTAATGAAATATCACCATCATCATCTACTTTGCATGTTTCATTTGCCAATCTACGCAGATCATTTGATTTTCAATCATCTAATTTTCAACGGGGTCAATATATTCAAGTTTATGGAAAAGTTGTTCGTCAAGGTGCTAATATTATTCGAGTTGAAGCTCAATTGATTCGACAACTAGACTTTGACTTTGATCTAAATGAATATGTAAAAGGTTTATTGCTCACACGTAATTATATGACTAATGTTGATAGTTGTACGATAGACAACGTTGTAGATATAAATATAAACTATGTCATCAGATAGCACAATTAAATCAAATGTATTGTCTGCTTTTCGTTTACGCGGCCTTGATTTGAAATTGTAAGTAATTAGAAATTGAGCAAATGTTCAACAATAGATTTCGGTATTTTTTGTATTCAGTGATGCATCTCAATACTTAGTTGAATTAGCATTAACTGTTCCATCGGCTTCATTAGTTTCTTGGCTTGATCAACTGATTGATTTATTGACAAAACGACAACGTGTGTTTTCTTTTGTCTTAAGATGATATAAGATTTTATTGTTATTTCCGTTTAATTATCTAGTTTCGTCATCTATTGTTGACAAAACACTTGTGTCTAATGTTGTTCAAGAATTGAGAGCTCAACTTTCAAACGATTCACAGTTTGTATCGTCTCTCAAAGATTTTCATATTTTCGAAAAACGATTCGTTCTTTTTTTCTAATTTTTATTGCAGTAGTGAAGCTCTTTTTTCAGTTCTTAATGCATTTTCAATTCCAAAGTTTATATATTCAAGATCAGCAAAGAAATTCATTGAGTATTCATCTTTTTCATAGAACAATGATGTATGTCAAATAATCGCCGCTTTTTTTTCCATAGAAAAGAAATTGATAATGATCTATTTGGAAATGCTCGAACACGTTCTGAAGTATTCTGGGAACGATATGATCTATTGTTACAGGTAAGTAGCAATCTCTAATAATAATATTTTTTTCATAGTTTATTTTTGCAAACAAATTTAGCGAACATTGAGACATGATGTTTTTTCACAAGTCAATTTAGCATCGGTATCATCGAATAAAGTTCAAAAGTATCAGGTAAAAATTTGATTCTGGAAATAATATGATCATCGTATTTTGTTTGTTTAGTTGAAAACTATCGAACATTTACTAGCCTCTGGTTCTAAATCGGAAAAGGTTGTAGTATTGGGAATGTTATCACAATTAAATGAGGTATTAAAATAGTTCGAAAAATAAAGTTGATTACAAGACCGAGAACAATTTTTTTTTGTATTTAAAATAGACAAAATATGATTTACAAGATCCATCTGGTGTCATTTCACTACAGCTTGATCATGCAGTATGATTTATTTTTTGTCTACTTGAAAATTCTTATGAGAATAATCTTTACTTTCAGACATTTCATCCAGGATTTTATTTTGAAAATTGTTTTGTCTTAGTTGAAGGACAACTTGATGATGGAATATTTAATGTATCAGGTAGCTGTATAACGATAGAAGTGGTCTAACTAATAAATTGTTTTTGAATCATAAATTATGTGTGCATGATCTAGATCGAAATGACCAATGATATACTAGGAAAATTAGAAATACTTGATTTTTCAGACGCGATTCTCTTATCAAATGATGAATGTATGATAGTATATCAATATTTGTTTTTAATTTTTAGGCATTGGCTTACCACCACCAGAATCAATACAAAATACAAGGTTTGACAATGACGATGAAATTATTTTCTGTTAACATTCTGTCATGTTTTGTTTTTGAAAAATAACTTTAGATCATATTTTGGTGAAATAAATATAACGGGTAATACACACGATCAAAGTGCAAAAACAAAAATTCGACTTAAGGAAATTGAAGAAAAATCAGATGATGCTTTTGTTTTTCTTTCTGATGTTTGGCTCGATGATAAAAAGGTAGATTGAAATTTATCAAGGAGCATTCGATTATAATCGATTTATCTTAGGTAATGGAACGTATTGAACAATTGTTTGATGGATTTGCTGAACAACCACCATTTGCATTTATATTTTGTGGCAATTTTCTTTCACGACCGACAGCTAATTTGTACATCAATGATTTGTCAGGTATTGTTTTTGTCTTTCATTACAATAAATATGATCTTAATCAATTTTATTATTCTAGATGCTTTTAAAACTTTTTCTAAACTTGTTTCAAAATATCCGGATATTTGTGAACGTTCGCATTTTATTTTTGTACCTGGTCCACAAGATCGACATGCACCAAAAATCTATCCTCGGTTTGCAATCTTTTATTTTTAATTAACTTGAAAATACGGACTCATTTTAGCGCGCCACTTCCATCATCAATCAATGATATATTAAAAAAACGTATTCGTCATCTTCATCTTGCAACAAATCCTGTTCGTATTCAATATTGTACACAAGAAATAGTTATTTTCCGTGAAGATTTATTACAGAAACTTTGTCGTTATTGCATTAAATTACCTTTGGATAATTTACCTATGCATGTAAGATCGTCCTTCATTTTTGTTTGAAAATATCAAAAAATAATATTATTTTCAGCTTTGTCATACATTGGTTACTCAAGCACATCTATCACCATTACCTGTTTATATGACACCTATCTATTGGGCATATGATCACGCACTTCATTTATATCCATTGCCAGATTTAATTGTTGTTTGTGATAAATTCAAATCAATTACTGATACAATTGCCGATTGCACTATTATTAATCCAGTAAGTAAAACAAAATGCTAGCGAATCAAAAAGTTCATATGTTTTCTATTTCAATAGGGTTCCTTTGCAATTAATAAATATTGCTTCAAAGTCTATTTACCTGCAACACGCGAAGTCGAAGATAGTCAGATCGCTAATATGTAAATTTTCATTTAAATATATATATATGTGAAGGAAAAGAGATATTTTTTTTTGTCAATAAAAAGTCTGATAGTTTTCATCTGGAATGTATTTTGTTAGATTATCTTTGTAGATTTAATAAATAATGACTCTAAATAGCCGCCCGAGTCTTGATGTTCTCGTACCTTTAGTAATGATAGAAAATAATGTAACAAATGATATTAGTGATAATGTATCATGTGAACCACAAAAAGGTTTGAAAAAAAACGAGTTCTTATTGAATCATAAAAATCGAGATGATATTTTTTTAGATTTACTTCGTCATTTTGAATCAGGTGATGTTGTTATAGTTCGATTAGATTCACAATGTTTACCAGCCATTGTTTTCAATATCACTGGTCTCGTAATGAAATTCAATAGTAAGATAGAATTAAATGAAAAAACAAACTGTTAATTGTATTTGTATTTCCGATTTCTAGTCGATCAACAACTATATCATGTTTGTCTATTGAATAATGAATTTACAGAACATTGGATTGATGCAATTGATATGGTCATCTATTCAGTACCCGTATGAATATAAAGCAAATTAAATTTTTATAAGAAATCAACAAAATATTTATTTTTAGATGATAGCCGAATTCGAGAATGAACAAGTAACACTTATGTGGTCTAAAGCAAATGAACTTCTTGAAATTCGTAATGATAATGATGATAAAAATCGCCTTGAAGAATTTAAACGACGATTTATTGAGGTTAAACATCAACAAGCACCTCTTTCAACGATAAATACTTCGAGAAAGAGTAGTAGTAGTAGTAGTAGTAGAAGAAGTCATACTTCAAATCAAAAAGTTTCTTCACAGGTTGTATGATTTCTTTCTTTGTACATCTATAATTTATTAGCTATATTTTGTTTCTAGATAGTTTCTATTCCATTAACAACTTGTGAAGAATTACACATTATCGAGTCTATTTATCGATTGCCTCAATGTACGTATGCCGAAGCAAAATGCACTGCTGAAGATACTTATATGAAAATTATTTGCACGAATAATCGTGAAAATGTTCAATCATCTTCAAAAGGAATCATTCCTGATCAATGGTTGTTTTCGTTTGCTATTCAAAAAATTGATTATCTTCGACAATATTCAGCTATTTGGTTACCGGATCTCGAAGCCATGGTAGATACGATGGAGAATGAAAATGAATTACGTTCATTAATATCATTAATGAAGAAATCGGTTTAATGCTGACTTTCTTTTCATTCTTCACTTATGCTATTTGTTTGTGCTCTTCATATTAATTATCTCAGGCTTCTATATATATATTTTTTTTTGTTTCTTTATTCACATGGTAACCTGTACAATACAAGGCAATAGTAAATTTCATGTGTTCTCTTTTTAATTCACCAAGTGATCGTAGGATAAGAAAAAATCTTTCAAGGTTGGGTGTGGGTGTGGGTGTGGGTGTCCAGAACATCAACACCCACACCCTTGTCCAATTCTACTGAAAATTTTGTACATCGTTATAATCTTAGGATGTGGGTATATTTTTCAATTTCAGATAGATGCAAAATATTTTTAAAAAAGTTTTTTTTTGACAATGAATAGTCAAAAGATCGAGTATAATAGACTTTTTTTTACAAAAATCATCCACTTGCAATCGTAGAGAAATAAATTTTATGGAATTAAGAATTTTTGTTTTGCTTTGTCATCATTCGTCGTCTACTCGTCTACTGAATATTTTAGTGTTTCTATGTACAGTTCTATTGTCAATAGAATTCATATTTTTAAGTGTTTTAAAAAGAATGAAAAAAAAAGCAGCGAAACTACACAGAAACCATCTTGAGGGTGTGGGTGTGTAGAAAATCTATCGCACTACACAAGTTTGATTAGAATCAGTTGGATATTGGGTAGCAAAAATTTGAGAAAGCCTCCATTCACTCACAACATTGCACCAACGCATATAATAGCTAGGGTGTGGGTGTGTGGGTGTGACTGTATTCTTAACTCAACCACACCCACACCCATATACTACCTGTTCTCATATATATATATATATATAAGAATTATATGAAGAATAAATCAATTTTCTATTGAATTTCAAATATATTTTTCGAATGAGAATTCTAACGCAAAAATAAGTTTAAATTAATTAGAGATACAATAGAAAAAAAGAAATTATTCTTTTTCGACGAAAATTTTCAATTCTGAATAAAGAATTTGGTACTGAATGTTTGCTCGAATGAAGGCAATAGAAATTTTTAACAATCTTCCTTTGATTCTCCAAGGCGTACATGCTTGAAAAAAGAAAAGAAGTGGTAAAGCAAATAGAAATGGATTGAGTTATGTCGCTTTGCAAAAAAAAGGTAAGAGAAAAGACATTTGAAAAAAATATCAACTAAACCTTGTCAGTTGAAAAAAATTCTTTCCAACAACAACAGCAGCACATCAACTGCTTTCAAATTTTCGATCGTGGTAAGTTATTAGGAAGAAGGGTGTGGGTGTTGAAGTTTTGGGCACCCACACCCACACCCTCATCAAGAGATACAATCAAGTATCGAATCGCGATATAATCTTACTGATTTCGTTTCTATTTCAATTTTAAATAGATGCAAAATATTTAAAAAAAAAAAGAATCCTTGTCTGTTGATAATGAAATAATAGAAAGATCGAGAAGAGATATCATGTGTTGTCTTCTAGTTAAAGTCAACATCAATTTTGTTTTTAAAGAAATTCTTCACATGAAATCACAGAGAAATAAGGGTGTGGGCCGGTTGAAGGCTCACACGTGCCCAGATCTTTCTCTTAAAGAATCGGCAAGTGATGTTCTTTACCTTCAATTTCACGATGTAGTTACAATTAGTCATAATGTCATGTGTATATGACTCACTGTTTTCAGAAGGCATATTTCCTATTACTTTTTACTTGTGTTATGTTGTTACAACTTGATATGCTATTTCTAACCATACCATTGAATTTGATTTATAAGCTAAAAATATATGTGTAGTACAAAGTCTTCTGAAATATTTATCACAGTAGAAAAGAATCTACTACTATTTTTAAGCCGAATCCTTATTTTCAATTTCAGTTCCGTTGACATTATTTGACTAGTAGATGACGAATGTTCAAGAAATATCCAAGATCTTGAAATTTTGAAGTGAAATATTTCTGATAAACGTCAAATAACATTGAATACTACAATAGAATTAAGAAACTGAAGGTTTTGGAACACTTTAAAAGATGATAAAATATGTTCTTTTTTATGAATAGAGTCCATAATTATGGTACAGAGTTTTTTCAGTTTTTTCTTCAACGAGCAAGAGATGAAAAGAGGAAGTTGTAAGCATCAGATAGTACTAAAGAGAGGGTCCGCGAAACCACTTAGCAACTTTACTAGGAATCGGCCGCCGGTAAAATTTTGATTTTCGATTTAACTATTTTAAATCGAAGGTCTATTCAAACCATAAGTGAATCCAAAATATTAGGTCTTTCTGATGTGCTTGTGAAAAATGGCAGCGTTTGTAAGTTATACACCATTTATATTTGGTCAAAAAGTGAAGTTTTTAGGGTGTCATTAGTATTTTACACGTTCATCTACGTTTTCTCATTCGTTTGACTTCGAAAACGTCTAAAAAAATAGAGAAAGTTTTTCTCTACAGAACCTAGTGATTGATTTATTTGTTCAGCGTCATATATCAGTAGATAATTCTAATATACAGGCAAAAACTACGATTGGTTAAATAGTTTATATATTTTCTGAAAGCCTTTGAAATTCTACATCTTCTATAGTATTGCTTATTCAGATAGAAGTTGAACGAAAATAGTTATACTCTACACCGCAAATGTCGACATTGAATATTTTTCTGTATTCAATCGGATCCTACATTAGTTGACTATATTTTATATGATTGCTCGAATCAAAAATATGATTTCAGATTCATGATCAGCACAAAAAGTTAACCATAAAAGAATCATTTGATTAAATACAACGTTATCTAAGATAAAAAAATGCGTACAGTTTTATTTAGAATCTCTGAACGTTTAGCTTGAAAATCTACTACTTAGTTTTCTCGGATTTTATTTTATTGGTGAGTTAGTTAGACTTATCTCGATGTTGTCGAAAATTCATATAAATCCGTTAATATTGCTACTATTTATCGGTGCTTCTATCATCACCAGTTATCCTGATAACAAAATGATTCTAAAATAAATGATAGCAGTTTTAACACATTTACGTATATCGATTTTCGACAGCATCGAGAAAAATTCAATTTTCTCAACGATAAAGCTGTACGCATTTTTTTATCTTAGATAACGTTGTATTTAATCAAATGATCCTTTTATGGTTAACTTTTTGTGCTGATCATGAATCTGAAATCATATTTTTGATTCGAGCAATCATATAAAATATAGTCAACTAATGTAGGATCCGATTGAATACAGAAAAATATTCAATGCCAACATTTGCGGTGTAGAGTATAACTATTTTCGCTCAATTTTTGTCTGAATAAGCTATACTATAGAAGATGCAGAATTTCAAGGGCTTTCAGAAAATATATAAACTATTTAACCAATCGTAGTTTTTGCCTGTATATTAGAATTATCTACTGATATATGACGCTGAACAAATAAATCAATCACTAGGTNCCTAAAAACTTCACTTTTTGACCAAATATAAATGGTGTATAACTTACAAACGCTGCCATTTTTCACAAGCACATCAGAAAGACCTAATATTTTGGATTCACTTATGGTTTGAATAGACCTTCGATTTAAAATAGTTAAATCGAAAATCAAAATTTTACCGACGACCGAGTTGCAAAGTGATTCCACGGACTCTCTCTTAATTCTTGAAATAAAATAAATATTTTTGTATGTTCATATGAAGGCGAGAGGATCTATAGGTTTGACAACTCTTCTAGTATTTTTATTGTAGAATATTATACGAAAAAGGAAAATAAGAATGAATCGATTTACGGAATTCGAACTTGAAACTCACGAATTAAAACCTATTGCTGGTTATTGGACTTACGATCTTGTTTCGCTTGAAGAATCGTTAAAGGGATTCTTGTCAAAAATCAATGAACTTAAACGTACTATCAAGGAAGCGAAAAAACATTGCACGCAACCATCACCGCATAATCTTACGCGGGATGAGTCTGCTGCATTGTTTCTGTATACCATGGAGGCAGGCGATCATAGTTTCTATCGCCTTTTAAATCAAGTACTAAGAAAAGAAAATCGAAATGAAGTGATACCGTGGTTTAGCTATCTGAAGCTATTCGATACGGCACTTCGTAAATTGCCAAAACAAAAAGGAATTATTTGGCGTGCTGTAGCTGGTAATGTCACCAGTGGCTATGCAGCAAATAAAATAGTGACATGGTGGACTGTAAGTTCTTGCTCGACATCAGCCGATGTTGTCAAGGCTTTTCTGAAACCTGATGAAGAAGCAACGCTCTTCATGATCGAAGCCGTCGCTGGAAGAAACCTGGCTGGCTATACAATGTATCCTGATGAACACGAAGTTATATTGGAATTTGGCACTCAGTTACTGGTGAAAAATATTGGATTTCAACATGGCAATTTACGTTTAGTGCATTTAATAGAAATTAATGGTGATGATGACGATGATGACGATGATGATGATAATAGTCAACAAGGATTAGCAGCAGCGATGGCATCAGTGCATGTAACACCGAAGCCAACGAAACCAACCAATAATAAACCAACACATCGTGAGTTGCTTATCTGTTTTTTTCTTTCTTTTTATTGAATTTCATTCACTGTGGAGTTAGTGTTTATAGCAGTGACGGAGCCAGTGGGGGGCTCAGCCTCCCTCCCCCTAGCGAGATTTTAGAAAATGCATTTTTTTATATAAATGTGTATTAATGTTTCCAGTTTAACGTTTTAACAAGTGCTGCCAGGTAGCGAACTCAAAAACCCAGAAAAAATCCAGAAAAGCTTGAGGGTGTGGGTGTAATTTTTTTCTTGACTAGAGAAATGCTCATTTATCTGATTTTATTCATATTGATGACTGAGAAATCAAGATTTACTTAAAAGAAATAGGTATTACTGATTCGTGCCATCTTATCATAGTACCAATTTGTCTATGGATAGTTTCAAAGCATGGATATGACATGAAGAAAGAGACTATACGAGTGACGTCGATGAAAATTATATGAGATATATTTTTGTATAGTTAAGGAACATAATATGTTGTTCTTGCGAAAAAATATACTCAACGACATATAGCCAGATTACTTTTGGTCCAATGCAAATAAATAAATTTTAATCCTAACTCGTCATTTCGTCGTATTTCGTTCGTGAAACTCTTTTATAACATCTTTTATATTTATGTAAATTTTATTAGTTCGAAAACTTTATAATATCTGCACTTATCAAATAAGACTTGACACTCAATATCTCGCTTAAAGTTTCTCAAATTTCAAAGAATTTAAAGAGAAAAAAGTCAAACAAATTAAAGTATCGAAAAAAATATTATGTTCATATTTCAATATAAATACAATTCTGAGCTATCTTCAGTGATAAGAAATAATTATTCTCGATTTATTTTGTTTTTTCGAAAAAGAAAACAATTTCTTTGTAAAGATCTTATCATTTTAATAAGAAAATATCCTGTATAGGGTTTACTATTAAACTTTGTATTTATCAAGTTGATTGCTACTAATTTTTATCATTTCATATGTATAAATCAAGTACTAAACTTGAAAGTTTCATACGATATTCAAGTTTGGCATACACGTAAATAGAAGATTTAAATAGACCAGCAAATATGCATGAAAAAGTCCGAGAGTTTTTTCATTTTTAGAAATTAATATTTATATATTTTGAAACGATCTTCTTTTCCATTCTACTTTTTGAAGGGAAATTATGTTCCATTGAGAGCATTTTGAATAGAGTAGAAAGGCGATACATTTTTAGCTCTTGAGGGTGTGGGTGTGGATGTGGGTGTATATGAAAAAAGAGCACCCACACCCTCACGTTTTTGAAAGAACATATGGCATCATCGTTGGAATACATTTAGTTGAGCAAAACTTTTGATTACATCTCTTTTACATTGCCTTTGTGAAATAGCAAATGAAACTATACATTAATAATAACATCAAGAAAAAGTCGATCAAATCGACTGATACACGTGTTCAAAATGATCAATAAATATTTCAAAAAAAGATTTAATTTATACACAATACTTCATCTGTCAATTTCAATGCTTCGACTTTTTGCTTGAAGTAGTATTATTACTTGCTGCCGCTGGTAATGTGATGCTATTGTTATATGACGAAGAACATAGAGGAAAGTAAGATTTGATAGTGAACGTTATTGATTGAAGAATTTTACCGTACACTCTTAGTTCTTATCAAAGCTTAAACAAGTGTTCTTTCTAGCAGTGCTAGATGTTTTTCAGTTAGTGTTGACAGAAGAAGAAATAGTTTACTAAAAAATTTTCTGATCTACCATAATTTTCCTCACGAAAATAAGCAAGAAAAGAAATTATTTGAATTAAATTTTCATTAGTAAATACTTCATTAATCATATCTATAAGTCTGATTCAAAAATAAGTACTAAAAATATTTTGTATACATGTAAAATATTATCAACAAAACTAAATATAAAACAAAATAAATCATTTTACTTATTCTTAACCAGAAGAACTTCAGAATATATCAAATTTATTCCCGTTCTAATTTTCTATCTTGACATCGATGCTACAATTTTAATATAAATAACAACTCTGCAGCTCACACCCGATATTAATTCTGGAATTAAGTCACAATTGGATTCTAATAAAATAAAAAAACTGAGGTAAATACTATTCTTACTCTACTAATGAAAATAATATATATCGCGGTCAGAACCATCCGTGATAAAACTGCTGTTAATGCATATAGGATATAATACGAATTTCAACATCCTTATACTTATACTATAAATTTCCTAGCCAATCCAAAAATGTTCTAATCGTTTCATCGATAAGTAAAAAGAAAATCTGTAAACTATTCTCCTTTGTCAAAAATATAATTCTAAAAAATTCTGATGATAGAAACCAAAATATTT